ACAGGTCCGAAAGCTTTTAAGGCAAACTCACACAGATTTTTTACCTTTTTTCCGATTAAAATCCCGACTAGGGTGATCTGGTGGAGACTCGCTGTCTTGCAATACGCCTTGAAATAGCGAAATATGGAGTTAAACGGCGATACCTGGGGAAAATATCCTCTATATATATCAGTTACGAGTTTCCCTTAGGCAGACATTTTTGGTTTGCAAAAGCCTCAGCACCACGATGACATTGGTTATTGTATCCCTCCGCCGAGCACAGTGACATGATGGTCCCACACACACAGCGGGAGATGCTGCAGGAGTCCGCGCACACCGTCGTGGGGTCACACTCATGCATCACATGCTTATCTCTGTCTGAAAGGTGCATTTAATGGATTATAATGGGCTGCAGCATCACAGTAATCTTTTCTGTGTATTTATTGTGCATTCAGTTGTATTCAAATCTATTTTTACAGCATTGTTGGTGATACATTTCATGCAGCAGGGGAGTGTAAGCAAGGCTGGATTACTAACTAGGTGAAGTTGCCTGCAAGGCTCTGCGCCTAGAGAGGCTTTCACTGCATGTCAATTGGATTAGGTCATTTGATTAAATGTAAATATAAGGGAAATTAAAGTGAATATCAACTTGAATTATTAGTTAATCTTGCTGCGCCTTGTATTTGCACTGGATTTAAATGTCCAGTGTGTAACATTCATGAGGATCTGTTGGCAGAAGTTTAATATAATATTTATAGATATGTTTTCATTAGTGTGTAATCTGCTGAAAATAAGAAGTGCCGGTTTTTGTTTTCTTAGAATGAGGAACAAACCAAACACTGGCTCTATATAGGGCCTTTTGTGTTTTTCATACGCTTTGGGGCCACCGTAGTTTCTTCTACACACTTGGAGGGCTGAGCTGTATTCAAATTGGATCCAATCTGCAACTTCACTGCTAGATGTCGCTGAATCCTGCTCACTGGTACTTTTAATGTAAACTTGAAGGAGACAGAGCACAAAGACTTTGTACAAAGGGCAGCGGGGGCCAAACAGTACATGTTTGCTCCATTTCTACACTTTCCTTTGTTATTAGTCCGTTAGTATACAGCATCAAGTGTCTTGAATGTAATTAGATATATGTTTTTATGGCTTTCAGTTTTAGTCATTCAGTATATAGCGTTCTGTATGTTAATTACAGGAAACTGTGTATGTACATGATGTGATACATTAAATGTTATTTTGAGTCTCACATTAATGACGTGAATGGAAACAATGACTATTTATCCTTTTATTGTTAAATATGTGCTGATCTTTGTACATTTAGTAAAAAGCTGAAATTATACCTCATAATTTGTTGTAATAATTACACTTGTATGACACACAAGAGTAGCTAAACTCTTTGGACTAATAAAACATATTTAGAAAGGTACATTTTACATCGACAAGCACTTAGTTCTGTAAATCCCCTTTTCTTGTGTCTCATTTTTCACATGAAAAACCACAAAAACTCCCTCTTTCTACGACACAGCACTAACTCACACAAAACATTCACACCTTTCTTTCTCTTAGTTGCTTTTATTTCATCCATATTTATTCTCATATATTTATTCACTTGTGCTTTTTACACTTTATTTCACCTTATTTAAGTTTTGATATGTTTTTTACTGCTGTATGCTCTTTTGTTGTAACTCTTGGTTTTGTGTAATGTCAGATTTTCTATTTGAAACCTCTTGTATACTCCATTGGATGTTTTTTAATTAAACACAAACTATAAGTGGAATTTAAATATAGTTAATTGTGCAATTGTTGACACATCTTTTTGCTGAGGTGGTGCTTTTATTCTGAAGGGTACAGAGCGGACGTACAGTTGCTGTTGGCGGAAATCAGGCGGGCTTTTAAAAACAAGCTAACTGTAAGTTGTTGTTAGTATGAATATCAGCTGTATTTAAAGACATTAAGGAAGAAAGGGACATTTATCCTCATGGCGAAACAACGGACCACAACAGCTCAACCCTCGGATATTAACCAGACTTCCGCTCCTGTGGCGAAAAAGTCCAAACCGGTCCGTCGTACTGAAGAAGGTCTGAGAGCCAGAAAGGAAAGCGACCGTCTGCGAGTAAAAACCAGGATAAACATCTCTTATAGCTTCACAAGATGGAGAAAGTTAAAGGTGGAGAGGAATCTACGGACGGATGGAGACGTCGCTAACTATCTCTTGAACTTGTGAGTATTTGGTTACAGCCCCATTGGGCCATGTTTGTGACCGATAACAGCGCTGCAGGACCACGACTGTATATATATTTAAAGTATTAACAGAATGCACATTGTCTTTTAAAGCTGAAATCAGGCTGTAATTAAAGAAAAAGGGTGTAAAAATTAAACGGAACACAGCACTTCCTCGGTTGTGATAAGATCACTCATATGACATCTCTAGTTTCCCCTCGTTTTTATCATTAAAGGAAACATGCATCCTGACATACAAACACATGTCTTAATGCACCTTTTAAAGCAGGAATCACAGAATAGTTGTTAAAGTTTTCAACAGGAACGTGTTTCCCCCTCACATGACAGCTCAGTTCACCTTACACGTGTGTTCAGGGCCAATAACATGGTTGTGACTGTCGGCTCTGACACCTCCGCGATGCACAAATGTGGCGATGTGAACGGACAACTAAAACAGCCTGTATAAAGTATTTATTAAAGATAATCACGACAGCTTAGTGTATTTTAATATTTTCGTCAAATGCTCTTGAAGACCAGTGTAAAACGACGGCGCATGTTCGTCCACCGTGCGGGGACTACTTTTCCTTCCGCGCTGGCGAGAAACCAGACAAGAGGACTGCAGTAAAGTTGGGCTGAAATTGGATATCGCTGTGGCTTGTGGAGGCGCAACTTGTGTTATTAATGGAAATATCGATGTGTTTTTGAAGTCTTTTGCGAATTGTATTTCTCACTACCTCCAGCAACTGCTTTGTGAATTAATTGTTTTTGTTTTAACTTTTTAGATGGTTTAATAATTGAAGTAGCATTACATGAAGGCTAAAAATCACCAGTTTACTCCTGTGAATCTCAAAAATATGTACATGCTTAACAGTAACCAGTATCTGTATAATATGGTAAAGTTGGCGTGAATCAAATGTTCTTATCGTATGTGACAAATGCTGAATGAAGAAACTTAGAATTAGTTTCTCTTTGAGAGGATGAGGTTCAGTGGTTTGTCAACCTGGCTTGCAGGTCAGAGAAGAGACAGTTTCATGTGGGAGTTCAGTCTGTTCTCATAGCATTTGTACACCAACACAAGAAGTGAAAGAGGAGGCGGGCCCAACTGAAACTATTATGAAAAAAGGAACAAATTTGAAACTGAAAACAATTAAATATCGGGGTATGTAGAAATCATAAGTGGTGGATGAATTTGTGCACAATTGACTGGACTTTATTTGACCCAAAACCCTACAAATAGGTTGTCTGCTGGGAGTTTGTCTTACAGCTGAGACCAAAACTCAACAACCAACATTAGAGTTGTTTTGGTGTTAGTTAAACAATTTATGTTTCAGTTGTCCTTAAGTTTAACCTTAAACCTAATCATAATCTCAATTTCAACATGTTTTGGTGCTTATCAAGTTAATTAGTATGTAAATAAAAACAAAATCCAGAAAAAAAAACGTGTCAGTCTTTCAAAAAACAAGTGGGATGTTAGTGAATCACTTGGGGTTACCTCTCCTCTCTTATCCAGATGTTTCATTGAATGAGGCCAGTTACACCTACAAGAGTACACTCAGTCCCAGAACCACCAACACTTTTGGAACAGTTCAGACCTTCACTCATCCACACGTACTGCATGTACATACACTGAAACCTGCAGCAAAAAGACAGTCTGTATTTACACTACTCAAAAATACCAAACTCAAAGAGAGAATAAAGAGCCCGAACAAAAAGCCAGTGGACACTTCAGCAACTTAAACTATGTGGAGTTTAGAGGAGAGCTATGTGGGATTTCCATGTCCTATAACCCAATACTATATAAAGCTATTAAATCTATAAAAACCCACTGAAGATAGTTTATACGAGGGACACTGCAGGGCTCAACCACGAGGTGCTCATGTTCAGTTTATAATGTAACACTGACTATCAGACTATTTAGACAACATTACATTAAAATCTAAAAGTTGTGCAAGAGGAAACTATTTGTCATCTAAAGCAAGTTTTGTCATATACTGAAACATGGATCCATGTGAGGCACCTCTGACCTGTATTATTAATTCCAGACTGCCACCTGTTGGACAAACTCAGATCACACCAACTTCAGCTGATGTTCCTCCCCAATGAAAATACACTAGATAATCAGATGGAGAAAAATGTTAATGAAGTTTTATTGTTTATTTCTAATATTTCCCAGATATTTAAAATATGTTTCACAGTTAATTATAGAGACACTTTAAACATATGTACAGTATATGTGTAAGAAAACATGTTCATATGACAGTTCTGGGCCCTCTTTACCCCACACACTAATTACCATTAGTCAAACTGTGTGGAATATAGAGGAACGGACATGACACACTTTTATCTTCCCCCAGAGGTGGGCAGCGTTCATTGGTCATTTTGTTTGGTGGGATGTAAAAACAACATTCATATAAATGAAGGCAGATACCTCTCAGTATAAGACGGTACAGTTCAACAGCCTGACAAAATGCAGCTAACAAATTTTAATTACCATAAAGTTGAATCAAAGCCACACTTTCTACTGGAAATAACAGCTTTGCTCTTTAGTATTAGTGCATTTTCTTGTGCATGTGGTGTGAAATGCAGAATACACACCGACAGCAGCAGAGGCTGAGATATCCAGACTGTAGTATCTAGACTCTACCACTTCCTATAATGCAACAAATAGCCTATTCAAAATAACACACTTCAAAATAAATACTGTCTATTTAACTCAGGTTTGTTTATTTAAAAAACACCAACACTCAACACTGTGTACAAAGATTATTTTTACCTGGACATCAACTTTCTGGTTTCAGAACTGTTCTTATCTACACAGCGAGCAGGTCCTCTTCTACAGAGTCCGCCATGTTGAACATGTTTCTACAGTGGCCCAGAATGGACAAACCAAAGGATGGCTCTAGATAGGGCATTTTGTGTATTTTGCAGGTTTCACAGCCACCATAGTTTTTGCTGCACACTTGGAAGGCTGAGCTGTATTCAAATGGTTGCAATCTTCAACTTCACCACTGGATGCCACTGAATCTTACACACTGGTCTTTTAAATTGAAACATCAAATAAAACAACTATAATGAAATAAAAACCCCAATATGAAAATAAGAAAGACAACATAACATTTCATAATGATGACTTGATTCTTAATTGTTTTGATGTATTGGTTTATTTTGTATGTAATAATAACAATAATATTATTTAATACTGAGTCTTGTTAATTAAAATGTAGCAGTCCTAGAAAGGCAGTCAGTCTTTTTATTGTATTCCTAAACATTCATCTAACATTTTTTGCTTGAAGGTTTATCTTTGTTTATCTTTATCTCTCACCGGAAACTGTCTTTCAACCCGTGTCTCGAGTTCCTTATCACATGATGGAGATCAGTTGTCATGGAGACGTTTCGGTTTCATTGGACAAGTTTTTTTGTGTCGGTGTCTCATAGCGAAATGGGGGAAAAATACATGTTGTTTTATGAATAAATAAATAAATAAAATCTATACAGCAGAGCTCGGTGTAGCTATCGCCCCGGTTACTGTCCCTAAAAGTCCCCGACTACATTCCCCACAATGCAACGCGACCACGTCTTTACGCTCCTGTGTTTACGTTTAGCGGTCACGTTCTCCAATTGCTGGAGCAGACTTTTGGTCACTGTACAGACCACTCAGAAATGGTGGCGGTCGTCAGTGTATAATTCCTCGTTTCTCTCACACTGTGGTTGTTTTTCTATTTGTGTAACGATGCCGGGGATGTGCTCTGTGCCCGGCTGTAAGGGCTACAAGAAGGCCCGGTCCCGGGGAGTCGTGTTCCACTCTCTGCCTACAAGAGACCCGGGGCGGTGCAGAAAGTGGTTAAAGGCCATACAGAACCCCAAATTTGACGAAAACACACCAGTAAGTAAATACGGGAATATACGAGTATGTAGCCAGCATTTTAAACCGGAAGACTACGAACCGGACATACAGGCAGAACTTATGAAAACAACGCCCCGAAAAATCCTCAAGTCCAACGTGATCCCGTCTGTTTTCTCTGGAAGACAACAAGAGGTCCTCAGCACCTCTCTGCCAGCAGAGGACAGTACCCCAGCAGAGGTAACCACTTCATTTACCTGTGGGCGGTTTTATAGGAAACGTTGGCTAGAAATCTTATATTTAAAGGCATAATATGATTTCCACATGTATTACTGAGTTGTGCTCAAGATAAATCTGTAATAGTATTCAAAGTAACAGTGGCTTCCAGTGGTTGTCTGTCCCTCTAGTTCAGGGCTGCCCAAGGTCTGATGTAGCCCGCCAGATGTTTCTAGCTAAAAACAATTAGAAAGGGATTAAATGCTTTTATTAGTGAGGTTATAAATGCTCTGTAAATATGTAGGATCCCTCATTATTAATTATTGTTCATAATATGAGCGTGGTGGGTGACATTTTGCATCTTGACAATACTCAACAGTAGGTGTTTGCTTTCCCCCCCATGATCCACCATAAAGTGTCAGTGTTGGGCCTTCTTGGGTAAAAGTTTGAGCACCCCTGCTCTAGTTGCTATAACTTCATGGGAAACACTGGAAATACCAGCTGACATGTCAGAAAGTGAGGAAGGAAGGAAGTCGACAAACTAACTAGCTAACCATTCTTTTGATTTCTGTTTAAAAAGTTTGTATTGCTCGCTCATGATGGAGTATTCAGTGCCGTTTTCTAGGCGTTCTGTCACAAAGCGCAAACATACAGGTGAACCACACAATCCAACTGTGGGACAAGATGAGGGGTACAATGAGGGTAAATATTGGTGTGGCATTTTCCAAGATTGAGAGAGATTCATGTAACATACAACATATAAATAGTTACACATGCTCTAAGATCATACATACAGAACATACTTAGTCACAGTAGAAAAATGTCACACAGAGTTTATTAACAAACATTTTATTAAATAGTGTTTATACTGCGTGTGTGTTCATCTTCTTTTGTGTAATTGTGTGAAAACCACCCGAGGACTATGGAAGTGAAAGATAGTGTTTAGACACTAGGCAATGGTCTTAAAATATTGAAACAGCTTTTTTAAAACAATTCTTTGTTACAGCAAAAGGACAAACTTTGTTTCGGAAAAGGATGAATGTGTAAACGCTGCAGTAGTGGATTCATACCTGTGCTGGGCTGGTTTGGGAGTGGGAGCCGCAGCCACAATGTCTACTAGAATTTATCAAACAGTTGAGTTCATATTGTTCATCACAATTAGCCTAAAGAGCGTTCTGTGGTTAAAACATACTGGTGGAGGATAAGAGTTGACGACATAATATATACATAGCTTTTCTGTACGTTTATGCTTGTTGAGTCTGTGTTTTGATAAGTTTATCTTATTATGAACGTTTTATTGTAAGGGAGCACGATAGTCGATCTATACACTATTTTCCATCTGATTGCAGAGAACATCAAGTCTCTCTTGTAATGGAACTAAAATATTATCATGCCAACTCTTATTGTGATTGCCCTCTAGCTGAAGACCAGAAATACGATGCTTTTCAAAATGTAGGCATTCACAGTAGAAAACTACTGCTTGTTTCAACCCGATGCTGATATTTCTTGTTTGTCTGTTTGTTTGTTTGTTTACTTTTAATTAGGTGAAGACTCCCAGTACAGCTGCTCAAACCTCCACCTCAGTGGTTTCAGGCTCCAGTATGGACGGTGTGTTGCGATGGGCCTCTGCGTTAACCTCAGTAAGTGTGACGTGGTAAAGTTATGTTCCTAATGTTTCTGTTTCGTTTTCATGGGTTTGCACGTGGTTAGACAGCTAGACTCATTACTTTCTCAATGTAGCGCTTTTATTTTGAATAAGTACTACTGGCTTAACAATCCTTGTTTTTACTCAAGGCTCCGAGGGCGTCATCACAGGTTTCTTCCTTTGGTGTTCAAGTCACTGATGTGGATACTGCATCACTTTCTCCTTCGCTGTCGATTCCTGTAAGTGTAACACATGACACCAGAGGCCACTACTGTGAACCCTTTTCAGACAAGTTGCTCACACAGAAACCTGTCTCTGTTTTCACAGATTACTTCAGGAGCTCCAAGCACATCACCCCAGTCCCCTCCACAAGCTGAACTCAATGAAAGTTTGAGCAGCGTTGCATCTGTGGATGGTGTGAGTGAGAGCTTCCACCAAGAGACTGAATTAAACACAACCGCAACGTCAAAATCAGGCAAGAACACAGAAAAGGACTTCAAAGACTCAAAGTCAAAGACTATTGTGAATGACAGCTGCTTGATGGAGCTGTTTAAGAAGTGTCAGACATGTGGGCAGCCCATAACAAGAAAGAAGGTGTCTCACTGCGGTGCACAGAAGAAGGTGAGGTGGAGCTGCCTTGGTGGCCACAGGGGCATATGGATGTCTTCACCTCACCTTTGGGAGGCATTTCCTGAAATCCACCTTTTTGCTGCTCTTTCCGTTCTTTTTTCTGGAGGCACCTTTACACAATTTAAAAAGTGGGCCAAACATCTGCACCTGAATTTCATGGGGCATAAAACCTTTTTTGAAATTCAAAAGGCATACCTCAGCCCAGAAATGAAACAGATGAACAGGACTGAGCAGGGAGGGGCCTTTGCAAAGGGGGTCCACCAACAACCTGGAGGCACTCTTCTTCACATTTCAGGTGATGGTTTTCTGTGATTCTCCTGGTTTCAGTGTCACATTTCAACTTTGTCTTTGTTTTGTTTGTTTTTATACACAAACTGTGCAGGTTCAAGATTAAAGCTCTGTATATTCACATAAATATGCTTACACTGTATATTGTTGTCCTGCACTAATTGGACCATTTTCAGCAGCCAATTGGTAAACTGACCATTTTAAGGCTGTTCGGCTTAGTGAATCCATGATTTTGCCAATTTGGTGTTGTTTTTCCTTTTTTTTTTATTAGTCTTTTCTTCTCTGCTGTGAGCAAAAGACCAATCCGTTTGTGCAAAAGAAAAGCTATATTATATATTCTTATTTATTATCCCAAGTTTATGATGGAATTGTTAGAACAGATTCATAGTGTTATCACCACACTCGAGTTAACACCTGAAATTATTAATAACACCACTGTACCAAAAAGACTACTACATTAATGAGCCAGAAATTAAAATCTTAGTACTTACTACTGAATGTTGTTTTTTACTTTGAAGATCCTCTGAAGAAAATGAAGGCCAAGTCGAGGAGAAGAGAGAAGGGAGTTCTGTCATCATGGTTAAGGTGAGGCAGCATGTACAGGCTATACACATCACAACCAAATCCATTTACTTTCAATGGAAAGCACTAATCAGCATGCCAAAGTCTTGTATAAAGTCATCTGTGGATCGAGAGAAAAGTTAGTAACATCAATCACTGAACCTGATGTTGGTTGGGAGACTACAGAAACACAAAGCTCACCTGGAACTGGGCTTGTGCAGAAGTGGGCAGAGCTTCCCTATTAAAGCTGGAGAAGCTAAGCTCATTGTTCAAATCCGTTAACCTCTAGACTCTTGTTTTGTGTTTTGATAAATTTTGTTTATATAAAAATGGATTAGTGCTATCTTAAAATGTAACCGTTCAGTTTGATAAAAATGGATTACGGCTTTATTGGATGAACTTTTTAAGCACTGTTTTAGTTTAGTAAATCTAGTCTGTGACCTACATGGATTGTCTGCAATATTAATTATTATTATATTTATATTAATTTAATAAATACTGCTCTTTTTATATATATCTATCATGCTTGTTATGTGCATTGCTGTCTTTTTTCTCAAATGTTCTACTATGTATCTTCATTTGGTAGCCCGTAATAAAGTGGTTAAAAACATTAATAAAGGCAAAAATGTTGTCATTTTGAATATAGTTGTGATACTGGGACTGTGACTCATTAAAAACCATTAAAAGCAATTTACTCAAAGACCATAAAAAGACCCCGAAAAATTACTAACTTACTAAATTCTTAGTTGATTAAAGGCACACTATGCAAGATTTGTACCTTAATTTAACAGCTTCAAAGTCATTTCGATGGTAAACAAACTCATAGTATAGCGAATCATCCTGATAGCAAAGCAGAAGAGGGACGCCGCTGGCAGAACCAGCAATGCAAGTCTGAATGCCTGCTAGTGTCTTCCATTGAGGCTGCTGCTTATGTCGCTGATGTATGTGACGTCGCGCCATAAAGCAATTTGTGATTCTTGCGAGATTTGGCGGGACGCCACCTTTCAGACTTGCATTGCTGGTTCTGCCAACGGCGTCCCTCTCCACCTTTGCTATCGGGATGATTCGCTATACTACGAGTTCGTTTACCATCGAAATGACTTCGAAGCTCTTATATTAAGGTAAAAATCTTGCATAGTGTGCCTTTTAAATACAAGTACTCCGCAGCGACTCTAGGGGTAGCTGTTTGACAAAAGCGGAAACTGCATAGTATGCCTTTAACAGATCAACTAAGAATAATGAACTTGAGTAGTAAAACAACAGTATGAAGCTACTGACCAGAGCGGTTTGAAGCACAAATAGGGTTCAGACACATACCATATAAAATAAAATTAAAAGATTAAAATATCTGAACTACTATAAGTTTGACTGGCACAGTTGCTGTAAACTATTAGATTAACTCATCTACTTCACCTGTAACTCAGGTACTTGTTAAGCTGAGGGAAAGTTTGCATGTTTAACATTTCCAGATTAGGTTTTGTATCTAATGATAAGGTTTCTTTTTACAGTTATGAAAAGAGATCCTCAATATCGCTGACCTCTACTGGAACGTGTACGCAAGATCCTACTGCACTATCAAGTCTTGGACATGTATTGGCCTCCAGAGGGTAAGCAGTCATCTACCTCGCCTTGTGTTTTGGCTGGACTGCACCTAAACGAATAAATATGAAAGTCTAACTGTGATATACAGAGTGAGTGAAGAAGTTAAAGGTAGAATGAGTAGGATTTTCAATGTATAGACTCAATACAGGACAAAATGAATCCCTCTCAATCATTCTGCCTCGCTAGAAGAGAGTGCCAGTTTCTGTCTCTGCAGAGACCCTCTCCTCTGTCTCTATGGTGTTTGGGATCTTTCTGGGCAGTGGGTGTGTAGCCCCCAGCCAATAACAGTGTGCAGGATGTGAGGGCGGGACTCTAACAAAGCAAGTAGCAACCAGAGGGGTATTGCACAAAACCAGGATAAGGGATTAAGCCGGGATATGTTGGTTATCCTGGCTTAATTTAGCCTCAAGTCGGTTGCATGAAAGCAGCTCAAACTTAACCTGGCTAAGTTACTATGGTGATTTATTCTCTGCAGTTAGCCTGCTCCAGACCAGGCTAACAGCCAGGCTAACATTAATCCAGGTGATTCACCTGTATTTCCACCGTCAATCCTGTGAGGAATTAATGTGTTTTACTGCATGTCCATGGTCTTTCTAAGTATGTTGCATCATTTTAATTATCCTGCATTAAAATATTACATATATATTGTCATTTCTTATTTCATTTAAATCTGTTGGCTGTTTCTAATTGCAAAAGTCTTTTTATATTGATTCAAGTGGTAGTATTATTACTCAGGACAAGTGTTATATTGCTATGCTAATGAGGACAGCTTGTCAAACTGCATAAATATGTGTTTATTGCAGTAATTGAGATTACAAAACACAGCTGATGAAGTTGCAAAGGTGTTTTCAATGAAATCTGTGACAAGGGCAATATAGTATATATATTATGGCATACCGTTTAGGAAATTAATCTTTGAATATATAGAATGAAACTTGACTGGTCATGAAGGCACTGCTGCCATCTTGTAGAAGTGAGAATGAGTCAGTCAGGAACCTTGTGGCAGCAATACTGATCAATGAGGACATTATTAACTCATTGGTAAGTGCTTGTACGGGCCACAATCCTTCCCATAGTACCCGTGCCCAATACCGTTATCATGACGAAGAAGTTCACTCCCTTTTTAATGGTGGCAGACCGACTACAACAGGCCTCAGGCTAAATCCTGACAGAAAAAGCAAAAAAGTTTTCCAGTTTAAGAAAGTATTGTAATATTTCAACTGATGCCATTTTGTAAAACCAGCTAATTCAGAAGGCTATCACTTTGATGAAAAGGATACAACTAGGTTTTCAATTTCATTCAGTATTCTCACATTTTTATCAATATATCCAAGCTTCATTCCATATATTCAAAGATTCATTTCCTAAACGGCATGCCATAATTTATATATATATATATATATATATATATATTATTCACAGCTGTTCCCTCTTCATAATGGCTTGCCCTTTCTTGGAGGATGTACTGGATGAGGAAGCCCTAATCCTCAGACGAGCATTTAGTCATGCAAGAGTCTTCTGGGACAGGTCAGACCCATTGGCCGTTGGAGATGACTATCTCAGTGAGAGATACAGATTCTCAGGTGATGGACTAAGATATTTATGTAGGCTGCTGGGTCCAAAAATACAGCACCAGACGGCAGGAAGCCATGTTCTCACTGTACCACAGATGGTCTGTGTTACAGTGAGATGTTTTGCAAGTGGGAGCTTCCTTTATTCTGTTGGGGATGCAGAGAACCTCAATAAAGGAACCATTTGCAGCACATATCCTGGCTTGGTGGGCCCCCTGTGCCAGTTCTATGGGCTTTTTTTAACTGCTACAATCATACAGACATTCAACATGTCAGCAGACACCTAATCTATTCACCTCATTTGTTCACTGTTATCTACTTTAGAGTCACTGACCAGCCTGCAGAATGTTCTTGTATTTAACTTTAACTTGCTGCCAGGTCCTTTTATGGCCAGACAAGTTTGTTCTTTATGAAGGATAGAAAGATAAAATAGATAAAAATAGATTAAATGACACACATTGTGGATAATTGTTTGCACTTAATCATACTCTACATTTAAGTAACATGCACCTCTACTTTCCACATTTAAAGCAAAGTGTACAACAGTTGATTAGTGGACTTAAAGTAACTCCTTTAGTCCTTTAATTGGAGCCTAATTATGACAGTTGTAGTGAAGCACCGTTTATTCATTGTACAGTTTTGGACTACTTAAGCATTAAGCCGGTCCGCTATTGTCTGCCAGGCTTTCTCTCTTTCTTTAATTATGGCATTGGTATTGGCTTTTTTTCTTATATCTTTCACCTCTTCATAGAACTCCATCAAGAGATGTTGTTCAGCGGCCGTGAAATATGAAGCGCGACTCTTGGTGATTCTGTGAGCGATCGTGAGGTCTATTTCAGTATGCCGTGAACACGCACTTATCCCGACTATCTACACCTGGCTTAACATAGCCGCACCTTTTAATCCTGGCTCGGCAAACGTGCAACCAATTAAGCCAGGATGCGCCGAGCAGGCTAAGTCAAGCCGCGCTTGCTCAATTATCCTGGATTTCTTTATCCTACTTTTGTGCAATACCCCTCCGGTGCAAGATCATAAGGATCGTACTGAGGAAACAAACAAACAACCATCAAGAGAAAGGGAGGTGACATTATCAGCTACCTGGATAGTATTGAACCAGGAATGTGGTTGTTACTTTCTCTCAGTTCTAGACCCCTGCACAAACAGAACAATTGGATGATCTGGGTTACTCTGTGGCTTTTTCATTGGATCACGTTATATTTTACAGGCATTAATGTGTCAGCCAAGACAATTAGTGTCCACATGTTGCAACAACTTTCATTTTTTATTATATTTGTATATTTTTTAATTTCAATATGTGTCTGCAGAGGTAAACAGCATCAGCAATATGTTGAACATCAGAGTGAAACTACACATATGGCACCAGAGGTGGACCGTCTTCAGGACAGGTTAATATTGATCTCTGTGAGAATGTAGGTTTCAGTGGGTTTATATGTCAATCAGAATAGTATTGATTATCCTAACATACATTTTCACTCTGTCTTATTCAATATCCACACTGTAATCTGTCACTTTCAGTTTTGATGAGATGGAGTTCACCATTGAAGAGGACGAATGCAACAGTGTGAACAATAGACTGTAATTTTATACTATATTATACAGGATATATCGTATGTTAATTTTTGCACTTTTGTGGCTCATTTGATTCTGGTGTTATTATCTTTTTATATAATAGATATGATTCGGATAATGATGTGAAAAATGTCCTACAAACAACGAAGCTCAGGGCTCCAGGAGTTGATGAGGAAGACGTCTACGTACCAATTATTCCTCAGAGGTCTGTTGGTCTTTGATGTGGTTCATTTGCAAGGATCTTTTATTTTAAATGAATCATGTTTACCTTTGAATATATTGAATAGAATATATTGATTTAGACTACGTCTGTACAGTGGAGTCATAAATATTTTTATACTTGATTCTCAATTTTGACATGAAGAATCTACTTATTTATTCTTGCTCATATGTTTCCTGTATTTTCTCTTCCACTGACCACTTTTTAAACCGACCAAACATAATAATGAGCAATAAACATTTCAAAACAACCAAAAATAATATTGGAATTCAGAAAGGCCAAAATTGCAAAGAAAAACAGTCCAGACAGAAATAGTGCTGAGCTCCTTCTCTTCCTATATAGGGCAGGAGAGTCAGTCTGTTGTTTTCTGTCTCAGGTCCACATCATCTGAATTATTACTGGAATGTGAAGAAGAGGAGCTGGAGCCATGGCAGAAACACACTTCACATGTTCAGTTGAAAGTTGAGGATGATGTTGGAGAGTTGAGTATGTCACACCAAATTCTTAAAGAACATGTTGGTGTTAAGGATTTCAAACATCCGACTTTTGTTCTCCTTTTAAAGAGCAAATAAATGTTGAGTTGAAACATGCCATTATTTAAACATTTGACCTGCTACTGTTGGTTGAATATTGATAGCTTACCATAACAATTAAACATATTTTTTTTAAAAGTATTTGATAGATGGATTGAGCTAAACTTCTGCTGTTGCACTTATCTCACCTAAAATAAAAAGACAAAAGTTGGACATACTATAAGGACTTTTTAATCTGGTCATGAAAGTCTCAATTTAATACTGATGCCTCTATTTGACCTAAATTAACAAACAAGACCGTCAGTGAGAATGTATCCTTCCTCTTAATAATACCACCACCTTCCACCAGATTGGATGCGATAGTAAAGGAGACATTACCGCTTTTGCCCACAGAGGCCGCCAGACTCAACACAAAATAAAAGTTCCTTGTAGCGGCTGTAACGTGAATCTTATTAAAGTGCCTGATTTAGTCCTTTCTGTTCATACAGGTATCGACCAAATAGATTGTAAGCCAGAGCTTTCACTTCTTCAGAGAAATGCAGTGAGTACTTCACCGCGTAATGATGTCATTCAAATTATTTTATGTGTAATAAATGACTTAATAAGTGAAAAAGTGTTGTAAATTTAACCTGGTTGATGTATTAGTTGTTTGTTAACTCAGTTTTTCCATTTTTCAGGGCTTCATTAGAACTTCTCCTGAGTCAACAAGCAGTTCTGAGTTCATTGGCTCCCTCAGGACACATTGCCGTACTGGGAATTCATTTACAATAGTACCAGGTAAAATTGAGAATAGCTCTGAGGAGACTGTAATTTAATCTCATCTTTTCAATGATTATATAATAGATCATGTGTTTTTTATGGTAATGCCATTTTTGTAATATTGGATTGGATTAAATTTCTCTAAAGAGTTTGTGTTGTTTTTCAGCTGCTCAGCAGCAACTTTTCCAGAAAGTGGCTACGGCAACAATAAAACTTGAGCCCGATGATCAAATGAGCAACAACTCCATGTCCTGTGTCCAGATTCCTGCGTTATATGCAACATCATCTAACCAACTGCAGTCAGACCACTCACACACTCTCCCTGTACCTTCTTCTTTGCCTTGCTTTACTGTACTTAAACTTGAACCAATGAACCAGTAATAACCAAGAGAACGCATGCTAACAGTTGGTAAGTTCACATGTGCTCAAGTGTTATAATAACACACAATTTGTCTGTCAGTTACATTCCACTTCAAAGGTACGGGTTTTATTTTAATGTTAAAATAAATTCTTAAAGCGAAAAAACATTTTCAAGTGCTTTATTCTTGTATTGTTTAAATGCATAATTTCTCTTTAATACATTAGGATTTAGTGGGATCAACACTGAATTTGATTTTTAAAATGTTGAAAGTCTCACTGTGAAGAAGCACTGAAGTGTTTAGTTTGGTTTTGAGGACTAACCACAGCTGTTGATCTAAATCAGTCGGTCCCAAACCCTTACGCCCCCCAAATACATGTATCCTGATTGCAGTTTTAATCAACCAGTAACAATACTGGGTTAAATGTAAAAAGAAATTGTCTTACTTTCTGAACACATCTTGATAACCTGAATCTTGACAGACTTGATAGTATCCACCACCCACAGTACAACTGTGTTTCAGAACATGCAGGACAATGTCAGTCTGGTATGTTTAGATTTGTGGCTTCTGTGTTTGCACACTGATGTATAGTGGCCAAGTGGTGGAAACATATTTTTAAAGTCTGCATGCTTTAGATTGTGATGTGTAATCATATACAGATTATTTCTCCAATATACAAGTTAAAATAACATTTAGGTTGCGCAAAACTGATGCAACACAACAGACATCGGCAACGGATGTCGGTAGACGCAATCTTAGGCCGATGTCAGTCAACAAGGCAAATATCGTCCAATACTGATGTTCAGCTGACATATCGGTGCATCTCTGTTCAAAAGTTGACCTTTAAGTGGTGTAATTATACGGCTACATGCACGTTGACCAAAAGCTTTTCTGCACTGTTATCTAACTTAGATTTCTATCCCTCACACCTTTAAATACCGATCTCTATTACAAACGTGCTTGAAGACTAATTCACAAATCAAAATGTAGTGTTAAAGATGTTCCCAGAATTTTCAGCATTATTTTAACTCCCACTCTTAGCTCAGTAACCTTACTGTACTGTATTACAGTTGTAAACCTCAGTCTTGTTACCCACCTGCTACTAATAATGTGGTATGAACAATGACTCAAGTGTGGAAAATTACATAGGCTATGTTAATTATAAGACTTTAAGTATGTGGTGTTATTTATTTATTTTTTCTATGTCTACTGGAAACCAAACCACATAGACCTGACCTTGATGTGACCCTTGAGATGACGCATCCCTGTGCACACAGCACAGATGAGGCCTGGATAAGCCCTGATGACAAATGTGATAAAGATTTAGGAGTTAAACACAGCCATCTCACACTTACTCTTATCTTTAAATCAACACTTGCGTCAAAGTAATAAGCCATAGGTTTACCAATCAGACTATCATTTTCTTTTCATGAGAAATAAACACCTTTATTTCAACGGAGGGAAAGTTTTACTGCAGGCTGGTGTGATTGTGTAGTTTATTGCCTTTCCAGTGAATATACTGGAGGTGTGTCACTCAATAGGAAATAACATTGTGGTAATTAATTTTAAATAATAATAAAAAAAGGTGTTAATCTAGACCAGGAAACCCTACAAATACAAAAAGGAAGTGATGAAGAGAATGCGTCAACCGCATTAAAAGAAGAAGAAGAAGAGAAGCGCCCGACGTTCTGATTGGTCCAGACAGTCGAAGCACTTCCGGCGCCTGGAGCCAGCGACACACTGGGGCTTTTCTTTTTCCCCCAGCTGAGCGAGAATTCATAAAACTGCTGCTGTCCTCAGATTAAAGGACTGAGCTGAAGCTGGTGTCTGTACACGACCCTGCCTTGAACCCCCGGGGGGGCTGGGTGTGAGAGAGGTAGGCTGAAACGTGAAACCGTGAACTGTAAACTCTTCAGTCTTTGTCCCAACATCACCTCACACATCATTCAACATGCTAACGGAGCCTAGCTACAGTCACAGTGCGCTCATCAATAAGTTGATCGACAACGTTGGCTCTTGCACTGGAGAGGTTGGGTTCATTGGAGATAAAAACGTGTTTTAAGTCTTTAAAAGAAAAGTTTTTTACCCCGTTGCAGACTGCAGCGACGTCAGTGGGAGTCATAAACATTAGCTCGTTAGCATTAGCTGCCCTGCTGTTGGAAAAGGACCGAGGAGCTAATAACATAATAAACATTACATCTGCTGGTGTTAGCTGGTGGTGGTGGAGCTGATGAGTGTTGGGAGTGTTGCAGGAAGCTAATAGTTAGTTGTGTCTTAATTTAATGTATTAATTGATGTGTGGTTTTATGATGGGACCAGTGTTAGCTGCAAACTGTAGCAGCATATCTACATTCATTAGATCATTTCAACTCATTGTACTTTATTGAAATCAAACAGCAGCTGCAGAAGTTTATTCTCTGTCACACAATAGCAAACAATGTCACCTAGATAATGAAATGTTAATTTATAATGTTTTAGACTTATATTTGTATCTATATGGGCAGTGGTTTGACAGCTGCCTCGGTGATTTCTATAGTAACTATTACTGTCGCCATCTTGAACGACGGCTTTGTTCCAGTAAAAGGCCCCAATTATTCCTGATGTAGTCAGAATAACCACCATTAATATTGCTGTGTCACATTTAGTCCTCATATAAACCTATTTGCACATATTGTTCAAATGGAAACATGTGCTGTCCCATTTGCAAATAGGAGACATATTTTATATTGTTCCATTACTTTTAAAGCGGCTATAATCAATATTTTAATATTGACAATGGGTATAATTACTTTGTCTAACGTGAAGGATGTTGTTCACAGTACCCACAGTTCAGCACTCACTGCTCGGGACCCAATTATAACTCATCTCTGCGACTCCCCTCAGCTCTGCAGAGCATTTTATTGTCTTTAAGCTCAATGTTTTGGTGTTACATGTTTTACTGTTCTACTCTCATTGCTCTGAACGCCTGTTTTCAGGGAAGAAACTTGACTGTAACGAACTTCTTAGCATCAAATGGCAAACAGACAAATGTTGTGACCAGCTGGTGAACATGGTGGCGCATTTGGCAGCTTCAGCCACATATTTGCCCCAGGAGTTTGTGGTGTAGAAACAGATCAAAGGAGGGTGAATATTTGGCTTACGTTTGTCAAATGGACAAAAACATGACTGCAATTAAGTGACAATGTTGCTCTGTGTCTGCTTGATGTGTAAATAGTAAGGTTGGGCATCTTCATCGTTAAAGCCGAGGCGATACGCATCTCGATGCATTGCCAACAACTGACAACTGTGTGCTAACACATTGGCCATAACAACTTTATAATACTGATATTCTGTCATTGTTGTGCTTATAGCTTGTTGCTTTGCCTCCAAGAGATTGAAAAAATATATTATTGCAGGTTAAAAAAATCCACTGATTTTTTTTACTGACAATGGCACAAATTACTTCATGAGTTGTTGCTTGTAGTAATGAAGCCACAGAAAATTAATCTGTGCAGTGCTTTCAGCAAGTTGATTTGGTTGTAGAGTTCACAAATTCCACTCTCATCAGCCTCGTTTTCAGTTGTTTTCAGCAATGAAAGGGTCTTGCAAAGCGAATAAGTGTATTTGAACTTTTCCCTTTAAGAACAAGTGTTCATTCAAAGGGAAAATCTGTTGGCTTAGAAGGAGAATGCACTGCAGCCAGTCCTTAAGTAACATTTTCACATTGGACCTGAATAAGAAGATTGGTAGCAACAAATAATGTGCAAACCACTTTGCAAATGGTAAAACATTTTTTTTGCTTGATGCTTCACCTTTTAAAATGTTCAACCACAAAAAAACAATTCAGCTGCATATATCACTTCAAATATGACGATATGCCAGACTTGGTTCAAGAAATGCAGGTTTTGCTGTAACCACTTTAGTACAGTGCATATAACTGCATCTTCAGATTTCACACAGTAATGTGATTTTCTCAGTAACCTGGTGTCTGCGTCCATGTGAAGGTAGTTATTGTATCACTGGCTCATTTATTCACTGTTCAGCAAAACTGTCTTAATCTAAGATGAACAATGCAAAAGGCCCTTTTTCACAGCAGACATTATGAGATGTCAGAAAAGCACAGATGTAACTAATAACATTAATTATGTGACGGTGAGCCAGCATGCACCAGTAACATTTAATTCAGACGGCGTTCGTTTCATTCATTCATTCATTCATTCATTGAGTTGCAGTAGTGGTATTTAAAAATGTTCATGTCGACTGAGTGTTGTGTTTTTATGTTGTTCCAGTTCCACCATGTCTGAACTTTTTATGGAGTGTGTTGAGGAGGAGCTGGAGCCGTGGCAGAAACAAGCTCCTGAAGTTCAATTGATAGATGACGATGATGATGAGCCCATCTTCGTTGGAGTGCTCTGTATGTCATAGCACATTTTAAAATATATGTTAATCATTTAAAAACCTTATTAATTTTGTTGATGTTTTAAGCTCCACAAGCAAAAAAAATTGCGACATCACAATATGACAGTTCAGAATCACCCTCTGCTGTTTCATATTTAGGGTTAAATGGTTTAATATTAGCTCTGTATTGTTTAGTTTATAATCAAATTATTTTGATTGTAGTTGTATCTCTTTTGTTTTCTTGTCTTCCAGCATGTTGCACATAATCTGTTAAAGAGTTTAAGTTTTCCTACATGTTAAGACAAAATGTTTTTGTGCTTATTCTGGCCCTTTTGTGTGGTCCCACAGCTAATAACCAAAAGGATGGAAAGCCTAACCCTCCACCTCCTCTAAGGAACAGCGCAGGAAAACAAGAAATAAAGCGCCCTGCTCCTCAGCCTGTCATTGGCTCCTCACAGATAATGCTGCCATTGAGTATCACTGGAAATGCAGTGAATACTGCAGCACCCAATCTGACAACAGTGACTCCGCAGCCTGTTATTGTCAATAACCAGGTATTGTTGGTATTGAAATAGTTTTTGCAAATAATGTGCAATAAGAACAAATGCGTGTTAAGTCTGACTTGTGTCTCTTTTTTTTATCAGGGATTTATTGTCACTTCTCCACAATTAGCAAACAGCAGTGAGTTTATTGCCTCTCTGGGGTCCCAGTACCCCCCTGGGACTTCATTTACAATCGTACCAGGTAAACCTAAGTATGATTATACCCCCTGAGGATTACATCTTTCCTCTCTCATCAGTGATTTTGTGTAATAATAAGCTTTTGTAGTTTTGATCTTACTCTGAAGAGTCTCTTTGTTCGGTCTTTCAGCTGGTCAGCAGCAGCTGTTTCAGCATGTCACTCCAGCCACAGTAATACCTGGTGCTGTACACAGGCCTCAGGTGCAACAAATCAGCAACAACATTGTGACGTTGTCTAATGTACAGAGCCCTGCTCTGTATTCAGCGCAACCCAACCGCACCAACTCACAATCTCTTCAGACCTTTTCTATGCCTGTAAAGGTCAATAGCAATAACAGAGGTAATTCTTAATGTTTTAGTCTTATGTCGTCATCCTTGAAAAACAATCAGCTGGCAGTAACTAAAATGTAAATTTATTTTCTTCATACAGATCAAATCTTACTCAAACGAGGACTGGCAACACAGCAAACAGACAATGCAGCAAAAAGAGTAAAGCTGGATTTCGGTAAGTTTATATTACTAGAGGAATTTTATTGATGCTGTATTGTAATGTCATCACTGTAAACAAAGCTAATCTTGGTTCCTCTTGTGTTTTTAATAGCTTGCTAATTGTAACATCTAACTTTCTCTGTAGGGCCGACAAATGTTGCAGTCCCAGTGGAAAACGGCATCATCAAGAAGAAATGTCCAAAGTGTCAGGAAGAATTTGTTACGCAGGAGACCATGAGGTGTCATATGATGGTGAGTAAAAATCTTATGGAATATTGTCCATCAGTGGAAATTAGCATAAATATGTGGTACATAAGTATCCACACAAAAAAAACATTGGAAAACCAAATGGTTAGTTACATGATATTGCCTTGAAATTGTTTATTTGTCCTGTTTATTTACTTGAATCTTCATACGTTTGTTTTTTTATGCCTACGTTCTTCCCCTGTATTCAGTTTATTACCACATACAAGCATTGTTGATGTGTTTGAATCTTTGCTTTGACAAATCAGACATCAATATGAAGTTGTCTTATTCGGGTAAAACATCATTTTATTTCAGAGCTGCTGTGTAAATGTGGAAAGTACAGCTCTGTCAGCCCTGGACATTAATGCAAACAAGCGCATCATGCTAGTCTCGGATTTCTACTACGGCTGGTTTGAGGGAGATGGGAATAAGAAGGAGGTGCAGAAGACCAACACCACTTTCAAGTGCCAGAGCTGTTTAAAAGTTCTCAAGAACAACATCAGGTATGATAATGTGTTTTCTTGCCCTCAGTAAAATAACGTTATGGTTTTTCCTTGCGAAATATACGATGTCAGCAGAAAAGATCAAGTACATCAAGCACTTGGTGCAGCTCTGAATGCTGCCTGTCCTCTAACTGTCTGCCAAACATCCTTGAGACCAAGCAGCAATCCTTCTGGCATTCCAGTTGCTGTCTGCTGATTCACCAGAGCTGCAACGTTTTGATAATTAGTTGATTGACAGAAAAGTAATCTATATAATATATTTTCATAATCAACTAATTTAAATTCTCCGGTTAAAGCTTCTCCAATGTGAGGAACAAAGGTCTAAATGCAGTATCTTTGGGTGTTGGATTGGCATGGGGCAATATGAACATTTCATGTCACGATTAATTAAAGTAATTGCGATTCACAATATTATCTCGATAATCATCAAAATCTGTTCAAAGATCTTAAAATGGTACAAAATAAATACTGGAATCATTTGACCTTACATTGAGTTAAGAAACTAATATGGACACCTCATATAGGAACCTCATCTCCCTGTCGTTCTTTAGTTTGAAATCTATAGTATTTCCACACATTTCCACAACAACTGCTTTTTTTTTTTGGGGGATGCAGTGGGCAAACATAAGGAAGGGTCCCCCTTTGTGGAAATTCAAAAATCAAAACAAGGAGATCAAGGATTGTATGTTAGCAAGCTTGACAGCTTTTTAAAGTCAGTCATGTGATGATATTCACAATTATCACAATAATGCAAATTCACTACGATATACATATCTGTTTTGTTTTGTTTTTTATCATGATGCACAAAAATATCATCCCATCCATAGTGTTGGACTGTTGGTCCGACAAAACAAGACTATTGAAGACGTCACATTGGACCCTGAGTAACTGGGACAAGCCTTTTCTGAGATTTATAGACTCAACAATTAATTGATTAATCAAGATTATCCACAGATTTATCGATAAAGAAAGTAAGCATTAGTTGCAGCCTTAGCCAACAGTAGATATGAACCATCCAAACAATGTATAACAAGCTGTTTCTCCACATTCTCTCAGTCAGTCGGGCTCCGTCAAGGTTGCGTCTTGTAATGTTTTTTTAACTGAATCTTTAGGTGCAAATGGTACCGTTTGGTGACCTCAACATTGCACCTCCACTGCTGACGGTGTAGTTCTTTGTCTTCTTAGATTTGTTGAATCTATTATTATGATTAATTGCTTGTGTATATTTGTGTGAAACTGGTGTAAATTTAAACAGTGACGCAAGTTCTGTTTTAAACCCAAACATTGCGAGGAAATTATTTTCCAACATTGAGTCTCCTGTCAAAAACATGTAGTAATTAATATGCTCTCAAAGTGCAGACTGGGACTTGAAGGACTTGCCGAAAAGATATCTGTCCACTGCTAATAAAGAAAGCGCAGACGTCTTCCTCGGCCCTCATTGCAGTTTTTTCCTCAGATGGATGACAGTATCGGACCGTTTTCCCTCATGGGCCTAAACATGAAAAATGACTGCTAGTTTAGGTGGCGTAAGAACTGCTCCTTTGATTAAATAACTTTGCTACAGAACCTTGCAAAAAAAGCTTCTGTAAGCTGCTTTTAATGGGGAAACACATTTGTACTGCAACCGCAGTCTCACAGTCAAGGTCATAGTTCATCCACATAAAAATTTCTATTAGGGGAGCTGAGGCAGCAGAATGTGCAGGCTGAAAAATGGGCCGTGCCTCGTCAGGGCAGCAGTGGCAGGTAGCTGTGGAGGTGCTAGTTGCAGCCGCAGAGCACTTCATCATTAGGTAAAACAAAAATCTTTGTGTAATTGCTGATATTATAACAGCCATTATACATGCTTAGAAAGTGAGGTGCAAGGAGAGCACTTCATTTATCTTTAAAACCTTTGGGACCTGGATCATTACCACTGCACATACATAGGCCATGAATATGATTTTTTTTTTTTCCCCACATCTACCCGACATAGGTTTTATTTTAATCCTCATATCTTAAAGGGCCAGTGTAGGTTATAGTGGCATCTAGTGGTGTAGTTGCAGATTGCAACCAGCTCTCCTAACCCTCCGTTTCCAAGCATAGAAACTACTGTGAAAAATGCAAAAAGGCCCCATCTAGAATCAAGATTATTGATAGCCTGACCGATTAATTGGGCCCATTATCTAGTGTGTGGGGAAAATGGGGAAAGGCAACCCATCAGACTGTTTTACTGCTTTGCTTATGGGCCCAGGTTGTGGGTCTTTCCTGCTTTGGCCGTCAATACTAATTAGCACATATTATATTTAATAAGCTTCCTGCGATCAGGGCTTTTGAGGCAGATCATCGATCACTAGAAGCAGTATCAGCCGATATTATTTTTATTTACTATTCTTATTCTTGGGGTTCAACTTAAACTGCAGCCTGTTTTTGGTTATTTGGAGCAGCTTAGAGCTTAACAGTGTTTCCACAGAACTGTGGAGGGTATATTTCTATTTCTAAAGTTCATTTCTAATTTCACCATTTTAATTCTACTTAATTCTCCACCTTATTTTAGGGTTTAATTGTTTAATCACAAATACTTGTGCACTTGCTTTTCCCCTAATCTTTCCCCACGCACAGACCTACACCTCTGTCTCATACACACTGGCTGCCCAGCCTCTTTCTGCTCCTCTCTCCATGTATCACACAGGCTGTATGTGTCTGCTTTGGTCAGCAGTATGTTTTATAAAGTCGCCCAAGAAACTCAAGTAATTACAGCAGTGTATTAATGACGTCACCTACCAAAAACAGAACTTGATTTACCTGCTCCGTGCTTATAAAAGATCCACCAAATAACATCTCCATCTCTGTTTCTCTGCAAAATACTAAAATCAGCCCCTGACCATTAATATATTGGCAGCCCGCCCAAGTAAACCTATGTGTGTCACAACATACTGAATAACCTCACCAAACGGGCTGATCCTTCATGGGTTCCTACTATTAAAGAGTTAAGTGACATTTATGTTTGTGTGCCCTCTCTTACAGGTTCATGAACCATATGAAGCACCACCTGGAGTTGGAAAAGCAGAACAGTGAGAGCTGGGAAAGCCACACAACGTGCCAGCATTGTTACCGACAGTACATGACTCCATTCCAGCTGCAGTGCCACATCGAGAGCGCTCACAGCCCGATCGAATCCTCAAGTATGATATAATCTGCTCAATCTGACGTGATAGATTGGTCAAACGCTGGGTTGTCTTTTGTTCATTTTATTTTCTTTCCCTTTTCAGCCAATTGTAAGATTTGTGAGCTGGCGTTTGAGTCAGAGCAGGTTCTCCTGGAGCACATGAAGGACAACCACAAGCCCGGGGAAATGCCGTATGTGTGCCAGGTCTGTCACTTCATACTGAGCTGTGTTTTTTTTGTTTAATGTTTCATGGAAAACATTCACTGATACTGAAATTCTGTTTCACTGATTCCACAGGTCTGCAATTACAGGTCGTCTTTCTTCTCAGATGTGGAGACACATTTCCGAAATGTCCATGAAAACACAAAAGACCTTCTCTGTCCCTTCTGTCTCAAAGTTCTAAGAAGTACTCACATGTACATGCAACACTACATGAAACATCAGGTATGTTGCTGCATTTCATCTTGTCTGTTATAAAGCTTGTAAAGACTTTCTAAAAGCCTTTTTCAACGGTTTACTGATTCTGTAAATTCTCAAGATGGTAAAAAGAATATTTGCAAGAGTTTGAACTCGGTTTTGGTTTGTACTATTTGCTCCAACTCAATGGTTGGATTGATTTGGTTGTCTGCAGAGCACCTTACTGTAATACATAAAAGGCTGACAATAAAACCTGGTTCTCTTCACCTGCTCTAAAGGAGCAATAAACATGGTAGAGTCGGAAGCAAACACAATTAATTGCTGTTCTATTTATAGCTGTGAAAGTAGTTTCTTTCATACTCGTTATATTATTTCAGTGAATCCAAATGAAACATCTCAGCTATTAGCCTCTAGTCGCACCACTTATTAATCTTGTTTCTCTTTTCTTTTTTTTCTACATCGTGGTGTTTTTCCTATTTCAGAAAAAAGGGATCCATCGTTGTGGAAAGTGCAGGCTGAATTTCCTCACCTACAAAGAGAAAGTGGAGCACAAGACTCACGTCCACAAGACTTTCAGAAAACCTCGAGCCTTGGAGGGCCTTCCTCCGGGAACAAAGGTCTGACCCTGTCGTAAAAAGACCAGTTCATAAATAAATTTATTTTAGACTTTTTATGTTTGAACTATTATATTTACACCAATTTAATTCAGCGTCAATGCATGTTGTGTTCTCCTCCCAGGTGACCATTCGAGCTTCCCTCACAGGAAAGGCACCCACATTGCCCACATCCCCTGATCGAGCTGGCTTCATTGTCAGTCCAGAAACACTAAGTTTCAGTCAGCAAACCAAACCTCCAGTCAGTATATCCAAGTCTAAATCAAACGTCTCTGGAGCAGCGGGAAAAGCCAAGACGACGCAGAGCAAGAAGCAAAATGGCCGCACTAGCAAGCACAATCTGGCGCTCAGGAATCTCAGGTTTTAAATTGATCATCACATCATCACACAGCAGTCAGAAATAATACAGCTGACAGCTCGAGGCTACGTTAGCTGCTACTATCTTAACACAGTGGAATTTCTAACCAAACTCAGTAGTTTACAAGCATTGTGGGTAATGTAGGCGCCATGTTTTGACAAGGAAGAAGAATGTTGAAACAATACGACAATATCTGTTAGCTGATTCAGTGGAGTACTGTTAAAGAAGTTAATGGGTAATCAATAAATGGCAGTAGAATGGATGTTATGACTTAAATGTTAAGACTACTAAAAATGGCTTTATTGTTCAAATGAAAATATTTTCAGTGTTTTTTTTTATTTTAACTTTATTTTATTAAAGGAATTAGCTCTTGAGCATGCATGTGCCTGGAAAAACTGGGCCCCCCAAAAAATAAAACAGTAGTCTTCTGCATGTCCAGCTTTGGCCCCACTGTATCATTCAGGATCCCCCATCCCACCCCAGCCACTGCTATAGACCCCTACCTTCTGGGTATTCATGACAGGATGGGAGCAAATTAATAGACGTTATTAAAGCTGAGCAATACACAAAGTAGCTAATTGTCTTTTCAATTAATTTTCCAGACACGCTTCATTAGGCTGGCTAAAAATAATGGGGTGTGTAGCAGATAGAGAGGGATTTATTTTTTTAATGAGTGTGATATTCGGCTAATTGGGTTCAGTAATCAAAAACAATATGATGGCTTTAGTCACATAAATTGGGCTTTTAAGCAGATGAGACACAAGATAATGTAGTGGTGTAATAGAAGAGTTCAAAATAGTAGAATCAAATTAGGAACATGTAGACAATTAACGAAGGTAAATGATTTGTGCATCTGCAATAATCAAGATAAATTCAAATCATTTTAAGATACTTTTGCAGTATTTTATAATCTGACCTGACTCAAAAAAAAATCTTGTTTGAATCGAGATTAATTATTGAACATTGTGCTCTTTTTGTCTTATTTCCAGCGTCAGTGGAGGGCAATACACGTGCATCGAGTGCAACTCAAAAGTTGACGACTTCTTTTCTCATTTCCCAATGGTTTCAAATTGTGGCGCGTGCAAATATCGCACAAGTTGCAAAGTCTCCATTGGGAATCATATGATAAGGTTTGTATCAATTTGAATTTACTTTGTATTTGAAGCATCTATTTTATGTGTGTTTATCTGACAAATCTTGTGACAAATCTTTCTTTGGCCTTTTTTTAGATTTCATAGTACCATAACCAAAAACAGATTTCTGAAAATGGATCATAAGAAAAATCCGTCTGCATTAAAGTACGTACACTTCATAAATTCGTGTTTTGCACATTAAATACAGAATGTTTTCTTTTTGAAGCCGAACAATAAGATTTATATATTTCTCTCCAGATTTACCCTCGTGTGTCTCAACTGTGACCTCCTCGTGGACGCATCAGGAGGCGACCTGATGACCAAACATTTAACTGATAGACCAAGTCACATATGCAAAGTCATTCAGGAGAAAGGTTTGTTCCTTTTCTGCTAGTACTGAGTCATGGCCAGTACTTTGTGTTTCAAGTTTTCAAGGCTGTGTCTTGTTTTTAACCCAGCAGATATGAAAGCCAAAGATCGAGTGTGAGTAGAAACTACTACCCCCATTACATGCCTCTCGTTAATTTCTTAATCTATAATAAACACATGACAATTTAGAATACCGTTACCAGTACCAACATTTATTAATTAAGTCCAGCTGAAATTAAATTGCATGTTTTTTTTCTACATTTTTGGTTCCATAATGGCGCCCCCTATTTTTACATTAACCAGTTGAAACATCTCTAGTTCCTTATTAAAAGTAGATGGAGAACTTGTTTTTATACAGCCAATCAAATTGTTTGAATTTCACCATATCTGTAACATCAGGGCTGTAGACGGTCACACTAACAGTCAGACAGCAGCCTGCTACACAGCACAAGAGTCAGGCTATGAACAACAACCCACATTGGCTTTCATGCAAAAGTCTCTTCTTATCCTCGTTTAATATTGTTTGGTAGCAGTCTGTTCGGCTAACCAAGAGCGTATTGAGAAAGGCTGCATCTAAAGGACGCTTTTACAACGATGTCTTCTTCCTTTTCGTGTAGGCAACTCATCTTGGAGCAGCCATCAAAAGTCTTGTACTTCTTGACAACAGCACCCACTCAAAGACCAAAGGAAACGGATTTGAAAGTAACTGAATGTGTCACATCTCAAAGAATTACTCCAGCCAATGTCGACCAGCCAGAGTTGGAGCCGATGTTACCAGCAGGTGATCAGGAAAAGGGTTCCACAGAAACACGTGTCATTTCAGGTTCTTCTCAAGGTGAATCAAAGCCCACTTCATCGTCTTCCTGTACATCAGATGGGGGATTAGATCTCTGTGACGAGTCAGTTGGTAACTCAGAGAGCCTCGAGGTCAAAGAGATGCTCCCTGTCTCAGAGATTGTCCCAGAGGATGAGACCAGAGAACAGCAAACTAAATCAGAGTGAACCTGTGCATCAGCTGAACAATGCACATGACACACGTGGAGACTGCACAGTTTAAAAGTTTAAAAGTAATTGCATCGTCAGCCATACTTCGGCATTGTTTCCTTTACAAATATTGAACATATGGTAATGTTGCTTTGGCTGCTGGTATTTCCTATAAATCCCCCGAAGAATAATGTGTTTGGCAAACCAACAACAAATAAAAAATACTCTTTTGTCAAACCTCCATTACCTAAATAAATGTAAATTATATTTGTATTTATAAATAAAAATAAGTCCACTTCCCTTTTGCCCTATAATCTATATAGTTAAAAGAATGTGCATAGTCTTACATTTAAACATCAGAAATCATTATTCTGCACATTGACAGATTCCAGACCGCTCAGTGTCGGTTGTTGACTGGCCTTAAATGATTGGAGCTCATTTTGTGTCTTTTAAAAGCTTCACAAACTGGTTGATGTTCTTCAGGAACTCCCATCTGCTATAAAGAGGACAGTATTTGGCTCTGCTCCTGATCCGTATAGTATCCACACAAACTGAGAAACTGTCATTTTGTTGGAGCAGTTTAAGTCCCATTTCCATTGGAGATTAATTTGCACTGGTATCTTGATTTTAGTTCAGATGCTCGTTCAGATTTTTAAGTCACCAACATCATATTTTATCTTCTTGTTTGTTTCTTCCAATTATATTGAATGTAAGGTCGCTGTCCCAAAAACATTATCACTGAAATGGTTTGTGGCAGAAATAAATGATGTACAGGTGTACTGTTACCAGACACAGTAACATGGATCCCAACACTCTCGAGAAAGATACTTTAAACCACTAAAAAAAAAATACATTAGTACATATATAGAAATTACTAGTGTAATATTGTATTCCCTAACAAAAAGGGTGTCAGCTTAGTGAAACTTGGGGCTTGGATAAAACAGAAAAATAAAGCAGTGGTAGGGGAAAATGGCTACAACTATTTGAGAAGTGAAACAAGTAATATGTATTCCCCCGTACTCAAGTAGACTTTATTCATACTTCATACTACTTTGTGGTACATGTACCAGCTTGTAAAAGAAATCTGTACATGTTACTGTAGGCAGAGGTACTCGCTCGGCACAACACTCCAGCTTGATGAAATCTGTCAACCACTTTTTATGTCTCAGCTTCTGGTTGATTAAGCTGCCTTTTTTTTTTTGCATTTAGGGTTGAAAAAAAAAAGAAGCTAATTCCCTGTAGCTCTGGGGATATTTTATACAATGCAATTTGTTTACCTTGTGTGACTTAAATATATCAAATGTCTGTTTGTTTCAAAGGTTTTTAAAAGGGATTTCACTTGTATTATACAGTATGTGTAGAGCAAGTCTGTAAATGCTTCTATGTCTACTGTAAATGTAACTACCTGAGTCTGTTTTGAAAACATTCCTCTAAAGATATTGTGCTCCCCTTAGGATCACATTTTCCTCAAAAATCTATAAACTACTGGGTTTGAATCAGTGTTTTTTTTTTGTTTTTTTTGTTTATGTAAATAAAACTTTACTACAAGAGGTTTAAGTCTTTGGGTGTTATTTTTCTTTTTTCTTTTTATTTCAAATTTGGTCAAACCATTGCAATAGGATATACAACAATAATAATGTGCACATGCAACATACAAATACACACTTAAAACACCCTGGCATTTGTTGTTTGTTTCTGATTTTTGATTAATTAATTGTTGGAAAATTTAAAAAGGAAGACTTAATTTGACCTGATATGAGCAAAATTAACCTATGAACGAGACTCGTTTTGAGTTTCCCGGACCTGACGTCATTGTCATCGCTCATTTCTATTGGCTGAGCGGAGGGAGACGCGGCGTTCCCTGGACAACGCAACGCCAAACAACCGAGGGAACCCAGCGACACCTCAGGTTAACTACGGCTAATTACTCGCTCATGGTGACTGTGCAAATAATCTAATTTTAAGTTAATTAAACATAAGTTGATTACTAATTAGAAAGCGTTAAGTTAAGAGTTAAGTCAAGAAGGCGGGAATCGACGAAAAGCACCGCAAACATGGTAAAGCCTCGTTCCTAAATAGAGTTAACGTTAGCTCCACTGCTACAAACAGAGCAGCAAACGTTAAGTTCTCACCCTGTTAACACACTGTTGGCCTGTTTTAATCTGTTCAGTGGTTTTCTTTCTTCTCTTGGCGTCTCTTTCACTGGGACAGAGTCGTAACTGGACGTACAACCAGCAGCAGAGGTTGATGTCTCAGCGCCAGAGTCAGGAGCAGCACAGGCAGCAGGAGGTCAGGCGTGTGGACAGAGAGCGGCAGCTGCAGGCCAGTCTGCGGGGCCAGGAGAGCTCCGAGAGGAAGAGACACCTGCGACAGGTGCAGGAGGAGCTCAGGGAGAGAGAAATGGAGAGCGCTATGCTGAAGGTAGAGTTTTCTGTAGTGTAAGTTATGTTAGAGACAGTTAACAGGTTGCCACTCTCAATTATGTTTCCAGCAGAGGTCGAGCAGCAGTATTTCTTTTCATTTTTATTGTTTTCAGGGCAACCATTGTCTTTATATAATACAGGATTTCATAATAAGTGCAATAAAATAACAAACAAATGTGAATAAAAACATTAAAGTAATTGTAGCGTAAACGATAAAAACAACCCTATATATATATATATATATATATATAAAACTATGTACATACATTTACACACACAAACTATGTACAATATGAACGAATAATTGTAGGGCAAAGAAATAAGGTAGTAGTGGGAATCGTGTCGTGGTTTCTTTGAATCTTCTTTTGCGATGACAACATGAAAGGGGTTATTCAAATATTATTTTAGAGGAAATGTTTATAATTGTTAAATAGTTAATTCATAACTTTGTATTGAACCTGTTATTACTGTGCTAATGCACTACAGAAATGCAACATTTACTGGTAAAATTAATTGTTTTTTAGACTGAAACTTTATGGTCAGATAATCAGACTGAGCTAATTCATTTTTGCTGAGGAAAAAAAATCAAATTCAGATGTTGGAATGAGGTGAATTTATCTTTTGTATTCCTAATTTTATAGGTAACATGGAGGAATTGTTAGGAAGCTGTTTTGATGAGCAGTACTCTTATCAATAGTTGTCTCATTTCAATTTTTTGGTAGAACACCACAGCCCATTGGTGTACACTACACTGTATCATAAAAACTGTAACCTACCTACACTCATATGTAGATAATCATAATTCACTTTGACTTGAAGGCAGAGGAAGAGAGAATAAACAGACAAAAGCAACTTGAACAAGAGGAGAGAATGGCTAAAGAGCTGGCCCGCATCAACTATGAGGCGCAAAGAGAAGAGAAAATGAGGCAGTATATTAAAGAGAACAGGTACGCACACTTACCTCATTACCTTGATGTACTGTATATTCTGGGTCACTATACAAATGCAAGTACTAATGCAACACTTATGTGTAGTCTTTCTCAGTTTTGGTTTCTTTAATCATTCTCTCTTGTGTTAATTTTAAGTCAATTTTAATACTTTTCAGCATGGAGCTTCGAGAGTTGGAGTCAAAGCTGAAGTCTGCATATCTGAATAAGGAAAGAGCTGCACAGATTGCTGAGCAGGAAGCTACGAGGTTTGAGACAATGGTGAGCACTGGCTTCGATGATTTTAATAATTTACAAAAAAAGATGAAGAAAGATTTTGCTAAAAGAAAGTGTTTTCTTTAAAATGTTACATTTCAAAATGACACTTTGATCAATTTAGGAGTGAATTCATCCTAATAAGGAGCTTTTAACTCCTTAATTAGGACTAACTCAAGTGGTTGTTAATACCAAATTCTTCTGAAATTAAGCCCACAGGCTATGTACTCTGCATGTCTTTTCTCTGACGTTAGCGCGAGGAGGCAGACTTTGCTCGCAAGATGAAGGGTGAACGTGAGCGAACAGCCGTTGAGCAGCAGAGGCTGGAGCAGAAACGCCACGAGGAGCTGGTGCAGTATCAGAGAGAGCTGGAGCAGCAGCTGATGGACCGGGAGCGCAAGAGACAAGAGGCGTACGAGGAGTTCCTCAAAGAGAAGCTCCTGGTTGATGAGATTATCAGGAAGATTTATGAAGAGGATCAGATGTGAGTCCATTATTCATTCTTACTCTCTTTAACATGATTGCACAATCCATATAAGTACAACATAACAGTTAAAATATTGTGTGAGCAAAAGCTTGACTTGGATGCTGTGGATTTTAAATTGGCTCAGTACTGAATCTCAAATAAAGCGTCTACTAGCACCTGTTAAGTCTCTGGTAGTATGATGGATTTATTGAAATGAAATGTTTTCTTGAAGGGAGAGACAGCTGAAACTGGAGAAAGTCAGAGCCACTCAGCAGCACATTGAAGAATTCAAGAGACAGCAGGCCGAGTGGAGACGCATGGAGCAAGAAAAGATTGAGGCTGAGAACAGACGCATCAAGGAGTTTGCGAGCCAACAAGAGCACATGGAGGAGACCAGAATGGCTAAGATCAGAGAGAGAGAAGAAGCAAAGGAGCATCTTCATAAAATAGTTGAGACAACCTTTCTTTTTTTAAATGCCTGTACTTTTCTTTCTACTCATTTAATGACACGCCTGTATTTGGCTCCAGAAATCACTCCTCTTTGTTCTGCTCTAGCTGTCTGACAAGATTGAAGAGGAGAGGCAGCAGCGTGAAGAGATGGAGCAAATCCGTGAGGAACTTTATTTAGAAGAACAAGAAGAGGCCAACAGGCAGAGAGAAATTGTAAGTATCACTTTTTAAACATCCATGCTTAGTGACCATAACGAAGATGACAGTTGAGATTACAGTAATGATGGAGATTCACTGTTTACTATTCCTGTGTGGGAATTATCTTAATATTTTTCAAAACTACCATCTAACAGGAAGAGATGGAGAAGAAAATCCGACAGAGGCTGATGATGCAGCGGACCTGCCAGGAGCAGATGGCTTTCAAAGAGATCCGGAGGCAGGCGGAGAAAGAGGAGGAGGAGGCCTTCAGGAAAATGATGATGGCTAAGTTTGCAGAGGACGATCGTATAGAGCAGATGAACGCCCAGAAACGACGCATGAAGCAACTTGAGCACAAACGGGAGGTGGAGAAACTGATAGAAGACAGAGGACGGCAGCGTGAGGCAGACATGGTACAGACCACTCTCTCTGCGTGCATAATTACATCCAGAATACGCTGGTGTAGGTTTACTGTCAGAAGTTGTAATGCTCATACTGCACTGTGGAAGGAAACATGTAGCAGTAGCCAAGTTTGGTCTCAATGATATTTGATGTTTCATGTGTTTTTGACTACAGGAAGTGTTTGAAGAACATGATCAAATATAATACACTGTGCAGCTGAATCATCTTTAATTGTTTGCTTCGTTAATAACGCTGATCTCTCTCTTCAAGGAACTGGAGGCTAAAGAAAGAGCGATTGAGCAGGAGAGGGAGGCGCTGCGTCGACAGATAGTTGAAGAAGAGAGGCAGCGACTTCTTAAACGTCACGCAACAAAACTCCTTGGATATCTTCCAAAGGTATGAGGCAGTGTACCGTACGGACCACGACACACTTGACACATGTTCATATCCACTGTACGTTAAACAACCGTATGACCATGAGTGTTTCCATTCTCAGGGCTTACTCCGTGAAGATGACCTGGAGCACTTTGATGAAGACTTCAGAAAAAACTTCAAAACACGTCAAGCAGATATCTTCTCTGAAGACGGCTGGGATGGGGATGATTAGATGTTTGGAATTGCACACCATGCTAGTTGGCAGTTTAAGGTTACAGTGAACTAAGTAGTATTTTTGGTGTGATAGCACTTTAGCATTCAGTAACAACACAATGATTTAGAGACATCGTTTTATTAGGACTGTGCTGATCTTAATTAAAATCATTCCAGAAAAGATCTGAGGTTGTCTGGTGGCTAAATGTGATAATAATTAGGAGACAAATGTTGAATTCAAACTCTAAACTTTTTTATTGTCATACTGATCACATTCTGAAAGACAGTTAACTGATGTCTTTGACTCTTCGTCTATGACTTCCCCCAGTCTAGAGCTTTCATGAACTCGTCTTCTGTGAACGACAGCAGCTTGGCAGCTTCAAAATGCATCTGCACAAAAACAAAAGTTAGTTCATATTTTGATTAAAAACTCTGAACAGGGATTGTGTTAGCAGGGTACAGCAGAGGCACTTACCTTTTGTCTTTTGAGAACGTCAATCAGTTTGAGCTGTTTCTTGAAACCCACGATTAGCTCTGCTTTCTGTTTTTTTAGCATTTTGTTTTCAGCAATAAGATTTTCTTTACTCTGATGTTCCTCGCTTTTCTTGTCCTTATTCAAAAGAATTTAAAAGACTGGAATTAGTAGAAATTAAGCAGAACCTTAGATGTGTGCAGCTTAAGGTCAAAACATGTTGAAAGTCAGTTGTAGTTGGTGCTTTATGTAACTTTATGGCACTTTATGACTGAAGTTACTGAGCTCTTTGTTTTTAATGTCACTGTAGTCAATCTTTTATCTATGTAAAGGGCATTATCTTTTGTTTAAGATGGTATTACATTATCTTACTTCAAAAACGGCTATACTAAGATAATCACAACTACATGGCTTAATTAAATGACCCTGTAACACATTTAGCTGCTATGGCCTCTACAAGTAGAATGTTTATTCTCAAATAAAGATTCAGTTCTTTGTGATTGTTATAAGTGTCATCCTTTTATCCAAGTTTTAATCATTACGTCTGATTTATACTTGTATGACTGCACATATGCTTTTCAAATCTCAGTATCATTTTAAATTATTATAAAAGTACACCTGCAGTGAAAGTCTGTTTAAACTACATTTCAAATGTTTTACATCAAATGTAAAATAAGAACCACGTTTAAAGGACTAAATAGTGAAGTCAAGCACGCACAAGTATGTCAATTATAACAGAAAGGAAATGTAGCAAAGAATGATAATTGGTTCAATTTAGTGATTTCCTGTTTTATGCACATTTCTACAACATGTACGGTAAGATAAAACCATTTTTTTCGGACAAATCATTATCTAGACAAAAATATTTTGATACAACATGAATATGAGTATCTGTAAATAAACCCTAATCTGTAAAAAAAACCAAAAAAACATCACATTTGAATAATTATATTAATAAAACCACTATAATTTGCTGACCTTGTTCATCTGTTTCATTTTGTTCAGTTGAGTCTTTAACTTCTCCCCTTCCTCCAAGGCTCTGTTCAGACGAACCTCCACAGTGCCGTGGACAGCTGCTGCTTGTTTCTGGGATCTGTTCAGGTTTTCTATTTCCTACATGGAGCACATCCAGGAGGTAATCACGCATGAGCACTTCACACAATGTAATATATAGCATATTTTGCAGTCTTATGTCAGCTGAGATCAATGCTCAGACCTTGTGTAAAGCAGACACTTGCAGCTGAAGACCTTCACATTTTTTGCCCGACTCCTCCACTAAAGCTCTGTGCTTCTCAATCTGTGTTTGCTGGATGCCTGTTGTTTTCTGCAGCCTGGCTCGATCTTCCTCGAGCTCCTTAATTTTTGCACAAAGCTTGGCGTTTTCATCATCCTGCAACACAAATCCAATGTAATCTGTAGACGATGTTTTCATTAATTTAGTTTAAAATCATCTATTACAAAGAATAATGATTAAAAAACAATAATGCAACCACCAGTGTTTTATATTCTGGTGTGCTAGGCGGCTCTATAAATTGAGACTTTATGGGAATATGATGATTATTTAAACACTTCTAACTAAGGGACGTGTGTCAGGTGTTTCTCTTTTTCCATAATTGGATGTTGAAGCTGAAGCTCTGTCTCCCTCTGCTGATATGGAGGGACAACAACAGTTCTGTTTGAATCTCTGTTTATCTACAAGCTTTACCTTCTTGTAATATTCACATGACAGTTGATCCAGTTCCTCTTGCATAATCCGTAGTTTTGCCTTCAGAACGCGTATTTGAGCGTCTGAAATGCCTTAATGGAACAGAGCATTATTAAAATGATAATAATAATAAATAATTTAATGAGAATAAAATTAATGAATATAATTGGGGTTCCAAAAGATGCATTAACATTACCTGATCCCACGTTGTCTCCAGCGTTAGACACATCATCCACAACACTTTCATGAGTCACGGTGTCGTTCATTTTCTCCTCCATGCTACGGATCGTCTTTGCCAGGAAAAAGTCAGTCGAGTCTTCTACAGCTGTTGAATTATCCACATGAAACACTCCAGGAGTTCTGAAATCAAGCAAACAACGTGAAAAAACAGAATGTTAATGTAGAATATATTTATTGAAATGTATGACCTACACTTGCTTTCTTATAGATAAACATGGCTGTGTGTGGCTCTAAATAATGAGATACGATCAAACTTACGGTGTTTTACTGCGAGGCTCTTTTCCTTGTTTTCCTGCACCCATGTTTTTTGATGTTAATGTGACCCTTTTTTTGGTCACCACCTAAGAGATGGCAAATAGAAACAGCATTAACCAACTGTACCTCAGGACTGGAAACGAGTGTCTGGTGAGCAACGCGACAACAAATTAATCCTTTTCTGAAAAAAATTAAATTCTGAACTGATACCTTCACACCGGGCGCCTGCACAGCACACTGATGAGGCTTTATTATCCTGGAGGTAAACAGATGGATACATACATCAATTAAAAGAAAAATAAATGGATGACTTTTGTTGATTAAGTTCTTTCTCTTGCACTGTTTTAACTAACAATGAATATTTGGATGGTCTGTTTCACTGGAATAAATGTAGACTCCTGCAGTGATCAAGAGAAAATTAATCACTTAAAAAGATATTTATTACCTTGAATCCTCTTCATCCTCAATGTCTTTGAGCAGGAGGGTGGATAAGGGTTTTGACAGCACTTCACTCTGTTCTCTCTACAATAAAACATTTTGAATCAATAATGATCAAATATAATGTGTTATTCTTCAACTTACTGACGTGAACATGTTGATAACTTACCATAAGTTGCTCTGCCTGTCTTACTAGATCTGCAGTTTTGGCTTCCAGCTTCGCATTCAAGAGTCTGGAGGAAACACAAGTGAGAAAGATTACATTATATTACTACATTATTACATTAACAAGGATTTATGTGCTACAGGACTGCAAGAAATGCAATACATTCACCGTGTTTGTAGCAATATTTACGCCACTGTTTTAGTGCATTATGCCCCCCCCAGTTTTGTAATTTACAATCAATCAGTTTACGTAGGAGGAATTTCAAGGTTTGATCAGGGAAAAGCTGAAGTAGTTTGATCGAGTAATATTGTGTTTCTATTGGGTAATATTGTGTTTTTTTGTTACTTATTGTACTTAATGCGTCGGTATCAGGGTGGACAGCACAGCAAAGAAAGAATTTCATTGCACAGAGGAAAACTTGCTTTCTTTTTATTTCATTTGACAATAAACATCTTGAACTCTTGAGTTCTACTCTCATTAAAAAATAATAAACTGTTAAAATGAATTAGAAGGGGTGATCTGGAAACCTTTTACATAAATTCATACAAATTCAGTTAAAGCAGAGCTGACAGATATTGGGACAGGCAGTCTTACTTGTATTGTTCTTCTTTAGCAAGAAGGTCATCTGTGCGCTTTGTTGGACCAGAGGCAGATTTTAGCTGCTGTCTTACATCATCCCTCTTGGACCTCTCAGCCTTACTGCTAGACGAAGGGCGTTTCTTGGGCTAAACAAGACAAAGCAGTAGACTTTATAACATTTTATGAAATTACTGTAGATATAATATCAACTAATTTGCATTTCACCTTGTTTTTCCCTGACAGATACATTGGTGGTCCAATATCAGATTATTAGAGATACATCAGTATATGTTGGCTGGTGAGTACCAACAGACTGCAGTACAGTCAGTTTGTCCACTAGAGAGCGCTGACATGTGTATTTTTAAACTATAAAATGTTCCTCTCACCTTGGTTACAGTTCTTTAAAAATCTAATGTAAAGTATGTTTGGTTATGTATTTAAGTTAGAAAACCACTATCAGCCTATAAATCATAACCAGATCTCACTCTTGTGTTTGTTATTAGCCTTAAAGAGCCAGTATCAGTCCCAGTACACAATAGTTTACCCCTGCATTCATACAGGAGGAGAAGTGGTCCAACATTGAGGGTCTTTCTGATTAACCCCTTTGCCAATGGTACCTCCATCAAGAGTGTGTGTACAGGATGAAATGATTTAATGATTGAGGATTCTGTCTAGTGATAAACTGTATAAGAACACTTTTGAGTGAGATAGTTTTGCACTTTCCACGTATTATATAAGTTAGATGCTGCATTTTGTATTCAAAGGTAAAATAAGCAAGGCAGTTTGTTTTTTTACATTTAAACTCTGTTGTGAAACCATTTCTAACAGACTGAGGAAAAAAAACACAAGTACATGGTATTAGCTTGGTGTCCAGTCTATTGTTCAACCAAGAACACACTTTACATCCTAACAACCTCCCAATCCTCTGTCTCTCAGTGTCCACAGTACACATCAACCACAGTGTCAGAGGAAGTCACGTTAGTTAGCTTGTGTTGGTGTTTGTTGACGAAGGTAAACATCTTCACCTGTTGGAGTTAGATTTAAACTTCTGCTGTCACACAAACATTTGTGTTCAAACCTCTGAGTGATGAACATTTAAAAAATGAAGCTACAAACCTGAGAGCCGACGGTCTGCGACGGACGGACCTTTTTATCACAACTTCTTTCAGCCATTGTCACACAGGCAGGCGACGCGGCTCCGGTTGCATAGCAACTACCTGTTCAGTGCGCACACAGTATGGTAGCCCCGAACGGACATTTAAAGGCGAACATTTTGTAAAACAACGAGAATTGTACACACAGTAAGTTCATTTTCCACACTGTGAACAATAAAGTCTAATAAACCTCTACTCCAGCTATTCAGATCTGGAATCACATCTCACCACTGTTCTTATTTAAGCAACATGTAACAGCAACACAATGCAAAATTAATATACTTCATTACCAGTCCTGCATACAAAATGTCACTTAGAGAGAAGGGTCCGTGTATGTTTTGGTCATTGGATTTTCCTTTCAGAAACGGGAATTAAAAAACAGAAAACGAGTGGTTATTTGATTTTCGTTTTAAAATACAAAAAATTAAAATTGAAATACAAGGCGTTTTTCTTTTTCATGGTCAGAAAGGGATGAGCGAAATTTAAAAAAATATTCGATTTTCATTTTCTATTTCATATAACAAAAAATAAAATCACTAGAAAACAGAAACAGAAAAAAGGCCTGTTGTTTCATATTCTGAGACCGGATGTTGTCATTTACAGGACGGTGCTGTGTAGAAGAAACAGTAGACTAGTAGACTGCGGTCAATCCAGCCGTGAGTCCGATCTCCGTGGTCAAATCAGCCGCACTTAAATTTACAGTGTACAAGTATTCTCAGCATTATGGTAAATGCGGAGAAACAGCGTATTTACCGGCGGTTTTCAAAATAAAGGTATTTAGAACAGTAAGCTATAATTAAAATTTGTTACATTAAAGTGTTGTGTGCCCCTGGTGAATAAAAAAACACTTTATATCAAGTATCTTTACTGCACCACTGTGGAGAAATGCCAAAATAAAGGTCTCATATTTATGCCTCCAGAGATTGCATATTTGACCATATTTGAGGTAAAAACATATTGCTCAGTGTTTCCTGGCTACTGATGGTATATTTGACTTCTACACATCTAAGACTACAAGTATACTTAATATCAAGCATTTTTATTGTACCAATTTGGAGAAATTCAACAATGAAAGTCCATATTTGTACCTCCATGTGGCATATTTTCTTATTTTTGAGCTACTGTAAAAACATATTGCTCAATATTTCCAGGCTATGGGTGAAGCATTTTCATTATACTTCAATAATGCTGCAGTAATGCATGACAAAATTTCACACAAATGTTTAATAACATCTTGATAATATAAACACTAAACACGAAACACAAAATCCTACACAATTCTAATTTGTTTACTTTTCACACAAAATGCAATGCCAGTCCACATTCTTCTTATTTTGCTGCTCTGCTGTGTCCATTTGTAGGTAAAAGGGAAAAAGAATTAGTTTTAACTTCAAAACACCATTGTACCTACTGTCTCTTCCTCACATATTATTTTTTATATTATTTAGTGTGACAGCTGTTGCAGGTGGTTCCACATGCAGTTTATATTTTTACAGTAGCTCAAATATAAGAAAATATGGAATCTGGAGGTATAAATATGGGACTTTAATTCTTTAATTTCTCCACATTGGTACAGTAAAAATGCTTGATATTAAGTATACTTGTAGTCTTAGATGTGTAGAAGTAAGATATACCATCCATAGCCAGGAATTATTGAGCCAAGTGTTTTTACAGTAGCTCAAATATATGAAAATATGCCACTTGGAGGTATACATATGGGACTTTTATTGTTGAATTTCTCCAAATTGGTACAGTAAAAATGCTTGATATTAAGTATGCTTGTAGTATTATATGTGTAAAAGTCAAATATACCATCAGTAGCCAGGAAACACTGAGCAATATGTTTTTACAGTACCTCAAATATGGTCAAATATGCTCTCTGGAGGCATAAATATGAGACTTTTATTTTGGCATTTCTCCACAGTGGTGCAGTAAAGATACTTGATATAAAGTGTTTTTTTATTCACCAGGGGCGCATGAAACACTTTAATGTAACATATTTTAATTATAGCTTACTGTTCTAAATACCTTTATTTTGAAAACCGGAAGTAAATACGCTGTTTCTCCGCATTTACCATAATGCTGAGAATACTTGTACACTAAATTTAAGTGCGGCTGATTTGACCACGGAGATCGGACTCACGGCTGGATTGACCGCAGTCTACTAGTCTACTGTTTCTTCTACACAGCACGGTCCTGTAAATGACAACATCCGGTCTCAGAATATGAAAAAACAGGCCTTTTTTCTGTTTCTGTTTTCTAGTGATTTTATTTTTTGTTATATGAAATAGAAAATGAAAATCGAATCATTTTTTTAATTTCGCTCATCCCTTTCTGACCATGAAAAAGAAAAACGCCTTGTATTTCATTTTTAATTTTTTGTATTTTAAAACGAAAATCAAATAACCACTCGTTTTCTGTTTTTTAATTCCCGTTTCTGAAAGGAAAATCCAATGACCAAAACATACACGGACCGAGAAGTATATCAGCAAATTGTATGTAAGTATCAAAAGTAAGATCAGTCATTATGCATGCCACAATGGTCCCTATCACTGTTATATTATCACACATTATATTATAGTTTAAATTGGATTATTAGTCCTGATGCCTGATGATAACATGTGGGACTTTTGTGTCTCGTATTTTAGTTAATTATATGTTTTGTATGTAGTATGTAGTAGTAATAGTTGTAACTAGTAAAATAAGTATATATAGCTGTCTCCAGTATGGGTCAAGCTCCAAAAACACTGGTTCCAACATTGTTCATAACAGTATTAAACAGCATCTTTCATCAGCTCTTCCCCCCCTGATAAAACACCCACTTCTTTCAGACTTCTTTCTGTTACATGTTGTAAGTCTCGAGCTAGCAGAGGTAACCTGATGATCAGGGTCATTTTTTTTTAGACTTAACAAAGAAATTAATTGCTAAAAACAAAAATCTCATTATATTCAATTAAATTTTCTCAGGACATTTTTTAAATAGAGCAGGTCTAGACCGAACTCCTTATAACATTTACAGAGACCCAACAGTACCACCACGAGCAAGCACTTGGCGACAAGGGCAAGGAAAAACTGCCTGTTAAAAGGCAGAAACCTAGGACAGATCCTCCGGCTCTAGGTGGGTGGTCGTCTGTCTCGACCAGTTGAGGTGAGAGAGAGAGAGAGAGAGAGAGACAGAGACAGAGACAGAGACAGAGACAGACAGACAGACAGACAGACAGGTGCACAGCAACAGCAGGACCATGAGAACCTGCGAGATGAGAAAGCACAAGAACTCCGGGGAAGAAGTGAAGTTAGTAACATGCATTAATGGGACATGAATGAGTGCAGAGAGAGAGGAAGAGAGGAGCTCAGTGCACCATGGGAAATCCCCCGATAGTCTAGGCCTATAGCAGCATAACTAAGGGATGGTTCAGGACTCACCTGATCCAGCCCTAACTATAAGCTTTATCAAAGAGAAATGTCTTAAGCCTACTCTTGAATGTGGTGAGGGTGTCTGCCTCCCAAACCACAACTGGAAGCTGGTTCCACAGGAGAGGAGCTTGGTAACTGAAGGCTCTGGCTCCTGTTCTACTTTTAGAGACTATAGGAACCACAAGTAGCCCAGCATTCAGAGAACGTAGTGTTCTAGTGGGGTAATAGGGTACTATGAGCTCTTTAAGATATGAAGGGGCCTGACCATGAAGAGCTTTATAGGTGAGGAGGAGGATTTTAAATTCTATTCTACATTTTACAGGGAGCCAGTGCAGAGAAGCTAGTACAGGAGAGATGTGATCTCTTTTTCTAGTTCCTGTCAGTACTCGTGCTGCAGCGTTCTGAATTAATTGGAGCGTCTTAATGGACTTATTGGGGCAACCTGATAATAAAGAGTTGCAGTAATCCAGCCTTGAAGTAACAAATGCATGGATTAGTTTTTCTGCATCTGTCTGTGATAGTATGTGTCTAATTTTTCTAATATTACGTAAATGAAAGAAGGCAGTCCTAGACGTCTGCTTTATGTGGGAGTTAAATGATAAATCCTGATCAAAGATAACTCCAAGATTCCTGACAGTGGTGCTAGAGGCCAAGGTAATGCCATCTAGAGTAACTATATCTTTAGACAGTGAGTCTCTAAGGTTTTTGGGGCCAAGTACAAGAATTCCGTTTTATTTTCTGAGTTTAATATCAGAAAATTGCAGCTCATCCAGGATTTTATGTCCTTAAGACATGTTTGTAATTTAGATAATTGATTAATTTCATCGGGCTTGATTGATAGATATAACTGCGTATCATCTGCATAACAGTGAAAGTTAATGGAGTGATTCCTAATAATGTAATGACTAACTTTACTGAAGATTCATCGTTAACATGTACAAACTGCGAGCGATCTGATAAATATGACTTAAACCAGCTTAGTGCGGTTCCTTTAATGCCAATTTGATGCTCAAGTCTCTGTAAAAGAATATTATGGTCAATGGTGTCAAATGCAGCCCTAAAATCTAATAATACAAGTACAGAGACAAGTCCATTGTCAGAAGCAATCAGAAGGTCATTATTAACTTTAACCAGAGCTGTCTCTGTGCTATGATGAACTCTAAATCCTGACTGAAAGTCCTCAAATAAACTATTGTTGTGTAGAAAGTCACACAACTCTTTGGCGACTACCTTCTCCAGAATCTTAGAGAGGAAGGGGAGGTTAGAGCTTGGTCTATAGTTGGCTAAAACCCCTGGGTCAAGAGTGGGCTTTTTAAGAAGGGGTTTAATTACAGCTACTTTAAAGGACTGTGGTACATATCCTGATAATAAAGAAAGATTAATCATATCCAGTAAAGAAGTGCCAATTAAGAGTACGACTTCTTTAAGCAGCCTAGTTGGGATCAGGTCTAATAGACAGGTTGATGGCTTCGATGAAGAAAGGATTGAAGTTAACTGATGAAGATCGATAGCAGAAAAACAGTCTAAATATATGTCTAAGTTTACATTGGCAGAAGTCCCTGAACTTGGAGAGCCACTGATAACTGTTGATGGCAGTTGGTGATTAATTTTTTCTCTAATAGTAATAATCTTATTATAGAAGAAGCTCATGAAGTCGTTGCTACTTAAGTTTATGGGGATATGTGGCTCAATAGAGCTGTGACTCTCTGTCAGCCTGGCTACAGTGCTGAAGAGGAACCTAGGGTTATTCTTATTTTCTTCTATTAGTGCTGAGTAATAGGCTCCTCTGGCATTACGGAGGGCCTTTCTATAAGTTTTAAGATTATCTTGCCAAATTGAGCGATATTCTGATAATTTGGAAGAGCGCCATTTCCTTTCAGATTTCCTTGTTTTTTGCTTCAATTGCCGGGTTTGGTGGTTGTACCATGGTGCTAGTCTCCTATGTTTTAATAATTTCCTTTTTATAGGAGCAATAGAGTCTAATGTTGATCGTAGTGAGCCTGCAGCACTATTAACAAGATTATCAATTTCAGAGGGACTAAAGTCGTTATAGGATTCTGTTAAATTCAAATATGGCATTGAATTAAACACTGATGGTATCTCCTCCTTAAATTTAATTACAGTACTGTCAGATAGACATCTGCTGTAGGAAGTTTTGCCTAATGGCTTATAATCTAATAATAGAAATTCAAAAGTTATTAAACAATGGTCAGATAGGAAAGGATTTTGTGGGAAAACTATTAAATGTTCAATATCAATGCCATATGATAGAACAAGGTCAAGAGTGTGATTAAAACAATGAGTTTATTTACACTCTGACAGAAGCCAATTGAGTCTATTAATGATATAAATGCATTACTAAGGCTGACATTGTCAACATCCACATGAATATTAAAATCACCTACAATAATTACTTTATCTGATTTAAGGACTAAACTTGATAGAAACTCTGAGAATTCAGATATAAAATCAGAGTACGGTCCAGGAGCGCGGTACACTATAACAAATAGAACTGGCTGCAATGTTTTCCAGGTTGGGTGAGAAAGACAAGAACAAGGCTTTCAAATGAATTATAATTTAGTTTTGGTTTAGGGTCCATTAAAACGCTTGAATCATATATGGCTGCTACTCCACCTCCTCGGCCAGTGCCTCAAGGAATGTGAGTATTAATATGACTTGGGGGGGGGGGGATTCATTTAGGCTATCGTACCCCTCGTGGGACAACCAGGTCTCAGTAAGACAAAGTAAATCAATATTATAATCTGATATCAATTCATTCACTAAAATAGCTTCAGAAGACAGAGACCTGATATGTAACAGTCCAGATTTCATTCTTTTATTTTATGCTACTGAGGAGTTGGTTATATTATATTACACATTACATACATCCCTCTAGTTTGCTTATGAGACAAGAAAAGGTTGCAATGCAGATGCAGTTGCAACCATGTTAAATGTTATTTTGAGGCATCTGGAAGGGAACAAAAAACATGCAAGACTGGTTTTCATTGATTTCTCTTTAGCTTTTAATTGCTTACAACCCCTGTAATCAGCTGGTGTGAACAGTGTTTCCTTTTATTGACACAGTGCAGATATTTGAGAACCATCCTGGATGATAAACTTACCTTTGATACCAACACTGATTTTGTTAGCCCCTGATTTATCCCTGTATTTGTACATTTTGTAAGGCATTTCTGTGGAGAAATATTAAATGGAAGAGTAGGGTTGTTTTTTTGGCTCAACTTTACTATGTGCCTGGGAAAAGGGAAAATGAGCCTGGCCACCCCAGCTTCCACCAGTTTGATGTCAAATTTAACACATTAATTCAGATTAATAAAAAAAAACATGTCCAAAAAAAAAAAACGCAGATTAATTTAATTGTCTGTTAGTGACACATTTTAGACTAAATGATTCTTAAGTTCATTAAAAATACTGTATTTGTATGAATATTTTAGAAATAAAACAATGTATTGATTTATAAAACCACCTTTAGATATTTCCATTCAATGCTTTACTAACGTGCCACACTAATGTAATGTGTTTGAGTTCATCTTTAAATTCACACTCACAGTAGCGTTGCTCAGTATCGTCTTCTGCTTGTTTTTAATAGTGGAGGGTCTCAGTGCGCATGCGTTAGCCCAGCAGCCACTACTCACCCTGCTGCACATGCACAGAAATCCCATAACGTGAGGGGCACAGCTCACCGGAGGGACTGGCTAGTTGTTTGTCCGTTTACTGTTTACACCTGTCTTTATTTGTATTCATGCATCACCTCCGCGTTTGACAGCGACGCGTAGTTTTTGCTGCACAGCCTCTTTTTGCTCACCAAGTGTCGGGGACTTGGAGCGAGCGATGTCGGAGGAGGACTGGGTGGCGACAACAACAACAGGGCGCGCTGCTGTCCCGTTAGCATCGCAACGTCCTCCGGTCCATGTTGCTTAACTCTGCCGGCGAGTACACCCGTCCACGCCTCCCGTCCCGTCCAGTCCCGCAGAGTCCCGTCCCGAGGCCCGCCGTGATGGCCGAGGAGGACCCCCAGCAGCAGGCGGACCGCGGGGCGAGGAGCCTGCCCGGCCTGCTCCCCGGGCTGCAAGGCGCTGAGGCCAGCGCTCTGCAGCTCAGGATCAAGAACTCCATCTGGTGAGGAGGTGTTCAGTAGTAGTGTTTTGTGCAAAGGTTTGATGCTTCTCGGGGGGGGTCACTGTGTTGGTCTTACAGTCAGTATCCAGAGGCGGAATTAGTGTTCACTTAGTAAAAGTAGCAATGGCACAATATAATATATATAATACTTCATTACAAGTCAAAGTTCTGCATGCACAATGTTACTTATGTGAAAGTATTGTGAGCAAAATGTAGTAATATATTGATATTCTGTTGTTGCATTACTGATGCATTCATATGTAAGTATCATACAGTTATAGTTGATCTAAGTGGAGTAAATTTCCCCTGTATGTTGTTGAGAGAGTTTAATCTGTAACCATGGATCATATTTTTTGAGATGATCATATGTTTTACATGTAAAATATGAATCCGCAAAGTAACTGTAGCTGTCAGATAAATGTAGTGGAGTAAAAATACAATATTTACCTTTTAGTGTGGTATAAAAGTAAAATACAGTAGTAAATATTACTGAATCACATTCCACCACTGTTCTTATGTAAGCAACACATTGTGAAATAAAAATACTCCATTACCAGTCCTGCACACAAAATGTCACCTAGTTTTAAAGTTGTGAGTCCAGAGAATCAACACTTCATTCGATGATGTCTTCAGTCTCTGTAAACTTCCTGTTTAAGGGAGTTTAGTGTGAATAACTGCAGTACAGTCTGTCTATCTGTCGTTCAACCAACCTAATATTATGGAAACATGGTGAAGCGTTCCTGTTAATGCTGACTGAACTACACAGATCATCTTAAGATCATCTTTTTTAGGCTCAGGCGTTGACATGGACAGTGGTGGGAATGTAACTAAGTGAATTAACTCATTTACAGCACAGTGTTGACTATTTACTCCGCTGCATTTATTTGACAGCAGTAGTCACTCGTTATTCTGCAGATACGATGTTTACCTACAAAACATATGATCAGCTTATAAATGATGATGATGTATTGTTACACATTGAACGACCCAACACTATGTAACAGTAGTTTAAATGCTGCTCACACTTTAAAGCACCAGTAATTACAATAATTATTGACTGAGTCATTCTGTTTGTATAGTTTTGTGTAGTTTTACTCAAAGAACATTTTGAATGTAGGACTTTTACTTACTAATGCTTCAGTAAAGGCAAACCCACCCTCCTCCTCCTCATCATCATCATCTCTTGCCTGTTTACTGATTGGTTGAAGGTTTTGTTGCAGTGTTACATTCTTACTCAGTTCTCTCTCCCCCCTCCCGATTTGACACATGGATGACAGGCTGAAACCTACAGCTATAGTATGTAGTTCCTGTTGCAGTGGGGAAATTGACTTTACATTACTCAGTTTCACATTATGTAGCAAACAGAAAATATAGATTGCTGTACTTAAACTCCTGCAATCAGGGTTCAAAATATGGCCTGAAAATTAAATCTTGCTTACAAAAGACACCATATGTTTGGCAATGTGAAACGCCATTGCATCTGTAATGTCTAATCACTGGGGACCATTGTTCTTATATGGGATACTACAAAAATACATTCTGTGTAGATGAGTGATTTTAGTTGATTGGGACTTATTTAAAAGAGTCCTTAGCATTATAACATTTGTAGTTTGAATCTCAATTTTACAATTTAGACATTTTTTTCATTGTTTTAAAGGTTCACTGTGTAACATTTAGAAATATAATATTGATGGCTATGTTTTTCATTAGTTTATAGTCACCTTAGTATAGGATTCATTGTATTTTTGTTATCTTCCAATGAGCCATTTTTATCTTCAGAGGAAGCGGGTCCTCTTCTGTAGAGTCCACCATGTTGAACCGCCATGTTTCTACAGTAGCCCAGAACAGACAAACCAAACAATGGCTGTAGATTTTGGCTTTATATCGCGTTTATCGGGAATTTCACAGCCACCATAGTTGGCCTCCTACACACATCCTGTTCTCATTCCTGGGCCAACAAATACAGACGGAACTCAATACTGAACTCAGACGTCTTTGCCTGGTTTTAGGCTACAAATAACTATTTCCAAAAAATAAACCAGACAGAACCACATGACTATAAGTGACTATGAAGTATAAAATTACCAGTTTGAAAGAAAGACAACTGGCACCAGTAGCATTTCACATACATTAAAAAACACTGAATCAAAACCTCATGTAAGAGTGAAATGAACTAAAACTAAATCAATTCAATGAGTGTGTTAGCAGTAAGCACTTAATAATAACAGTTGATAGTGTGTATTGTCTGTGGTTGCTGTTATTTAAGGCCGTGTTCTGACAGAAAATACCCTTTTATTTTTAATTATACATGAAGTCAAGAACTATCTTTTAAATGTCAAACAGCCATAAAAGGTTGAACTACCAGAAAGCTCAACAGTTCAGAGCTGAAACGTAAATCTACGGAAGCATATTGGGATATTGAATATTTGTCCCGCTCCTTAAATCTTTAACCTTTAAGAGGATTAGAGCATAAATATTGACGTTCACCTCAGCGACCTGCTTGCTCAGTGGGTCATGGTAGAATGAGACCGTCTTGGTCAGGGTCAGCGAGTTCATTTGCACCGTCACTGTGTCTTCAAGTGCAGTAATCGTCTGTAGTGAGGCGCTACTGTGGAGGGAGCCGTTCCTGCTTCATTCACGCCGCCCAATCAGAGGCTGAATTACACCTGGGCATATCATACATAATGTAATTTGAAGGATCACTTGCATCAGTTCTTTATTCCTTTTTGTAATCTAGGTCTCAGGTGTCATTCGGTGTACCTGCCAAATCTGAATTACAAACAGCTTAATGATGGCCTTTCAGCACTGGGAAATCCCGGGCCCCCTAGTAACAGTGAATTAAAATGAACTGTTCTTGTCGCGGCTTAGAGCGTCCCCTCATTCTGACATGCCCAGTGTTGCAGAGTCTTTAAATGAGACTTAACCTTCTGTGTCGAGGTAAACAACAATCTGACCTGCAGATTAGGAATTAGACCTGGAGAAGTTATTCATGTATCTGGTTTGAGCAATGTTTCGTGGTTTAAATCAGTATAGAGCTTTAAGATGAGTGGCTGCTTATGCAACTGCTCTTGCATAAGATCTTGTCGTTAATTTAGTAATTTTTTTTTAGCGATTAGTTAATTTGCTCCGCACCCATGCACAGGTGTGTACAGTATGGATGTGACTGTATACAGTGTGCATGTGTATATGGATAATGTCAGTAATTATAAAACATTCTTAAAGGATTTTAGTTGTTTTGCTTTTCTCTAAGTAAGATTTGACGTACCATACTACATAGCTACCATAGACCCTATTTTTTATGAAGTTCTTCTTTCAAGGTTAGACTTCAATGGGATGAAACAGACGTATAGTAGATTTCCTCAGCGACTGCAAATGAATTTCTGAGCTTCTGTCAGAGACAATGTTACCACAGTGCCTGTCTCTCTCCCTCTTTTTACATATGACAACATGTGTTCCTGGTGGTGGGATACATGACCTGAGAGATGCTGAAGGGAGGGTCGTCTCATACCAAACATTCCTCTGCTTTATAAATAAATACACTTTAGACACAAGCGCTCATGTTACACCAGCTTCATATTAATTTATACTATGTCTCTTTTTTGCAGCAAATCTGTTCAATCAAAAGTGGAAAACATCCTGGTGAGTATTCTTGATGTGTTTTAAACATACAAATTGCACTTTTATTGAAACCTTTTTAATTAAATGTAATCTGTTAAAATATTGTTTGTAATTTATTTGTGGTTCTAGCGTGTAGATCTGAAACATGGTTGTTTCCCGATGGGTTTCTTGGCATAATTTCAAAACACGACAGAAAATCTGTCCGCAGCAGCTTTTCAGATCAACCTATAGAGGGCGAATCTGAGGCCAGACAGCTGCACTGAGCTACTGAGGTTGGCTGATTGGCTCAACACGGTCAATTGTTACTCATTGTGCTGCAAACTTTTAAACCATGAAGGTTGAATAATCATCGTTATTGTCCACAAATATAGAAATGTGCCTTTGGCCTCACAGGTTGATTAAAGATTTGCCATATAAAGTTATTTTTATGGAGGGTGAGGTGGGACGGAGCGGCGGGTTCAGGGACAGAGATACTGATGTGCAGTGGGCTGCAGTGAGCCTCTATGAATGGTGACAACAAGGGATTAACCTCTGACAGCGGCCTCATTAATAGGTCAAATATGCTTTCAGTTGGCCAGCGTCATGTTCGTTTCCTCTTTGAATGGAGAACAAATCGGTATGTTGCATCCCCTGAAGGTCAGAAGGAAACATTATAATTTAATAAGTATTATCAGATTAGTTGTGAACGGTACTTATAGTCTGGAGCTCCTTCAGCGTACTATCAGGAAATGTTGGACAGATGATGATGAGATATATATATATATATATAAGATATAATGCTATTCCTTGATTCGCGCCAGGAGAGTCTGCCTTGAGAGTGATGCTAAAAGAAATCTCATGGATCATTCAAATTAAAAAAGTACATGTGTATCGATTTATACCGATCGGAGCAAATTTTAGACTGAAGGTGGCGCTAGAGGAAACTTCAAAGGCAGGAAAGGGCTGTAGAGCTTTAACTAACAATTACTGTCTGTTAATCTTTAGGTTATTTGCTCGATTGATCTTTTATTCCATGAAACATCAAAAAGTAAGTAGTAGTAGTAAAATAAAAAAAATGCTCCAGATGACGTGTTGGACTGGGTGAAGACAACATGGAGGGAGGCTAAACATTGTTCATTTGCATGTATTAGCCACATTGTAACGGCAAAGCCGGCTGAAAGTCGGCACATTTTCCATTTAAGTTGCCCACTTTTGGACAGAGTATGCAATGGCGACACTTTTAAACGTATCTTTGTCATCTTGTCTGTACTATGACTGTTACTTGTAATCGACCAGCATATACACCAAAGAAAATGTCTGATAAACTGAAGTTGACTGATAACATATTAAATGCTGATGTGTCGGACTGGCTCGAGTTGTCAGGGAACTACAACAATGGAACAAATTAAAACCACTGCCTTCGAAGACAAACACACTGTATCTTGTGTCAGGAATTGCCAACTTCATAGTGTACAAAGCTGCACAAAATAAGTGTAAAATGTCTGCTGAAATCTGCACTGCCTGTGTGTTTCCACGCTGGTAGCATCTTTGTTTCATGGGAAAGTGAGTTGAAGGTGGCAAGGAGTTTACTGTGCAGAGCTCATGACCCAGTAACATACAGACATTGACAGTCCAAGTCAGCAGAGGAGGAAGTGAGTCACAACGGCCAACAGTGTCCTCTGATTAATACACAAGGTTTTTAACAGGATAGCGTTTGAAGCCCATAAATGTGACCCATAATGTGTATATTGGAGAATTATATGTCGATACGTGCTGCTCAGTGTCTGTGGGTGAGCTGTGGTTCCCTAACAACAAAGAAGTTAGTTGGAGAAGTTTGGACAGAATAATGTTTATTCTTAGGAGCCAATGAGAGGGTGAATGTATATATATATACATATATGAGTGAAGACGTGTCGGCAGCGTGAGTTCCTGTACGCTCACTGTGCAGCGAGCTGTCCTGAGAGAAGGGTTAACAGCAGAGGATTTGAGTTCACCTTACAAGCTCCCCTGCTCTGCAGAAACCCGTCTGTCTCTATGTGTCTGTCTGTTAACACTGCACATGCTTGTGTGTCTCAGCTGTACGTCTTCACTGCTCGGCTTTAAAGGTCCGGTGTGTGACATTTAGGAGGTTCTATTGGCAGAAATGGAATATAATATTCATAAGTGTATTTTCATTAGTGTTTAATCACCTGAATATAGGAATTGTTGTGTTTTTATTACCTTAGAATGAGACGTTTTTATCTACAGACGCAGTAGGTCCGCCATGTTGAACTGCCTTGTTTCTACAGTAGCCCAGAACAGACAAACCAAACACTGGCTGTAGAAAGACCCTTTCATGTTTTTCGCTACCATAGTTTCTCTTACACACTTCCCAGCTTGTTCTCATTCCCAGATCGTCAAATACAGATGCAAGCGATGTTCAGCTAGTTGTAATCTGCAGCTTCACCACTAGAAGCCACTAAATCCTCCACACTGGTTGTGACTTGCAGTGTAGATACACCAAAACATGCCTCATGGCTGCTCCAGGCAGATTTCAGCTGAGCCGTACTCTTTTTATTTCTTAATGATTGATTTAAACTCAGGCTCAAGATGGACAGTTTTATTAAGAGGCTCAAATCGATGCAGCAGAACCAGAGATAATGTCTTTTTTTTTGTCCATTGATTTTTAAATCTTCTGTCAAAACCTGGCACCCACAAGTTTGAAAACGAGTGACATCGTTTGAGGCAATTTTTTCGGTATCTACTCTGCTCCCTCAGGAGCCACAAAATGCTTTATGCACGCATTAAGTAGCGCTCCTGTAAACCGTGAAAACAGACTGATCGGTGGAGTTCCCCTTTAACTGTTTAATCTGAGGGACATTCAGTGACTTGGAAGTTTTCTTGTATCCATCCGCTCACTTGTGCTTTCCGATCACATTTTTGTTACTTTTTCTTCATGGTGAAGGTTTTGCCACAATACGGTGAATGTGTATATGTATATATATATGTATATATATATATATATATATATATACATACATACAATACTTACTAAATAAAGACCTCTAGATACGCTGTATTTATACTGCAAACAAATAATAATGTGACTTCTAGTGATGATTTAAGTGTTAAATTATATGATATTATTATATCTTTGTAATTAATTTAAATCAGTTTGTAGAGACTCTTTGTTTCTTCTGATTATCAATTTTAAAATATGCCACCTTAAATCCACTTTGATTAAATGGTGTAAAACAATAAAACATGAATACTTACAAGGGGTAAAAAACACTTTTTATAGTATCTGTCTATGTTAGTGAATTCACTCTGACAGGGTTAGAGTATTGCTTGGTGTTTAAAACTGTTGTCTGCTGCCATCTAAACCAGCAGAATTTAAACTGCGCCTTCTTCACGCTCTCAGGTTTCTTTTTTCCCTTTTGAAGAACGTAGTTAGAAGTGCTGAAGACTGTTGGTAGCTCAGGGGGTCGTGCTGAATAGGTTTAGTTTGTACACTCTTGGCATGTCTGTGTGTGCTGAGTATGAATGAATGAGAGTGAGAGGTGACCAGGCAAAACCCATAATGTACAGGCATGATCTAGAGTATACTGTATGTTATGTTTAATGTTTTTAAATCTGTTGATTCATGGCCACTAACCAACCACTGCTGTTGGTTGTTTATCGAAATATTTTGAGTGCAACGATTAACATCTTAGCATGCTAATTTACACTAAACACAAAGCACAGCTGTATGTGTAATAAACTAAAGTAATAAACAAATAAAATTCTCAACCTGATTATGAAGCTAGAGGATGAGTGAGAGGATCACTAGAGATGGGATTTATGGCTCTTTGAAGGGAGCCGGATCTTGAGAAGCCGTTCCTTTCAAAGAGTCGTTCAAAAGACTGGCTCATTTTCATATTTATTTATTTTTAAGAAGCTACCAGACTTGGAAGGAAATATTATTTTGAAAGATGTTACACTTTGCTTTGCCGTTTTTTTCATCGAAAAGTGCATCCAAATGCTGCTGCGCTTTCTTTGGCTCATTGTAGCTGCAGTACTAACACTTTATTTGGATAGTTCACCTACAGATCGATTATAAGACTGGCCGACTATCATCCGATACTCAGTATTTGTCAGATTATCGGAATCGAGTAAAGTACCTCGAAATTGTTCTTACGTGCAGTACTTGAGTACTAACTTTACTATGAGTTCCACGCCACCATTTTCTTTTTTACTGCTTCCTTGATTACCATGTATCATCATCTGTTTTAGTTTATCCCTATTATAGAGTATTTATAACATTTTCTTTGTTTATAGATGTTTAACAGATTATCTATAGAGTATATGGAACAATGAACAATGAACATAGCCTAAACAAGATGTTTTATGTGCCTAAACCAAACCTTGTTGAATTTCAACCAATAGGGATCAATGGACTGCCAGAGCTACACTGTGTGTGTGAGTGCTCTGTAGGTGTAACCTTGTGCTGATAATTAGAAGGCCAAATATTAAAACTCCCCTTTTTTATCTCTACAGCAAGATGTCGAGAAGTTCTCAGACATTGAAAAACTCTACCTCTACCTTAAGTTGCCTTCTGATCCCAGCAGTAACACTGAGAAAAGGTAAGGATACACCTGCTCTCTGACACTATTTATAGAAAAATGGACACTTTATGATATATTTATGACACAGGAAACCACTATTATGATTAATTATTGATGGGGCTATACATTTTTGTAAAAAAAAAAAAATTATTATGTGAACGATATAGACACATAATAAGGATTTCACACACAGGTTAGGTTCAGTGCAGATGATTTCTCAGGACTTACAGTGACAAAAGTCTGCCTGTCTTTGTCATTTGTCAATTAATCAATGATACACGTCTTTTCTCAGTGACCAGAGCGCCCTATCATCAAGCCGCACACAGCAGACGCATGCCTTCAGCTGGATCCGCAATCATTTAGAGGAATACCCAGAGACTTCTCTTCCCAAACAGGAGGTCTATGACGAATACAAGTAGGTATAAACAGAGTGAAGATGGGGTTTTTGCAACATACATTTAAAATGTTCTTTCATAGTAAATAAGCTGATAATTTATCGTTTCTCATTGTTTCCCTTTATTAAACTTTAGACATCACTATTTATTTGAATATTTTTCACTGGTGTTCACCTTTTAAATAATAACAGCTACTAATGTTTGAGATTCTTTCTCCTCTAAATTGCTGCTGGCTAAAGCGTCAGTATAAATAGACGCCGCAGGCTTGGGAATCACAGAGAGCAGCATGTGTTGGTAATATTAGAATGGAAAGTCTGAGACAGCCATTGAAATGCTCTGACAGTGTTATGTAACTGTCTTTTTAACTCTACCAGATCAGAAATACAGTGCCCTCCAGAAATATTGGCGCCTTTAGGGTAGACAGGTGAAAAGGCTTTAAAGAGACGCAACAGGCGTCACTTCAAAACAACAAAAAAATATGTTTTGTGCTGTGAAACAATCACGTTTGTCACAAACAACTAATAATGAAGCATTTCTTAGAGAGTTGTTTCATTTCATTTCAAGGGCACTTTATGTTCGATGATAATTTGGACAGAATGTATCAGACATGGTCACTCAAACTATAACTCACTATTAGAAACTCTGTTATAATTCTACACACTTATTGACATTTAGGAGGATCTATTGGTAGAAATAGGATATGATATTCATAGATGTGTTTTTATTAGATAATATATTTTCTTATATTATCACCTGAATATAAGAACTGTTGTGCTTTTGTTACCTTAAAATGAGCTGTTTTTATCTACGGAGGGAGTACAGTAGCCCAGAACGGACAAACCAAACACTGGCTGTAGATAGGGCCTTTCACATTTTAGTTTCTTCTACACACTTGGAAGGCTGAGCTATATTCAAATGGTTGTATTCTGCAGCTTCACAGCTAGATGCCACTAAATCCTACAGACTGGTCCTCTAACTTTACATATTATACCTTTAAAGGTGCATTAACTGATTTGACCAGGTAGGGGAAAACTGTAAAAACAACACTGACCTGATCACCTCATGATTTATGAGTTATGAGTTTATCTAGCGAATGAGTTACATATTTACTCATCCAGCAGTTACAGAGCAACATAATCGTTAATTTGGAGTCATGTTTCTGACCACCTGCTTCATATAAGTCCAATATTCACTCTCTTTTAGCTCTGTGTTTGGTCTCCACCAGCTCCTCTGAATAATATGGGGCTCTTTAACTGCTAAAGGCTCCACTATATTCAGCTAAAAACAGCTGCCTGTTGCAGCTACAAATGACACTGGTGAGAAATGTGAACTAAAACAGTAAAGTTATGGGCTGTAAAACCAAAACAATGAGCTGAAAGAAGCTAAAATGTTTTGGTGTGCTGAGGTTCGATCATCACTACGACTGATGATGTATACGATGTATATGATTATACAAGTTTTAGAATAGAGCAAAATAGTTTGAACTGTAAAGACTTTGATCACCCCACATTCACAAACATTATATGATCCCCTGCATTGATATGATTTGATGATTTGATTATTTAATTAGATGATTCAAGACATAATTCTATATTTTTAATTACAATTATTCTGTCTATTGTGTCTTTCAGGAGCTTCTGTGACAATCTGAACTACCACCCACTGAGTGCTGCAGACTTTGGAAAAATGATGAAAAATGTCTTCCCGAACATGAAGGCGCGTCGACTTGGCATGAGAGGAAAATCTAAATATCCTTCACTGGAATGGATTGTAACAGTCTGGCCTCTGTCTCTGGTCACACACCATCTGCTGTTGCAGTTCATAAGCTCTCTAAATATAGATGTGAAATGAAATAAAGCCCCCCTCTGCCTCCGAAGCACAAGCATAATACAGAGGCCCCTCAGGGGAGTCACGGTGATCTTGACCTTCATCACAAAATTGTGATTTTTTTTCATTCAGGTTAATGAAATTATCGTTGTGTAAGATCATAAGTCAGAACTTTATTGGCTATAATGGGAAAAAACTTAAATAGTTTGACTGATGAAAGAAGTTTGCTTTGAACTCATATTTGCAAACTGTTCAAGGTATTCAAGGATTTAATTTAATTATTACAGTATTTCCAGTTTCTGAAATTAAAGTAGTTTTACTCCAGAAAAGTGGTTAAATTAGTGTAAACTCTTGAATGTTAAAGCATTGTGAAAAATTATTTAGTCTATTTTGCCGAATTCTATAGAAATAAAACGTTTATGTATCACTTCACTACATCAGTAATTTGAGACATACGACAGCTGCAAGTGGCTGCAAGTTTAAAAGCAAATTAAACATTATTTCCTGTCATTCACAGTTGGAACAGCTCATGGCACTAGATTGCTTACACATGATGTTTTTGGGATAACAAATTTGAGCTTGTCAGTGTCCCTGATTGGAGGTGCTTCACAGGGTTCGCCCTCTGTCTCACACACACACCAAGCCATTAACACAAAGCCACACTGATGGGTCAGTTGACAGTTTTCACTACGAGGACTGTCCTGTCAGCATGTTTTTAGTTATTCTAATAGTAACTTTTTGTGAAAAGCACTTTAATCGATGTTAACCACAGTTTGAGTTTTCTACAACAGCAGACGCTGAACCATTAAACTATGACAGTCAATTAGACCCATTTCAATATAGACTGCATCTTAAATATACATTATTTAGACCACTGGTCTCCAAATAAAGCTTTACTGGAGGAACTTAAAACTAAGATACAATGCGTAATAAAAAATACAACTTAATGTTAAGTATGTGCAGGTTTTAAATACTTTACCTTTCAGTCGGTCTGTTCTGAGCTGATCATTTTAGATGTCAGTGGATACATTAATTATTTACTTTTATTATTGACTTGTTGATTAGCTAATTGTTATCCCAGTGAGTAGATGTTATTTTCAGGAATCACATGTTTTTTTATCTTAACACCAGCTTACATATTGCTATAGTGGACTGAGGAAGAGGCTATTTGTTCACATGCCATCGTTACCGGCTCTGGATCTCCATAAAACAGGAGATGGAGTAAGTACTTTCACATCGTCCTTATTGATGTTTTCTCTTTGTATTCTACCTCCATTATTGTCACTGTCATGCAGTGTATCATATATTTATAATCACATATCTACTGTGTGTAGCTCCAGTGTGATGTCCTAGAGTCAGCGGGCCAGCTGAGCAGCATAAAGGAGGATGTGCGATTTGCAGCCTGTGATCTGGTGTGTGAGTGGGCACAGAAGGTGCTGAAACGTCAGTTTGATGCCGTGGAAGACTTGGCTCGCTTCCTAATCGACAGCCATTACATCAGCAACAAGTCCCTGGCAGCTCTCACTATTACAACCGGCACAGCAACAGGTAAGAGACTGGTTACATCAGCCTCATGCCCCCTGTGTAAAAACAGGTCAGTAGTGGCCTCTGGTGGCAGTTGCCTGTTACTGCTCCTTTATTCCAGTCTGTGTTTTTCATGCGGATGACTGTATTTTTAGATTCAAGTACCTGAAATGTTCACAGTTTTATTGGAGTACTCTGGTCAACACACAGACATATAACACACTCTGCATGTGCTTAACGACAATTACTCACCTCTTAACTCAAAAATTACTGCGTGTACAGCTTCTGCAGAATGTTGCCAAACAAAATCAACAAGCTCATCACACATTTTAGAAACAAAGGCATTTGCACCTGCAGCAGAGACCATATGACTGAATATACGCATGTTCTTGACTTTAATGGTCGATTGCGTACTTAAATGTAACTGTTGTATTCTTGTAATTATAAGCTCTCATTTGTCGGTGTTTGGCTCTTTGCCTTTGTTTTGTTTATCTAGTATGTGGTCATTTTAAGTTTTTTTTTTCTTTTAGACCATGCATTCATTATTATTGTTTTATTCGGCTATTTTTAATGTGTGACTGTTTTTAAGGTTAGCTAAAGCTCCCATAATAAAAAATCAATTCAGTAATTAATTAATTACTTAAATAAATAAATGAAATAATAAAGACAGAAATGTATAAATAAAACCCGCAATTATCAAATAAACATACAGGTTAATTTGAAGATAAATAAATATGCACAGAAATAGAAATACTGTATTTATTTGACAAATATTTATGTATTTCTTCACCCATATGTTAATGATGGGTAATGTTCTGTGGGTACGTCTCTGTCTTTATTATTTTATTTTTTTATTTACATAAGTCATTCATTTATGACAGCTTTAGTCCTTCATAATGTGAATACAGTAAAATTAACTTATTAACAATAAGTTGAGGTGTCTAATTATCAAACCTTATTGTAGTTGTAACTCAAGCTCATCATTTATGTAGTATATATATTTACATATTATTATGATGAAGTTATTTCTTTATACAGTAGCATGATACAGATCTAAATCCCTGTTTCCCTTGTTTAGAGGTTAATACTCCACAGACCGTCTCAGCATTCGTCCCGACCGCTGAGGCTCACTCTTTCCAGCCTCATGTGACAACCCTGTCCTCACCTTCTGTCGACGCAAAGCAGCAGCTCCAGAGGAAGATCCAGAGGAAACAACAAGAGCAGAAACTGTATTCTCCTTTACCTGGAGAGGGGCAAACCAAGAGGGCAGATGATGGTGTACCTTGTGTTAGCCCTGCCCCTCCGTCACCTCAGCCAGCCATAGGCATCGTGGTCGCTGCAGTGCAGAGCCCCATCACGGTGAGAATGCAGGACTCTCAATGTAGAGAACAGTGTAATTTTACTACTAATCTTCTGTATTCATCCCAATAGAAAGAACAAATCTAGGTTCACTTGATATTTGACTTTAAATGATCTACTTTTATTAATGCTTAGAACCTGATAAACAAAATTTGCGTGTGTTGTTGTGTTCAAAACGACACCTATCATTTTCAGTTTAATAACTCTGAACAGACTGCCATGAAAACCATTAAGAGAATACAGTGATACATAAAGTACTTCAATGTCTCAACATTTCAGTGAGTAATGAGTGATGGGTGTAACATTTAGAAAAACACAGCCTTGATCATTTTACATCATTACAGAGTTAATCTATCACCCATTTACATTCAGCTAAACTAAGGTAAACAAAATATACAAACTAATTTTTGTACGACAACTAATATTACAAAAACCTGTTTTCATATATTTAGACATTTAGAAAACACACATCTGTGTACTTTAAGAAAACCATAGTTTATAACTGCCTAAACCTACTACAAGGAGTTTTTAACTGGTTATGAAACAGTTTCAGTTCAATACTGATGCCTCTATATGACCTACATAAGCACACCAGACCATCAGCGTGAAGACTGGCTTTTTCTTTGTAGTTATTTTTAATGTCGGCCACCAGGTCGAATTCGGTCAGATTCCCCTTGAAATGAATCAAGGCAGTGGAAGCACTGCACTTTTGTCCACTGGGGACGCTAGAATCAACACAAACTAAAAGTTCCCTGTTGCTGCTTTAAAGAAACACCACATACACGTCAAAAGAACATGAACATTGACTTTAAACAAGAGAGAAGAATTGCATTAAACATAGACTGTATTTTGTCAGTATAATAAGTATATTATAATATATATATATATATATATATATATATAAAACGTTTTTGGTTATTATAGCTACAATATTATGTCACTTTAGGTGTCTATTACCAATTATTGTATTGTTTTGAAACTTTGATACAGTTAAAATTTCAGACCTGTACCTGTCATATGACAAAGGGTGATATTCTTAAATAGCGGAGACAGTTTCATAAGCCTGATATCAAAGAGGCCAAAACAGCTTTAGTTTTAAAGATTTATTTATGGTAACACAACTGTGTAACAGAAAACAGTATTCTTCTTGCAGGTAGGGATAAAATTATTGTTTAAAAAGGTAAAAATTACAAAATATGTTGTCAGAAACTTTGTGATGATCATCTAAAGTTTAGTTTCTTAGTTGTTCCACTTTCTGATTGACCTTTACTCTCCACAGGTACAGAGAAGCAGGCAGCTGATGTCCCCAAGTCCAATGGGAACGGTAGAGAACAAAATGCTGCCTATTAACTTCCAAATGGTGACCCAGCCAGTTCAGGCACTGAAACAGAGCCCCAAAACCCAGCAAAATATTCTAGCCAGTCCCGTTGGAGAACGCACTGCCCGGCAGCGATATGCGCAAATCTTGCCCAAGCCTACGGCCACGTCTGCTATCACTTTGCGCTCGCCCTCCACCATGATCATCGCCAACAGCCCCATTAAGACTGTGATGACTACTTGTCACGTCAGCCCAGTCAGTTTGGTCAAGATGACGGCCATATCGCTTGCACCCAGCAGCATTACCACCACCTCCCTCACAAACACCACTCTGCGGCCAGCATCTGTGGGCATTAGCAGTCCTTCAGTTGCAGAGAACATCAGCTACAATCAAAGCATGAGATGCACCTCGGCAGTCCCCATCTTGGCCCCGGTGGCCAGGCCAGGGCAGGCTGCTAACACCCATACCATCGATGTTGAAATGGAAGTTGAAGCTATACATAAAAACAGCCAAATGCAAAATCCCAGCAGTCTGATTTTAAGTCAAGGATCAATGGCAAATAGGGGTGGAGGGGCTGTACAAAGGGCTGCCAGTGTGCCCATACCTCAGACTAGAGGCTTCCTGGGTCTAGAGGAAACATCCAGCACTAATTGCAACGGAAAGTCCTCCTCAAGCACTAACACTGTGGCAGCAGTCGAAAGCAGCAATAACAGCGCTAATAATACAAGCACTATGCATTTAACTCCCTCCACTCAGAATACCAGTGCTGTTTCTTTTCTTAACACCAGCGGAACACCTTCATTTGGGGAAAACAGCAGTGTAACATCACCAAAGGAAGGTTTCTTGTCCACTAAGAGCCTCAGGAAGCGATCTGGCCTCAGTCCAGACCTTTCGCCAGTCAAAAGGGTTTTTATGCCAGAGCAGTCAGTAGATGGCGCTGCCGGTCTTTTATATGGGATTCGAAACGCGCACGATAACATCCCCAGGCCAGGAGCTCCAACTCGACCTGAAAGTGCACCAGCTACCAGGGAGGTAGAGACGAAAATGAACTCTGTCTTGTCCACTCAATTCCACGCACTTGGCACTTCCTCTTTCAGAGCCAGTGGCTTCTACTCTGTTGCCAAAACACAGAGCTCAATGCAGAGGAAAAACACTTCCACTGTTATGGAAACTAGCACCTCTGTCAGTCACGCATTACTTCAGCAACAGCAGGGGCACACAATGGCTAACGTACATGCAGTACCTAATAACCCCGGCCTCCAAAAACATTCAGGTGTCAGTGATGTTAGGAGTTCAATCACAGGGAGCCTGGAAGGAGCTCAACAACAGGCATACACGCAGTCCAACCATGAACCCTTAGACTTTTTCAGTCAAGCTTCATCATCATCGAGCCACCTCCCCATGCAGACGGATATGGACTACTTTCCCTTTGATGATGACGTGACTCAGGACAGCATTGTGGAGGAGCTGGTGCAGATGGAAGAGCAGATGAAACTTAAGAACCTGCAGGAGTTTGGAGGCTGTGCCACACTGCAAGGCCAACAGGCTATGACGCCAGACAACACAATGTCCACCAATCAGACCATGACTGCTTTCTATCATGCAGCAAACAGCCACAGCAACCCGATGCAAACTCCAACACCGACACCCACTCCTACGCCTACATCGGAAATGATGGGAGGAGTTCAAGGCCTCACTGGAGAGAGCCCCTGCTCCCGCATCGCCTCCACAACCCCAGTGGACAGCGCGCTGGGAAGCAGTCGTCACACCCCAGTTGGTACTCCACACTCCAACTGCAGCAGCAACGTGCCTCCCAGTCCTGTGGAGTGCAGGAACCCGTTCGCGTTCACACCCATCAACTCCAGCATCACTGGTTTCCATGACGGCAGCACCGTCTCCAGCAGCCCTGTTAAGCCAATGCAGAGACCGATGGCCACACACCCAGACAAGACCAGGCTGGAGTGGATGAATAACAGTTACAACAACAGCAACGGGAGCTTGAAGTCAAACAGTGGCATGGGAATCCTCCCCAGCTATCAAGGTCTGATAGGTGACCATTTTCAAAAACCTCACGCCTTCGCCGTCCCTCATGCGCGGTACCACGACAACCATTTTGGCCGCTTGACTCCCATCTCGCCTGTGCAGCAGCAGGTAGCTAGCATGGCTAACATGACCAAGCAGGAGGGTTTTGCTGTGCCTGCCCCTCTGGATAACAAAGCTACCAACACACCTGCTACAACTTTTCGATGTCGCAGTGTAAGCCCTGCTGTGCATCAGAGGACCCTGAGTGGAAACACAGGAAACCTTCCCCATATCCCTCGTTCAGTAGTGTCTCCCTTTAACTCTCCTGTGACGCCCGAGGTGTTAAACATCTTTGCAAGCAGCCAGACGAATCTTGGGGTGAGCAGCATGTCTCAGAGGAGCCATTCTGTGCCGCTCAATATTATGATGCAAACAGAGGTCCTGCCCACGCCGGGCCAACAATGCAACAGCAAAAACATCACCAATGTCCTTCTGAGCAAACTAGATGGGGAACATGATGACTCTGTGCGGGGTCTGGGCATCAATAACTTACCCTCCAGCTACACTGCACGCATGAACCTCACCCAGATCCTTGAGTCCGACCCAAACCTCTCCTGCGGTGAGAACCCCCTCAGCCTGATGACCTCTGACTCCCCCAGTAGATGCAAGAGGCCAAATTACCTCATTGAAAACGCTATTAATGAACAAATGATTCTCTCTGCAGGTGACAGCCGAGCACAATCCGCCTCTGGAGAGCAGCATCGACAGCAGGTCCAGTCTATGTTGTTGTCTTTGAGCTCACAGCAGCATCAAGAAGAACTGCAGCAGCATCAGCAGCTGGATTTCAGCAGCACTGTGAAAGACCTGCTGACAGACAACGGCCTTACTGCTGGCAGCCAGCTCATGGAACAGGTGTCAGAGCTGAGTACAGGCGGGGCAGATTTCCCTTGTGAAATCAGAATGACATCGGATCTCTCCAGCAGCATCAATGACCTTAACGCATTGGACACAAACCTTTTGTTTGACCCCAACCAGCAGCAAGGGCAATATCAAAATGCTGCTGCAGAGGAGTTGGTGAATGATCAGCTGTTTCAGCAAATTACCAGCGAGGCGGCACATTCAAGTGGACTTGACTGGCTGGAGAGCAAAGATCATCCAACTGTTGGGTTGATGGGTTGAGAGAAAAGCTTTTTTTGTTTTTTTAGTCATGTTAAACGTGTTAATGTGTGGTTGCTGTTTTGTTTTATTTATTTTCAGGCATTTACACTTTATAATGCAACACTGGACACATTGAGGTTTGTCCAGTTTAAGTGCCAGACTGAACTGCAATGATGCTGCAACACTCTGATTAAAATGCTGGTCATTTCCCTTTAATCGGAGAACATCACCTCACGTTGTTTGATCAAGAGCATTTCCAACAAGTAAACAAAAGTTACTGAACAAAACAGAAACCTAAACCTGTTTACTATGATGTGTTCAATGTTTCACTGAATAGTCAGTGAAAAAATATTAACAGAGCCATGGATTTCTCAGTGTAAAGAATTATTATAATTGATGAGCTTCTTACGACAATATTTCTTTATATCAATGTGTCTAAATTATGGTAACTGCAGGCATTGTATAACTAAAGCATAGGGTACAAAATGACAAAATATATTTACTGCTAAACTAATGTCATAAATAAAACATTTGTGTGCAATGTAGATTCACTGAAAAAAAACAAAAAACTGGAAGTATTACAAGTACGAAGAAACTTTAGATCTGTGCCAGTACACGTTATCTTTTCAGGAGCTTTATGTGTCGGTCTGGTGTCAGTGCATCTATAAAAAACATATACACACAGTTTATAGAAATGTCATTTAGTGACAATAAACATAGAACAAAACATCCATGTAAATCCATTTAATATATTCTTATGATTAACTGAAAAGTGTCTGTTCATACTTAAAGTAGACAGAACCATAAAAGGAAGTTCCTGACAATCATCACAGAACTTTAAAGAGCCGAGTCAACCTCTCATCGCTTCTTCATCACGATAATCAATTGTCTGTGCATTAAAGGCAGAGCTCAGACAACTTGAAGATAGTGATATCAACTCATTTCTTTTGCACATTGTTTTGTTTTTCAAGCCACATTTTTGCAAAAGTTGTGAAAAAAGTACCAGTAATTGTCTTGTATAATCATAACTATAAAGTTATATAGGCTGTAATGAATGCCTTTAATTTACATGTGCAAAAATGTTAATTGTTTAATCAATAGATATATTAAGAAATATCAGCAATACACTGTATGTAAATAGTGATGAGTTCTCTCAGTGGTTCAGAGTTGTTTAGTGTGGATACAAGAAGGATGACCTCTGTCCTACAATGACACCCATAAAAATATCTTCGATGATGCATTGAGTATGTAAAGAGCCTTTATATAGTAGTTAAGTCACACAGCGCGTTGTGTAGGATTGTGGGATACCTCTCCTGTCGTAGTGCAACGTACAACATGAAAGGTACTCAAACAAGCAGTGAAAGATGAGGGCTCAACTACTTTACCACTCGTAGGACAAAAAGGGAAAAAAGAACCCAATTTACTTAAGAAGTAAACTAACCCCGTTGAATGGGGCATTCCTGCACTTTTAAAGTATGAATCTTATATAAAAGAAGAATTATGATGAGGTAAAAATAAAATGAAAATGACTTCATACTGAGATTTGTATTCTGTGCAAATTAAGCATTTGAGTTGAAGATGGAAGTTTTCATCTGCAATTGAGTGGAAATTAACACTTTATAGCAGCTTTGTAGCATCAAGAACTTGGAAGTTTGGTTTCCCAATGAAGCACTCATCATACTGCACTGACAATCTGTAATACTTGTGTCTCTTTACATAAATGCACTGTCTTTGGGAGACACTGCACGCCCGGAGGTAAAATCAGCAGATTATGTTGCTTTACACTGATGATGAAGAGCTGTATGTGACCACAGAGGCGGAGAGACTCACAGGTGCTCCTGAGGGCTTTGATTTCTGAGCCTTATGTCCATACCAAAGACTTTTAAATATAATCTGCAATAACATGCACTAAGATCTCGGGTGTCTGATATTAATCTCCGGTGTGATGGGGACACAGCCATAACAAATATATTCTGTAATGTGACATTTGCAGCACTGGAACACATTTCTTTAGTTAAAAAAAAAAAACAGTACATCAGGACAATATTAAGGATTTCTTGTTTACTATTGTTGATGCTTTTGTAAGTCCCAAAAACACTGAAATGTATTCATGAGCTGTTGTTAGCTTTAGATCCCTGAGTGTGTTCGTATTGTTGGTCACACTAACTTTATTTGTTGTACAGATTTGGGGGTGTGGCCCGGTTGTCCGGCGTGTTTTTGTTTGACTATTTATTTAGTGTGTGTCGTTTGTACAGAAAATGTAACCTTGCAAACCGTATAATCTTGTGAATACACAATAATCTGACTTGCACTGTTAGGATGTTGTGCGGCATACTTTTTAAGTGTCATATTACCACGTATCAATACAACGCGTAACAATGCTTCTTTATCAGCAGATCATTTGTCCAATACATTGTGGTGAATAATTAGATAATTTAACAAAACTCTGTTATTCAAAACTCTTCAGAACTGGAGTGTGTCAGTTTTTAAAATGTGGAAATGAGACAAATCTTTAATTATATGGTGAAGTATTAATGTCATCATATATGGTAAACATCTCTTTCAGCACTGTTGTCACATTGACCGTTGTTTTATACATTTCACAATACTTTAAATTTCTGTAAAGGCAGATTATATCATTGTAATATATAATCTCATTTTGAGTATAATTTGATATTCAGCCATTTAGGCAAACATTTCTTATTTATAGTCAGTTTTTTGAATCTGTTTTTCTCAGTTTTGATGTTTTTGATCTTTACTGTGTCTGTGAAAACATTTACTTGGTTAGCACTGGCGTTTGTGAAGACTTTACCCTTCCTCTTGTTGAAAGTGGTTCAGAGCTGTAGAACTGCCCTCCACTGTTATGTTGCCGTGGTCAGTGTACAGGGGATTTTTTTCTTTTGCATTTTAACAAGTGCTTTTATAAGGGGAAGTGCTTGTTCATACCAGTTTTTAAAGACTTTTTAAAACTAATAAACATTTTTAAGTACATGGGTATTCTGGAGTCAGTGTTTCTTTCATATTCGCTTAAAAGAAAGAGGCGAGGTTTGGCTCTCTGGCGCTGCCCGCACAGGGAACACGGGCCTCTTCACCTTTTGAAATGTCACACAAAACACCGCTTGAGTACGTGGAGGTCATTTGTTGGATGATGTGATGAATGTGATGAAGTGTCCTCTAGGGTGCCCTTCCAGAGGAGAAAATGCATTCATTGAAACTGCGTAAAATAACAGCAGCACTGGGTAGCAACAGTGGAGGACTCTGAGGGAGTGTCTCATAGCAAAACAAGTTGTAACTTTAGCATTAACAATGGCTCTGTTCTGTTTAAGGTATGACCGTGAGCCAGCATGAAGAATACAAGGGACCTTGGAGCTGTAGCGTTACCTCTGTTTAAGTTTTGTACTCTCGCTGTGCTTCTCTTAAGACATGTCGGATTCCCAACATTCCTCTGCGCAGGAGTTTAATTAGCCAGAATAATTGAAAACACCTGTGGGGTTGCGCAAAGTCTTTAAAGATTTTAAAGAAATATCCATATTTACATCCAAAGAAAAGTTTTGAACAGTTAGATGTCTGTAGCACACCTCAGTTAGCTGCAAAGAAAAAAGACTTTATATCTATTCAAGAGACCTCCAGCTGGTTTTTCAGCACAGAAAAAAAAAATAAAACAACAACCTTGAATCTTGGGTAAGCTATAACAAATAAATGCAAGATAATATCTAAATTATATAGTTTTTGGGTAAATTAAACATGAAAAAGATAAAGTTTTCATACTTAAAGTATCAAAAGTTGAAGTTGCTCTGCAGAAAAATGATTACATTATTAACATTTAACGTTTATTATCTGGTTGAGTGTGAATTTGCCTATGTTATGAAGTATTAGATCATTTTACCTCTTTGGGCCTCAATCAGTTATTAAATGACTCCATCTGTCTCTGGTGGCACTGATAATGACTCATAATGAACGTATGAATGAATGGGTGTAACAAGGAGACCCAAGTAGACAATTGACAAACAGCCCTGGCCTTCTTGCTGTGTGGCACTCAAGTAACTTGAACTCCCTTGTTGTTCACGCAGTTGTACAAAACACTGGCACCGTGCTCTGTCTGAGCAAAACTGACTGTTTGATTAATGACAACCAACTACTGTTTATGTTCCCGGGGACCTCATGTGTCTGAGCCAGAAGAATGGCGGCACATGATTAGTAACAGGAGCAGCTCGACAGCCATGGTGAGAGAACATTAGTGGGACTAGTTTTTTAGTTAGATTGTGATCCTGTTTTTCAGTATTACCACAGTTTATATCCTGTATTAGTCCAATAATTGCAAACAATCAATACTCTACATTTCTGCATACGTACATAATAAGTATCTTAAGTGTCCTGACTGGTTTCCTGGGCTGGTTCCAGTGCAACCACTGCTTTCAGTTTCATTTCAGTAAATTTAGTTTCACTTGTAAATAACCATTGAAAATCTTGAATCTTAATATATCCATTCAAATCCAACCTGTCATACAAACATTAAGCAAGCAGGGGAAAGTATTATCTATATTTGGCAGCCTCTGACATATTGTTATCCGATTTTTAAAAAAAAAAATCGTTGTTGTTTTCACCTGTGAAAGTAATCAGATTATTTTTATTGGACTTCAGATTAACCCTGAATTAACAAATTAATTAAATCTCAGAGCACATGATTGCATTTCACTACATATATTGCTTGTGTATATGTGACAGATAAACATTTGATTCCTCTATTTAAATTAATTCAGCTGAAAATTGTGTCACCAGTGAATATATCAGCTGGTGATATATTCACTGGTGACACAATTTTCTTATACATTTTTTAGATACTTTATATTTAGTCTTCTCTACGTTTCAGATGGAAATATAGAATTTATTCCTCCACTTCATTTATTTGACATATATAGTTACTTTAACTTTACAGACCTCAATCTGTTGGCAAAATTGCATATTAGCACAGAAAGAGAACTGGATTTCCACTTCCAGGTATGTATATGGTATTCCCCCAAAATAATCACTAGATTAACAGCATAAAAAATGTTTTCATCCAAGTAATCCATAAAAATAAATGATATCACTGTATGTAAAAGAAGATATGGGGCAAGGACAACCACAATTTTATTATATAACAATGTACAACAACCAGGGTACATTTACATTTTTGCACTTTTTAAAACATCTCAACACTTGTTTCACAGCCTCTCTCTGTGTTCAGGGGAAACACTGGTGAGACATTCACTAGTCTTCTTCCTCTTCTGTGGTTTTCTTCCGTGCAGCAGTGACAGAGGACAACAAGAGGAGGAGGAGTGAGGAGGGAACCGAGGAGGAGGAGTGAGGAAGAAGAGGAGGAGGAGGAGGATGGATAGAGTGAGTGAGTGACGACGGTGTCACAACTAACCACTAGGTCAGGTTCACGTTATCCAACTACCATCGTAAACACACAGAGGACACAATAGAGGCAGAGTAGTAGCTGAACACAAGAGTCTACTGTTGGTCGGACATCTGCTGCGGTCTTCTGCCTCTTCGTGTTGTTGTCGCTCTCCGGGAGGAAGAAGGAGAAGGGCGAGGATATTATGGCTGCACTTTCTCCACAGATCCGAGGACTCCAGGCAGATGAGGTAAACTATGGCTCCCACAGCAGCCTTTAATGGGACCGCTCATGTGATCCCGTCGTTAGCCAGCTGGCTAACTAGTTAACGCTAACTGTTGCTAACGACGCTGATATTTCCTGATACATTAACCAGTGAGCTCAACCAACTCACCGGCTGGATAACTTAACGATGTTAGGAGTTGTGTTTTAGCTACCATGTGTTGCTTACTGATAGAACATCGATGTAATTGATTTAGTTCACTCAGTTAACGTCAATTGCTACAGAGCCATAGCTGTTCACTTTTTCAGCCAGGAAACACAACAGGCTCCTGAACAGTGAACGCCTCTCTGCTGGCACACACACACACACACACACACACACACACACACACACACACACACACACCTAAAAACACCCGAAACTGTCAAATATCTTGATTAAAAACTAATTTTATCAGTCCAGGTAACAATGTCAGCCTATAACTGTGTCTCATACACCAGGTCAGTGTGATTGATTGCGAAATGTCATGAGTGTTCAACAACTTCACAATAAAAGCACACATGAGGCTGGAGTTATGGGAAATGTGCAGACAAGGATGTTACATCATCCTGATTGTACTGGGGGGTCTGAACAACGTGTGTGTGTGTGTGTGTGTGTGTGTGTGTGTGTGTGTGTGTGTGTGTGTGTGCGTGCGCGTGCGTGCGTGCGTGTGTGTGTGAGATCTAGATAAGCAATACAGGACAATATTCAGTATCTACTGGGCTACTGCTAACCATGTACAGAATATAACCAGGCACTTTTATTGTATATAGTTAGTTTTTTAGTTGTAGAGCAGTTTCTAGTTAATCTTTTATTTATTTGATATCCTTATCTACCTCCTTGACTCTTATGTTGTTTGGTTTATGATTTTGTTTCTGTAGTTTCCGGTCAGGATTAATGAAGTGCTCTCTCTCTCTCTCTCTCTCTCTCTCTCTCTCTCTCTCTCTCTCTCTCTCTGTATGACATTTTCATATTCATAAACTCATCACTATTGTTTGTTATTTCAGGAGGAAACCAGAATCCTGAAAGTTAAAGTCATTGCTGGAATTGGGCTGGCCAAAAAGGATATACTTGGAGCCAGGTACAGTGCAGTTACTTGTACAGCATAACTTATGAATAGGGCTGCAACCATTAGTTTCATTATTGATATATCTGCCAATTGTTTTCTAGACTACTTAATTAATTAATTAGATTTGCTAAAACACAGATTTCACAGTTTCTATCACACATGGCATGAACAGCAGCAAATTCTCATATATGTCATCAACTGGTAACAAATGTGAGTCCTAATTTCCCAGAACGACAGACAGTCCAAAAACAAAGGATATTTAATTTACGATGATTATATCAAAGAGAAAAGCAACAGATCCTCACATTTGACGAGCTGGAAACAGATGATTTTTTTCTTAATGATTTAATGAAACATCAAAATTGGGGACGATTATTCACTCATGCTAAAAAGGTCATCATCTTCCTGTGTAGATGTAGTGGTCATTTCCTGTCAGTAAAGCTGGACAATCAGAGCTGCAATCACATCCTCTAAACTGTTAGTGACAGGAAGGTGACTACAAAATATTTTCCATGAACAAGCAGCACACGTCTGTCAGTGAACCATTAATCTGTTTGTTTGATTACCCTGATTGAGTCTCCGAAATCCCATAAAGACTAAAATAAAGATAATGTGCTCTGTAATCTTACCAAGAAAGATTCAAATATTTAGTTCTGGTAAAGTTTATTAATTCATTCTCTGGATGTTATTGTGCAAACAACCCTGATTTTTGCAACATGGGTACTTCCTCCAAGACCATTTACTATAATCAGCACAGATGTAATCCTCTTAAAGCCATGTTTATGACCTTTTCACACCTTGTGTCTGTCCTACTTTTAGTTGTTATTCTTTTAGTCTAACAGCAACAATCAAGAGTGAATGAAATGCTGATATTGTTGGCTGGTTGGTGATTTTTATGTCTTTATTTGTACTGTATGTTTAATCATTTATGTTATAACCAAAATTGCTGTATTATTATCACTCTAATGTAACACAAGTAGCTTAATACATTACTAATGACACAACATTGTTGTGGGCCTGAAGGGACATTGAGGCTGGGTAATGGATAATGTTAAGTGATTGATGGATGTGGTTTTAATGCATGTCACTGTGCCTCAAAGTATTATAAATGAACAATTAAACTTTTTGTTGAGCATCGAGTAGCTGGAACCATTATGTTAACGTTTCTTATGCCTGAATGCATTGGCTTATCTGATCAGACAATGATGTAGGATGGTTTGCTTCCGTTTGAAAGAAAGTAGAGACTCGTAGCAGGAGAACCACACAAACCACTAATGCACACAAAGAGCAGAGAGTAACTGTTGTATGTCTACATACCTCAGTCTAAATGTGCCTCTTTTTCTTGCAGTGATCCCTATACAAGACTGTCTCTCTATGACCCTGTCAATGGAGAAATCACAAGTCTTCAGACTAAAACAATAAAAAAGGTCAGTAACCGAGTATCTACATGTGCAGTTACACTTATTCTATTTGTGTGACCCGTATTTTATTTGGATTTTTATTTTTTCTCCCTCGTCTCCCGTTACATGAAGACACTGGACCCAAAATGGAACGAAGAATTCTTTTTCAGAGTAAGTGACGTTAATAAATGTACATTAAACGTTTTAAAATATGTATATTATACGTATATGTATATTTATATTTATCTCTTGACTTGTGTGAATATTTACACTTACGCATACATGTATGTGTCAGGAGATAATTTTTTATATTTCCTAAATGGGAAACTAGATACATTTACTGTAAACTTCATATTTTACCATAAAATGTTAAAGTGATGCTGTTGTTTTTGTTAAACGTGGCTCATTGTAGTTTTACGTTCTAAAGTCTATATTATGTTTCAGGTTGATCCCAGGAAGCATCGTCTGCTGCTGGAGGTGTTTGATGAGAACCGTCTGGTAAGTTGTTTTAGTTTTGTTGTTCAACCTTTCTGTATATAATTTTGGTTATACTGAAACATGTAGTAGGTTGTAGCTTGTTGTGTTGGGCAAACTCTTCTTTTAAGCTGCTCTAGTTCTTTTTATTTTCTCTACAAAATCTAGTAATCTAAGTGCAGAAGGATGGGTTCACTTTAGGGCAATTATCAATCAATCTGCTGATTATTTTATTGATTAATTGGTCTATAAAATGTCTTGTTTTGTGACCAACAGTGTAAAACCCAAAGAAATTCAGATTTACCATCACGTAAGGTAAAGAAAAGCTGCAAAATCCTCACATTTGAGAAGCTAGTAGAAGTAAATGTTGTATTTTTGCTTGAAAAATGACTGAAACAATTAATTGATTCCCAAAATAGTTTCTTATCAACTAATTGTTGCAAGTGTAGTTAGTTTGTTATAATATATGGGTCATGTTTTTTCTTGAAGTGGACAGGCTCTACATAAGAGGGCTACTGGCTCTGTAGACTGGTCTGCAGTAATCTTTGATAATTAAAAAACTATAGGAGATAGATCAATTTTAAGAGCTGCTCTGTTATAAAGGGACGTTTCGTAATTGATATTGTTGATAGTTGAAACACACTCAGCATATTGCCCAAAGATGCTCAAGCCAGGAAATAGTTTCACACAGGTTTAGAAATTTGAAACAATCCATTTAAAATGTGCATAATTAACAAAATAGATTTGAAAACATCTTTTTGTAACCTTATGTGCATCTACCATAAAACACCATGAATGCCAAACAAGGGAATGTGTCGTATTTCTGTAGATAAGGGTATTCAGTCAGTGCAAAGTTGACTTTGGTTTGTGTGCCAGATACAGCCGCCCTTATTTTGCCATGATGTGTGATATTGTTGGAAAACTGGGATAACTAATTAGAGCTGTAAATAGGGGCAAATCTGGCTACCTTAAGGGCACACTAACGCCCGTCACTTACTGTACAAGGGTAGATGCTATTGAAAGAGTCACGTGTCACATCAGAGCTGACGATGGAGACATTATGTGCAGTGATATGTAGTTGAGCTCAATAGTCTCTGTTAGGACACAGTTTCATAGGGTTCCTGTGTGAAGCAGCAGCCTGGAGAGATCTGAGGTTTGGGTTGTTGTGCAACATCTGCAGTGAATATAGTAGATTACTATTTCTCTTATTGATTACACAATTAGTGCACAGTAATGTTTAAGCTTTGGGGAATTCCAAGTCGCAGCATGTTATTAGTTGAGTTGCTGACCCAGTTTCATGCTGGCCTGATGCACAGCAGGTCCTGGGACCCCTGAGCAGCCAGACAACAGTGTAAACACCATTGCTGTCTGACACTGTGCTCTCTGTATGTGATCTACTGTATAAACCCAGTGTAGCAGTTAGACAAGATGAACAGTCCCCATTGGTTTACCCTAAATGTCACCTAACCCCCTACAGGCACATTGGATGTGTGTAACAACATGTTGGGAATTAATTATAAATAACATGGGGAATATTGTCAACTAGGCAAGCCACAGTTTACTAAGCAAAGTAACACACGTATTAAGTAGCTAGTGTAACATTTCTAGAAACAAGTTCCCTTGTTTTCTACAGTAGCATGTAAATCTCTTATAAATATCTTTCAGTTTACTGACTGAATTGCAGTCATAATAACATTTGGGCACATCTCTACCTGTCATGTCCTCCACATGGCGAGGCACTGATTCATCAACCTGTCCAAACTGGTAGAGTCTGCTCAGCAAATATAACAAGAAGCAGCACATTAGATTCTCAGAAGAATCAAGTCAGTGCACAGCTATGTGTCAGGCAGCTATTTGTGACCGTTTGTTCTTATGTCCACTGTGTACAGCAGGTCACCTTTCTGCACAGAACTAACAATGTTTGAGAATAAAATCATGTTTGTTGTTCTGTATTCTTCTTGGTTATTTATGAAGGAGCTTGTTCAACACTTGTTGCAGTTTGATGTGATTGCGTGTTTGATTTGGCTTCATTGTCACTCACTGTTATTTGGTTTGAATGTTTTTAGAACGTGTCTTGTCATAGTCACTGCAGTCACATGAGAAAATAAACCTGGGTGTGACTCACACAAGGCTGCCTTGTCATGCTTCAGGTGGATTCAGTAGAAATTTGGTGGGTGTGTCCGCACTGTGAAGTTGCTTCCCTGCACGTGTGTCACTGCTGCTCATACACACAGAGGAATGGGCGGAGAAAGCAGGAAATTAAAAATGGGTCTGTTGGTCCCACAATGGTACATCCTAATCATTTTTGGGATCAACAGTTGGACCTTTCACCTAGTGCCATGAGTCTGCTTTAGTCAATATGTTTCACAACGAGGTCGCTTGAAAACGAATGACATTATTCTATGAAACTGCTGTTGTGGAGACTGACGTACGTTGCGGTGCTAGAAGTAAAGGTTGTGCCCTTTATGCTGACTTCAGTACTAAGTAAAGTTGTTTAGTGAAGGAGGGAGAGAAGGAGTGCTCCAGGTGACATCTCAAGACCCCTAATCTCCTCCGTCCTTCCTGGTTCCGAGTTGTTTTACCTCCAGCTGGAGACGTTCACATACTCCCAGACACCTCAGAATCAGACACATGAAAAACTAAATAAGATACTTTGTAATGTTTCCTTTGAGACATCAGGTGTCTGTGTAGCAGGCCCTGTCTCACTCCCAGAGACATTGTGAATAGAGGGTATGCACATGATATTGCCAGAAGTTGCTATGGTTACTCCTCCTTGAATGAATGGCCATTATGAAATTACATGGAAAACACTGATAAAATGGTAAAGCGCTGTTGTGCAACCGACTGCACAAATAGACTCAGAAACAGTTCCTAGTTTTTACAGACTGCTGAAGGCTGAAGAGAAGAGAAACTTACTTTCCAAACCACACACAATGTTCTCTGGAAGAAAGAAAGAAAGAAAGAAAGAAAGAAAGAAAGTAAAAAACTAAATGGTCCATGGTGTCAGGTGGTCAGATCTGTTCACAAACGAGTCCAGATGATATTTATCAGATTGACAAGTCTTACTTTAAGATATCTACATGTCTTCAGGCTTTGTTCAGTCTATTCTTCTGCCCTCTCTATGCATGTAGCTGAACAGATACACAGTGAGCTAAACACACTTCAGGTTGGAGACAATGGATTGCCTTTGAAGTTTTTATGCAATTGTGAAACTGTGAAAACAGTAATGGACAAAAAAAAAATCATAATGATGAAGAATCAGAAAATGATTCAATAAACAAGAATTACACCAATTTTATTGTAAAACTGAGTTAGTACAGTAACAAGGAAACTGAACAGATCGACTCTCAAAGTACCAATAGGAAGCATAGTAATTAATCATCTAGTAAACATACACAACAGTAAAAGTTAGAGTAAAATACATACAACAGTTATGAATTGTTGTATTAGCAACACATTTGCTCCAGATAGCTAGTAGTGGCAAGCCTAATTTTCGGGAGCTGTGTCCGAAAATCACTCCCTTCATTTACTCATTCATTACTCCCTACAGTAAACAATGGACACTCAATAGTTTACTCAGTAGTCATCATCATTTTGCGTCATCAGTGACAACTGTTGAGTTGTGCAGCTGTCATTTTCTCATCTGTAAAATGTGACCCATTGTATTGTGGGATTGTTAGCAGAAAGTCTTCTTTGTTCTTTTCTTTTCATTGTGGAAGATTTGAGGGCATTCTACAACGGGGACATTTACACAGTGGGAATTCGGACACTCAAATAAAAGCACTGACGAACAGTAAGTGTAGTTTAATAAATGGGCAGTGATTTCAGACTCACACACAGAGTGATATTAACACATACAGCTGCTCCTGCTGATTGTCAGAGCAATCCCCTGTCTCTCAGGCCCAGCCTCTACTCTAACTGACACAGTTTGTAATGACACTTAAACACGCCCTCTAAAGAGTTTATTAAATACAACTTGTCCGTCTGAGTTTCTTTTGGGCACAATGTTTACTTTGGTGCCACATTCATGGTGGCTTTGCTTTTTTTATTATTGGCCCATTACACCATACTGTATGACTTGGCATAAATGTGATGTGTGCGTCACCAATCTTATCTTATGGCCAACGCACTATCATCAATTAAATCTACTTTTGTGCTGGATGAGTGATTAATATCCAGTCACGAGGTAACTTGTCATGTTGGTTAAAAAAATAGGTTGTGAGGCGGTGAAGTGTCCTCTGGTGAATCATGTCTTTATCCTGGCTTTGTCTCGTACTATTACACCCTATACTGAAACTGATTTGGATGCAGAGTAATGCCCTGAAATAGGCCAGCCTAGCTTACAATAGGCTTCCATTAATAAATAGGACTGTCAACAGCCATGCAGAGGAAATCAGACCAGCACTGAGTGTTACATGAGGTGTCATATAACAGGTATCATGTCACCGACGAAGCAATCCCAGTTCTTTCTTATCTTCTTGTGTTTTCTGTCGGCTGGCAGATAATATGTCACAGTTTACTTTATCTCTCTATCTCTGTTTAACACATTTCCTCTTTCTTTGCAGGCAAAAGAATATTTTCTGAAATAGCTTTTTGGTGTTAGTTGTACTTTTGCATGAAATAAGTTGGTGATTTCTGCAGGTCATTATTTTCACAGGCTACGGTGGTTTTATCGTGTGCTATCTGATTTTGCAACCCAGTCCTCAGGTTTATACAGAATTATGTTCAAAGTTGTTCCCTTTGATTTCCTGTAATTCAATAGCAGTGGGTAAAAATATTTGTGGGGGCACGGAGCAGCAGAAACATTAGAAGCATAGCTGCAGCAGGAAGTAGAGTCTTGAGTGAGTGGCCCCAAGCAGATGTAACAGTTTACCAGAGCTTCGGTCTAAGATGCAACGTAGAGGGCTTCCATGTTGTTGTTTTAAACAGGAGTGAGGCGACTGGAAAAGACACAAGGTGTTAAGTGTTAGATATTAATCTGGCTGTAATTCAGGAGGTACAGTTAACTAGCAGCTAAGTTACGCTAACGTTATAAAGCAGCAGTGGAAGCTCTGTCTTTTAAGTTCAGTGGAATTTTGTTTTCCTTATAGGGTTTAAGCTCCCTAAAGGGGCAAACCTCTGGGATTGCTCTAGTTTCAAAGGTCGTATGTTTGGGTCATGTCTCCAAACAGAACCACTGACCTCCTCTGACTAAAAGCTGAGATCAGCCTGGAGAGGAATGTAGGTTGTCACCAGAGCTATTTTGGCAATGTACAGCCGCTAATGATTGTGATCACAGAGCAGAGCTCGGAGCAGTTGCTTTGCTTTCCTTTTTTCCTGCCAGCAAGTTTGATCATGCAGCTCTTACCGGCGCTGCAGGGATTAGAGGGTTAAACGAATGGCACGTCGGCTGCGCTTGCATTTTGCGTCAAGGAGAAGCAACACGGACCCTCTGTCAGAAAGCCTCAGCAGCCATGGTGAGGAGAGTGGAGTCGGTGTGCCAGCTTATAGCCCCGCAGAGATTCTGGCGCACAGTTCTGTCCACTTGAAGGTGACTCCTCTGTCACCAGACTATGCTAATTTTCAACGCTACTCTTCAGTATTCATACCAAGGGTTAACACCGGAGGATGTAATAAGAAGAGCATTCTGCAGATCTTGTTGCAGCCCTGTGGAAAGCTCAGTGGAGAGCTGGATGGCAGTATAGAGGATGGAGACCCGGGGGGCAGTGAAGGAGGAGCAGGTAGTGGCTCTGACGGAGGCTCATGCAGCAGCAGCATGGCCAGCGATGCCGGGTATTGTAGCAGCAACAGCATCTTTGAGCCAGAGGCTCCAGAAAAGCAGAGGGCCACCCAGGAGAGGAGTCTACTCTCCCGCAAGTCCAAGGTTCCGCTGAGACGGTGCTCCTCCTTGGTTATATTTCCAAAAAGCCCCTGCAGCACCCCACCTGCTTCCCCAGTCAGTCCAGTGGCTCTTCCTGCTCTCCCGCCTGCGAGGGGGTCTCATCAGCCGTCTCCTCAGACATTTGCCAGTGAATTCTCACAAGATGACGAGGAAGTGACTTGCAAAGGGTCCACCACCACGGCACTAAGTGGTCGTCGTGTCCCGAAAGGAAGCTGTTCAGCCGAGTTCAGGGACACCAAACACATGGTGCAATTTAATATTCCTTTACAGGATGAACCAAAAAGCAAAATGGAGGATAGGAGTAAAATATTGGAACTGTCATCAACTCTAGACAGATCAAATCGTCACTCTAGCAGTGTGCTGCTGCACTTTGCCCACCAGAGACCAATGATACCCGGGAAGGGAGCTACAACCACGACTACAGTCAATGTAGGATATCCTGAGGCTCCGAACCCAGCCGCACACCCTGAGGGTGAACACGACCCTCGCAAAAAACTGTATCGTAGTACCTCTGCTTGTTTGTTCTCCTCAACTAAACCATCAGAGAAAAACCAAATGGTTTGTTCCTCAGGAAAAGGTCTGGAAAAGCCAGAGGAAAACCATTGTCATCGCGCTATACAAAGGAGCTTTTCTCTGGAAGTGCCTTACGCTAACACTGGAATTTCATGTCACGTTTCAAATCCAAAACTCAGTAGCCCTTGCTCTCCTCATGTGCACATTCATTTGTCTCCTTGCTGCCCAGCTAAGTTGCCTGGCTCTGTTACTGATGTAAACACGAGCCACCAAGGGAATAATACACCAAAGAGCCCAGGTCAAAACACTAAGGTGAGTGTTAAGTTTCTTAATTGGAATAAACTAATGCTCCCTGACCATTAGGAACAACGATTGAGAAGTAAACGGCTTTCAATAAGCATTGTGTTCTATCAAGATAGCTGACACATAAAGGCCCCGCAAACAAGCACCGTACAGTCGGCTATAATGTTGTTTAACTGGTTCTAGTAGATTCCATACTGCTTTGGTTTGACTGCTCGGGTGACACCGCGTGACACTTGTGCAGTACAAGTTATTTCTCAAAATGCTGCTCTTCTTCACTGTTACTGCCATTAAGATCCTTAAAACTCTGTTTACTCAGCGTCAGCCATTAGGCTCACCACAAGCTAAAGCAAAATTTAGTAACTGAGACGATTGCTACAGCTAAGTCATGCAATTAACAAGCCCAATGTGGACAAACATCCAGAGGTATTCGGTTACATTACAGTAAATCCATTTTCATATTGGTTTCCAAGAAAAGCGCGAACGAGAAGGAAACGTTGCCCGTCTTTCATCTTGTGAGTCTCTTTCGTTTGTTGGTGTGTGTGAAGACATGCTCAACTTTAGAATAGTTCTCCATTTTTATTATTCTGTTAGCGCTATGACTAATCAACCTAAGTATTTACCCAGGCTAATTATAGTGGTGGGAAAAGCAGTGCCCCTTGCTGATATAAATAAAGTGCCTCTGAAATATTCCCCCTGACTCCAGATAGTCTGGTGGTCTGTAGCACTGCCCAGTCCCGTGGATTCAAATTTAACAGCATGATACTAGAGCAGCGCACAGTCATGCCAGCCATCTGTGGACATGGTGTGTGTGTCTATGGGGTGGGGGTAATGTAATGTGGGCAGGATGGGAGCGTGAGCCTTTCCCAGTAAAAGGGTGGTGTGTCCCTTCCCTGTGGGTCCCCCTGCCAGGCAGTGTTTGTGAAGTATCAGGTGTCAACCTACCCCCCTGCATTTAGCAGGTTGTCAAGTAAGAAGGTCTCCTCCAGTAATTAGCAGGTCCATTTACTTTTAAATATCTATATTTGCTTTTTTTGTAAATCTAGATTTAGTTTTCTCATTTAAAATGCCACTGAAATACGATTATCAAGTATAATTATTTCTCTTAAGCTTTGATGTTCATATTTCTTTGTGTATCTTTAGTCCAGTGTCACATCAAACATCTCCTTCTTAGAAGTCTGCATCAAATACTACACGCCTTTGTTTACATTCTGACCGTGTCCACCCACAACGGAGCAATAACAATGTCATTCGCTATCAAAAAGTACATCATAATTCAAATAACAGAGAAACACATGTAAGAATAACAAAACATACATATAATGGACTTAAGAGTTTCTCTTACCGCAGAAATTAAAGTATTTTTTAAATTATCACTGATTTTACTGCCTGAATATAGCAAAATGAGCCTTGACCTTCCTTTGTACATCAGCGGTAAAAAGGATCACCACATTCCTGGAAACAGTCCCAACAAAAATTGTTATCTACAACAAAAAGGGTGGGAAATCAACAGCTATAATGCAATGGAATAATTTTGCAAGATGCAAGATATGTTATCCCTGGGGAAAAGTCACATGAAAAAATGTCATAATGGAAATTATTATGAAAGTTTCAAGTCCGCCGGTCATATCTGCAGTGCCCTCATAACCCAGTATGCCTCATCACGAGTTAATGAACAGCCAGGTGTTCCCACATTACACAAGGAAGGTGAAAAGCATTAATCAGAGATCTCTCTGTTACTTTGAACAACCGCAAGTCATGACATAATTAATTTTATAGACAAATGAGCACACGTGATAAAGCACCAAGATGTAGTTTAAATGGCCCACATTTAATTAAATTTACCGGTGACCAAAAAACAGTTGAATGTGACCTACATGCCATTATAGACTCGATTTGATAGTATTGACTAGTTTTGTGCAGTTGTCACAGTGTTTGTATTTGTGGTGGAGGATTACATTTCCTGGTTCAAGTTGGATTCCTTCAGAAGTGATAACATGTGGTTTAGAGAAATCAGTCACTCATTATAAAAAGAGCCGATATTATTGCCTCCCGCAGTGACAGTAAAGGATTTCAGTTGTAGAAAACAAGGCTGTCCCAAATCTTTTTACAGCTTCGACTTAACTTTGTCATAATTAAACTCTGCAGCCCTTGCTGCCTGTATTTGCTCCCTGAATGAATTGTTTTCACAGATGTGTACCTAAGTTCCTGATCAGGATCATCATCAGACACTTTGTCTGCCTGCTCCAAAAACATTAGCCGGGTGGCTCTTCAGAAGTTTAGGTTTCACAAGCTGCTGTCCACCTGTTAAAAGTAGTTTGTCGTTGCCGAGCTGAGATGGATATCCCTGAGCTTGCTCCACAGATACCAAAACATATGTCTTTTGCTGTTTGCCACAACATCATACAGTGTCGGCACTGCTTAATGCCACATGCTAAACTGAGTTGTGTTGGAGTCACATGAACCTTCGGGGATGCTCTGAACGCACATTTATCTATGGTTGACTTATTATCTTTGACATTCTCGTCACGTGTCCGAAGCATACTTTTCCTCTTTGTTAATCTTGGCTTCACCTCACCCTACATCCAGGATGTATATATAGGATATACATTCTGATTGTTACTGAAATATAAATTACCTACTTGAATTTTCAAACCGTCAGGCCATCACTTTTAGCCAGTAATTATTTATGTATTACTGTTTATGAAATACTGAGCTGAGTTTTAATTTGGCAGATGGATCAATTCTCTGTTTGTATAGCTCAGTTTCTCAACACCTGAGCAGACTGTTAAAAGTTATGAAAGGAAGAGTATATTGATAAATATTGAGCTACAGAAGTAGTGGTAGTTTTAATGGAAGTGGAGTTTAGAGGAAGGTAGATCTGATCAGTGCTGAGAACTGAGGTGAATGTGACACTAAATTGATAATTTTATCCTTCTAGGTTTGTTCTCAGAGATACTGACTTTACTTTTTACTTGACCTGACAGACACATTGTGGGACAGGACAGTGATGTTTAGAAAGGTCCTTTAACTTTGTGTCAAGTCAGTAGACACAAGGCTTTTTCATGTCTTTACATTTTAAATTGCCCTCTCTACTCTCATTAACTGTTATAAACATAAATACAAGAGGGAGGAAAATTGTGCATGATGATGTTCTATATGAAACCACATTACTGTGTATACTGTATACAATCATACTTTCTAGTAAATCTCCAGTACACTGGCTGTTGTAAACAATACCAAGAAATACACTAATCTAATCACGCAAATTTTCTTAATATCCTGTGGACTGTGCTGTGTAAATACATATAATGAATATTAATGACAGTGCTGGTACCTTTTTAAACATCGAGGAAGCTCTGCAGAGTGCTTTCTCCAACGCAACGCCTCCATAAAAGCAGTTGCTCACTAGAAATGGAAAGCAACTACAGCTTGCAGAATTGTAATGAGAATAAATGACTTGACTTACTTGAGTGTACCTAAGCTAAAAGGAAACATCTCTTACTATTTTAAGCAGTTATTTTTCAAACAAAAATGCCCAAAAAGTATTTAGGTTCAGTTTAGAGGATTTGCTGCCTTTCTTTTCCTTATTTGATAGTTCATCGTAGTTTAGTAGTTTTTCAGTATTTTCTGACATTGTATAGATCATAATAGATTCATCTATTAATGAAAATAATTGTTTCTTGCAGCCCTACTTTGTAAAGTGCCTTTTTCAAAGTGACTAGCTGCCATTGAGTAAGATTTACTTCTTAGACCAACAAAATTCAAAGCAGTCTTTGTTGACTTTTTAGGCATTCATCAATCAAATATCCAATAATTAATGGCTATTATGTACTTAAAAGTTACAAGTTAAAATGTACATGGGTTTTAAGAATGTAACGTTGCCACTGGTTATTGCTGGTGTACATGTAGCTTTTCTTTTAACCTGGACTTAACTGCTTTCCTTGGCTGCACTATTAGAAGAGCAAGGGCAGGACGAAGGAGGCCTCCGTCTATATTTGTTCACGTAAACACTCTATACTGCTGTTGGACAGTTTGACCTGCCGCGGGTGTTAATTTTGTCACAAAGCTGACTCCGACGGTGCGTTTCCCTTCAGCATTCTGCCTGTGAGACTGTAATGGCTGCGATGCAGTGAATGTGTGAAGTGTTCAAAGAAGAGACTAAAAGTTTATCTGACAAATGCTGCATTATTATGGTCCCAGTCTCTCTAGCAATAACACAGTGCAGCTATTCATTGTGAGCTGATAAACACACTCCTATCTAGGCTACATACTAAATCTATACGGAAGTGAATCAAGTCAAGTGACTGTCATTGATTCAGGGAGGAAAATAGTGCAATGTTTGAGGATAAGAGCTGTTTAATCCTTGAAAGATCTATTGATGAAGGCCTCGTCTTGACATGATCGGAGATAAACTACCACTAAATATACTCACTGCATGTTCCTATGGGGATATGAACAGTGGTTCTCATTACTGTAAAGACGTCTGAGTAACAGAACTTGTTGAGGCCAGCCGTGTGTGTGTGTGTGTGTGTGTGTGTGTGTGTGTGTGTGTGTGTGTGTGTGTGTGTGTGTGTGTGTGTGTGTGTGTGTGTGTGTGTGTGTGTGTGTGTGTGTGTGTGTGTGTGTGTGAGAGGAGATAATGTTGTCATTATCCTGACATCTGTGTGTGACTCCCTCTCTCTCCCTGTCAGACACGTGATGACTTTCTGGGACAGGTGGATGTCCCCTTAAATCAGATACCGGTGAGTCCTCGGTTGCAGGAAATCCTTCTTCTTTTGTATATTGATGTTTGTTTAAGTTAAATTAATTTGAATGCATTTTTGTTTTTTAATTTAGCTTTTTACCGTATGAGCTCTAGACCTCAATCTCACCCATGTCACCTTGTAAATATAAACACGCACACCCTTATTCTAGTGTCTGTTCCACATCGTTGTCCATAGTTTTGGAAACACAGCCCGTCATGTTTATGTTACGTTCCTGCTTTGTTTCATTATAAATACAACACCCACAAATTAGCCCTCATGGCACACTGTCACCCTCATTTCATTAAATCTTATCTTTAGATATACTGTGTTATGATACAGTGCCGGGCAGTAGATTTATTCATGCCGCTGTGAGAGTGTTCGGAGAATTAAAGATTTTCCTTTTTATTGTTTTGTTTTTTCTCAGACAGAAAATCCTAATACAGAAAGGCCATACACATTCAAGGATTTTCTGCTTCACCCACGAAGGTTGGCATGATCTCATGGTTATTTACTCTTTTGTCTTCCCTGTTTTACATTCCATTTTTATATATGTTTATTTGCAGGAGAAACGATAGGCCACAGTTCAGTTCATGCTTTACTTTTTAAACATTCCAGACTATATTTATTTCTTCCTCGTTCAAAATATTGAATCTGTTTGTCACACAGCCACAAGTCCAGAGTCAAAGGTCACCTGCGTCTCAAAATGACCTACCTGCCAAAAAACCCAGGTTCGGAGGAGGAAACAGCAGAACAGACGGGGGACCAGGACGTAAGTTTGGCCAATGCTTCGGCAGCAACAAGATATCTCTCATGACCTTCAAAAATATCACAGATCCTCTGTTTAGTTTGCCCACGCAGTCATCCTTCCTGCTCGTTCATAATAGATACACTCAGTCAGTCTGATGAGGTCAGTCAGTGCTGGTTAGAGCATTAGTCAAAATAATTTATCGGCCACAATTCCCAGTCACCCTACATTCCTATGAGCCACCTGCAAAATAATCTGCAGTGTTTTCTTTGTTGTTGTTTTCTTTAAGCTGTACTGTTTTTGTCTCCATAGAATCAGTTACAGCAGGTAGAGTAAATGTGTATGATCGCACATGGAAATTATCGTGACTGGACATTGAATATCTCCACTAACCTCCAATCAATTTACAAAGCTGCAAAAATGCACACTATAACAGTATGTAACATGTTTTACTCAAATCCTAAGAACCACTTAGAAGAGCATTTATTTCATTGGATGCCAACCTTGGCATCACTGCAGACAGTTTATACAGTGCTATAAGTTCTGTTAGAGCATGGATTGTCTCCTCAACGTACGTCTTTTTAAAACACAAAGTCCATGAGTCCAGTTTATATTTGTCCCACTGTGTGCCCATGGCTTCTGTAAAACATGCTGATGATTTCGTCAGAATTATTTTAAGCCAACTCAGTGCTCTAGTCGTAATCCTAGCCAGTGAGTTTTCTTTTGGTTGGCAAGTCTTCTTTGGTGCAGCTAAACCTTTGGCATTAGGATGTCGTCTCCATCCTGTATTTGCTGCCTTTTTTAAAACATTTTCTTTATGTTGTGCAGCCTGGTTGGGAGTTTCTGGAGGCTCAGGACATGTCAGGTCCCAGACAAAGCCAGCTGCTGCCTGCTCTGCCCCCTGGCTGGGAGGAGCGGCAGGACAACCTGGGAAGAACCTACTTTGTCAATCATGAGAGCAGAACCACACAGTGGCAACGACCCACAATGCAGTAAGAGTGCTGCCCCCTCCCCAGCAAAGTTACATTGCTTTTCTTGTTGGTTCAGTACTGATAGCGTGTGTGTGTGTGTGTGTGTGTGTGTGTGTGTGTGTGTGTGTGTGTGTGTGTGTGTGTGTGTGTGTGTGTGTGTGTGTGCCTCAACAGGGACAGTGATGTGGAAATACAAAGAAGACAGAACAATAATACAGAGGTGGAGCATGCTCTTAATACACGCAGACAGATCTCAGACCCAGATGAGAACAATGCCACACAAGAGTCTCCTGAGGTAATTTGAACTTTTTTGAACAAATTTGCATATGCCCTTTACTGTGTCCTGCTTGTGTTACTGTGTACTGACTAGACCTACCTGAATTTTTTCTTTCTGTTTAGGAGAATAGATTATGAGTTTTAAAATACTAAAAGTGTATTTACTTTCAGAGAAACAAAACATGTTTAAATCTAAGAATGCAGAGTTAAGTGTTTGCAAATTACAACAAGCTCTTGACTCTACAGAGTTTTTAGTACCTTTCAGCTTATTTTTCAGCCCACAATTTAAGTGTTTTGGTTAAGTCTCACAGCTCGCACTGTGTTGGTTTTGGCTGCGGTCAGCTGTCGTCGGTGAAGAAGGTCTTGAATCCCACTGTTCACTCATTATCTGCATAGTGCCACACAACAGACAAACACAGTTACCAACTAGCTGGTAAACATACTGGAGCATTTAACTGCCAAAGAGCCACATATTTCCCTCAGGAGTTGGTAGAGACCAAAAACAGAGTTAAAAGAGAGTGAAGATTGGACTTCATCAGGTGGGCAGAAACACAACTAAGTAAAATGTGATGTTGCTCTGTATGCACCTGTTTGTTCAACATATACACTTGATGATTTGTTAGTGTTGTGTTCACAGCTTGTTCTCACTGCCCCAAGTGGCCAAAAAGTAATACAGGTTTAAGAGCCCATCCACAACACAGTTTTTAAAAATGCTGTTTAGGGGAATTTGTGAGGGATGCACGTAAAAGGATGGGGGATGTTTTTCCTTATAGCTGTGTAGATCCCATGTTGCAGCCAGATGTGGCAGTGGTGGTTGCAGCAGCGTAGCTCTGGATCTGTCCTCTGAGGGCTTTGGCATAAACACTTTCATTTACTCTAAACAAACTAAACTCTCAGTGGCTTACACTGTATATTTAAACTGAGCAATTTGGAAGAGCAGTTGTTGTCGGGTCTAACCTTGGATAATGGTGTGTTCTTGATGAGTCTGTTCCATCTCATCTTTTTAGAGCTGGGAGATCATTACAGAGGACGAGTCGACATCTTACCACAACAACAACAACCAGCTCGCATCGCCTCCACCCCGCACGCCCGTGCCCGAGTTCCACTCGTTCTGCGACGAGTTGAGAAACATTCACATTTCAGGGGCCACAGCTGGCGAGCTGCACACCTCCCAGACAGTGAGTCATTTTCTGTGCTGCATAAGGTTCTGGTTACCGAAAGTCAGAGAAAGAGAGACACATAATGAGATTAATATGAACCACGGGCTTTCAGCAAGAGAGAGGGGGAGAGAGAGAGAGAGAGAGAGAGAGAGAGTTGGAAAATATATTCACATTAATGGCCAAGTGATTATTGTCTTCCTCTCTGATGCAGGATCATCATAGTAATTCAAGCCATTCCAGTCTCAGAGGAAGTGCCCGGACTTCAGCAGGAGAGGAACATCCCGTTAATCCTGTGGTAAGTATTACAGTCACTGTTGAAATCAGTCTCTCCTGCATTTTACCAAACCTGTCTTGCATCACAGTGTTTCTGTATAGCAACAGATGTCAGTGTTTGAGATTCACAGGTATAGACCACAACTTCTGTCAGTTCCTGTGCTGTGGATGTTAGGAAATAGTTTTAGTGATGTGTTATTTGAAAGGAGGTTGAAGTTTTCAGTATTGAGCACTGAATTCAATTGTTATGTCATTCAATAGCTGCTTCCAACCGCAGCTGGGCTGCCTGCAGGCTGGGAGGAGAAGCGAGACAGTAAAGGAAGACGCTACTATGTCAACCACAACAGCCGAACAACTTCATGGACACGACCCCTCATTCAAGTAAAAAAATTAACACGTGTTCTGTATGGATCTAAAACCAAGTCAAATGTAGTAATTTGTTTAACACTAACACCTCTCAATATTATATTTTTTGTTGGACAGAAAACCTCAGAGGCACCAGTAGCACCAGCAACACAAAGTGGTGCAGGTTTACCCCAGAGCTCCCCTCCATCCCAACCGCATGTCCCCCCTGAGGAGTCTCCTCAGCACACCCCAAGCCCTGAGGCCACATATGAATCTGGCTTCCTGCCAACTGGTTGGGAGGTTCGCAGTGCTCCCAATGGAAGACCTTTTTTCATTGACCACAACACAAAGACTACTACCTGGGTGAGCAAACATTAAATGAGCTTTTACCTCCAGTTGAGGGTTAATTTCCTTTAATGGCCACTAGAGGTTGTCTGCTAGAAAGACAATATTTTATATCCACAACAACAAAGTCTCTCATTTGCCTAGTTAACTTTTTCTAATGTGTGTCATGGTTAAAAAGATATGCATAAAAACAGATTCCTTACCATTCAGTAGTATCTCCAACACTATTTTCTTTTGTAAGCATTTCCTGCCTGACAGGAACACACCCTGTTTGTTTTCCTCTGAACAGGAAGATCCCAGGCTAAAGATTCCTGTGCAGAAGAGGAGGAGAGCCTCTCTCGACCCATCTGATCTCGGCCCTCTGCCGGTAAGTTTAACAATTACAAAACAGTAACAGTAGCAAGACATTTATCAACTGTAGCCTTTAGATTTCAGGCAAAAATCATATATGGTGCCTTCATTTGTCTGTTGTAATGTATAATCAGAGCAGATAGGGCTGCTTTTTGTATTTACTAGTTCAAGGTTAAAGAATATTTTCTTCCTTCCTAGCCTGGTTGGGAGGAGAGGGTCCACACTGATGGGAGGATATTCTACATAGATCACAGTGCGTATGACATTTTTATTAAAAATACAGCTTGGACTAAATTATGAATATGTTTCTATATTAATGAATGACCTCTGATTTATTATATTTCATAGACACCAGGACCACACAATGGGATGATCCCAGATTACAGAACTCAGCTATAACTGGACCAGTGAGTATGAACTGTATTTGACAGATTATTCTTCAGTAACATGATATTAGCAAACAAAAAAAATGTGTAGGTCATAAGGCTAAGATTGATTTGTTGCCACTGAACACTGTCCTGTGTTGATTATAGGCAGTGCCTTATTCCAGAGATTATAAACAGAAGTATGACTACTTCCGGAAGAAGCTGAAGAAACCGGTGAGTATGCTCAAACTGGAACTGAGATTGCACATACTTGAAAAAACTATTCTAATGAGGACTGGTGTTCCCTTTACTTCTCATATCAGTTTCACAATCTCACTTTCACACATGCTGTATTTGTTTAACCTTTAGATGATCGTAAACTTTCTTCTTGATAAACTCTCATACATACATCTCTATGCAGGCTGACATCCCAAACCGTTTTGAGATGAAGGTGAGACGAAATGCGGTGCTGGAGGACTCATACCGACGCATCCTCGCAGTGAAGAGGGCAGACCTGCTGAAGGCGCGACTGTGGGTGGAGTTTGAGGGAGAAAAAGCTCTGGACTATGGTGGCTTGGCCAGGGAGTGGTTCTTCCTCATGTCTAAGGAGATGTTCAACCCGTACTACGGACTGTTTGAGTATTCTGCCACGTGAGTCTCTTTCTATACCTTCTCCAAACGATCTGGTGTGTTTAGATGAGAGCGGACATCAAAACCAGTCTTGTATTGCACAGTCCAGTCACACGTAGAGGAACATGTACTGGTGTTCTGACGTATATTGAGAAACAGTAAATGAAAAGACATTCGGGACAGATGTTCTGCTTCCAGGACTCTCATACAGGTCTGGAAAAGTCTAGAGAAATATTCATAAATAATCATAGACATGCAGATGATGTATCAGTCCTCATTTTGTGCAGTCACAGACTCTGTGTCGGGCCACATAAGATTCAAATAGTTCATCCTCTTCAAAAGGTAAAAATCTACAAAGTGTGACAGTTTTCCTTTACAATCAAATAATTTATTAAAAATATACCTAAAAGAGCTTTCACAGCAGCCATTTTGACATGAAATAGTAGATAACAGAGTCAGGGTGCTGCTGTTGTCTATGTTAGCTCACTGGAAAGACTCTGAAAAGGTCTATTATCTTTGTGCAGAAAAAAGTAATTTCAAGTTCCTCTTCATGTTTTGTCTTCCAGCGACAACTACACACTGCAGATTAACCCTAACTCAGGTTTATGTAATGAGGACCACCTGCCCTACTTCAAGTTCATCGGTCGCGTGGCAGGCATGGCCGTGTATCACGGCAAACTACTCGATGGTGAGTGCTACCTGATTGTGTGCCACAGGAAATTTTACAGAGGGTATCAACAACAACAGTGGGAAAGTCAACGGAATTAGAGCAAATGGTGTGATTTTAATAGATCCTGACATTTTTGTTTGTGTTGTTCAAAGCTTTCTTCATTCGGCCTTTCTACAAGATGATGCTGCAGAAACCGATCACTCTCCAGGACATGGAGTCAGTTGTGAGTGTCACATTTTTCCACTGCAGATAATTAAATGAATTCAGGAGCTTCACAATCACAGCTAATCTGAAAGACATTCAGTTTGTTAAATTAGTGTGTTGTCTTTTCAGGACAGTGAATATTTCAACTCCTTGATGTGGATTTTGGAGAACGACCCAACAGACCTGGATTTGAGGTTCACCATTGACGAAGAGCTGTTTGGGCAGGTTTGTTCAACGTGCCATCTTTGCCTTAACAACTTTTGAATTGCGACCAGTGCGAGTTTTCTGTGTAATTCATATGAAACTATCCCAATCTTCCTGTTCAGACTCACCAGCATGAACTCAAGCCGGGCGGGGCAGAAATTGTCATCACTAATGACAACAAGAAGGAATACATCCAGTAAGCAACAGAGCTCCTCGCTTAAAGAAAAGACACTTTTCATCATCTTTGAAGTGTTGAAATGATGGTTTGATGTTGATCTGCTGTGTTGTGTTTGACAGTCTGGTGATGCAGTGGAGGTTTGTGAACAGGATACAGAAGCAGATGAGTGCCTTCAAAGAGGTAACAATTTATTTGATGCATTTTCAGTAGACACCATTAAAAGTATAAAGTAAGACTAAAAGTCTGTCATGTTTTTGTGTTTTAGGGATTCTTTGAGTTGATACCACAAGATCTGATTAAGATCTTTGATGAGAATGAGCTCGAGGTGAGTTTTCTGTCCGTCCCATGAGCTAAAATTAACCAGATTAATTCCAGAAAAGATTAATAACTTTCTGTCTACCTGCCTTCTTGTGCTCCAGCTGCTCATGTGTGGTCTTGGAGATGTGGATGTGAACGACTGGAGAGAGAACACCAAGTACAAGAACAGCTACTGCTCCAACCACGTCGTTATCCAGTGGTTTTGGAAAGTAAGACAACTTTCCATGCCTCAAGCCAACACGTTTTTCCTCCTTTTAAGAAGAGCGTTGTATTAGTTATTTATTTGTGTATCTGTTTGTGTTGTTATAGACGGTGCTGTTGATGGATGCAGAAAAGCGAATCCGGCTCTTGCAGTTTGTGACGGGAACATCAAGGGTCCCAATGAATGGCTTTGCTGAACTCTATGGTGAGATAACCTACAGCGTTGTTGTTAAAAAGTGGAGTCTTCCTTAATGTTTTAGCCTAAATTATCTACTCTATCCACTTCTACAAATAATTATTTTCATCTTGCATACAAATGTGCATCACATCTTTTCCTTCTACACTGTATTCACTTATCCGCAGTACACAGGTGGCTTAACCTTCTTTTCCTTTCTAATTCCAGTTATAATTATGTTGTATATGTTTATCTGATGTTTGATGATTTTATTTTCCAGGGTCTAACGGACCACAGCTGTTCACCATCGAGCAGTGGGGAACACGTGAAAAACTCCCCCGAGCCCACACATGGTGAGCACTTCACTGGGAATTTTTTCGTTAATATGTAACACAGTTATGGTTAGCAATGTACCCAAGACCATTTCTTAGTTTATTGGAAATATGTGCAGATATTTAAAAAAAGGCTCAAGCTAAACAAATGCTTACATGTCTAAACATTGCAGTGACGTTTGTAGTTCAGTTCAGCTTTTATTACGGCTCTGTGGAACGAATATTATCATTTTAATGTAATGTCGATCAGGTAAAGATTCCATTTTCTTATCTTATGTGCACAAGTGTTAATGATAATAGGAGCATACAGGATAAAAAACGATATATTTTGGGTTTTCAAAAGGAGTTCGTCAAAGAAATATAATGTGGCGTCATTAATGTAGTGTTGTACATCAGCCCTGATTGACACATGACACTGAACATTGAGCTCTGCTTTCTTGATCTTGGCTTACACTGAGGTTTTGTGTTGCAATGATAATGGATGAATGAATGGCTAGTAACAAAAAAGGACTAGTACAAAGTAATATGTAATTGAGCATTGAGCAGTCATACTCATGGTCAGATTTTTTCTAGTCACAAAGAATGCAAAAGTTGCAGTTGAGTTGCATAATGGGAAGTTTAGGATTCCGGCTGCACATGATTTGACCATTATTTTGTTGATCTATCTTTGGAAAGTCCCTAAACTTAATGGAGGTGCAATACTAAAGGCTTTGATGTGATTTTTCTTTTACTTATATTCTCTTACTGTCTTTAATTTCACCTGCTAAAGCTTCAATCGACTGGACCTGCCTCCTTATGAGTCTTTTGAGGAGTTGAGGGAGAAACTTCACATCGCCATCGAGAACGCACAAGGCTTCGACGGTGTGGATTAGTGCTTCTGAAGGTAGAAGAGCTGAACTGATTACTTACCGATCAGAGTAAAGCAGCACGATGTGGTGAAGTTGACGTAAGAAACAAGCTGTGCATCAGACTCTGGTCTTAACCTGCCAGCTGTGTGACAGATGAAGGACGGTCACACAACCTTCACATGGTCCTCTTTGGAGGCACACGCGGAGGACATTAAATCTGGAGTGACAGAGGTATTTAATCACTCCGTGTGTTCTAAAGTTTACAAAGCAAGAATGCAAAGCTATATACTGTGTAACAAAAAACATCTAATTTTTAAAGAAATTAGGTTAATTTGGGCTGAATGATAATTTGGCAATTCAACCTAAACAAAACATATGTGAAGATATTTACTCTCTATTTTTCCTATCATTTAAATTCTATACATAATAATACATTTTTCATTCCATCATACTAGAAACACTGATGCAAATCCCAAATATATGCACCTCAAAGGCAGCAGGTAGCAGTCAAATCTGCAGTTTATATTCGAGCAACCACACTTAAAGTAAGTTTGTCATTTAATCAGTACAGTAGTGATGTACCAATACCAGGACCAGTAACAGGCTGAACTAATTATACTGTGGTTTGTATCTGTGTAGTCCACAGATCCAGAGACTACATGCATTATTAGATTGTGCTGAAATACTATGCATAATTGTACATATTGACATAAGATGATTGAGTATCACTTGATTTTGTTATATGAATATCCTGTACATACAACTATAATTTAATAATGCCTTCTACAAAACGATGAAGCATTGATTCGAGCTGTTAAAAGCGACTCAAATTGACAAATAATTGGTGCACCTCTACATATTACCTTTTTTTAATTTATAATCGGTAGCCACTCATACTCAAGTTCAACACTGACTCTTTGTGTATCAGAGGAATAGATCAATGTGTATAAACAATATATCTCCTGGCCAGTAGCTTATAGAAAACGTTATCCAACAGACTGACTTTATCATACAATTTGCATACAGTGTGTTAAATATTATGTTTTGTTGCCTTTTTGTCAATGAGTGATATCATTTTGTTTTCTTCTACTCATCATGGGTGTCTAATTGCAGCACAGTGCTCTATTTTTAAGAGTACAACTTTAGAAATTGTTTTGCTGGTTGTCAAAAATGTGTACAGATTATTGTCTGTTTTCAAAAATGAGTAATCACTTGTAATACCTTAGTAGGAAAGTAACTGTACTTAAGCAGTGAGTTTTAACATTTTCTGAATGGTAAAACATGTGTTTACACTACCTGCCATGTTTACAGGGCGTTGATAAAGAAAGATATTGTGGGCTGGTTTCTTGTCTCTGACGACACAATTTTATACTTATGCTTTTATAAAGTGAAGCACTTTGTTAATATCGATGAGTCTTACTTCTGAACTGTCTGAATCTTTGCCAATCTGTTACCTGCAGACTGCTTCAATCGTTCTTTTAGGAAAATTATCCTATGCTTCATGCACATGTGTTTAAATGTTTACATGTGAACATTGCTGAAAATAAGCACATTCTCTTCTTTCACTTCTATTTAAAGTTAAATACAGAGGCCTTTGTTTGTAATGTATTGTAGACTTTGATTGTTTATTGATGTTCTAATCTCTAAATGGAAGTACTGTTATACATGTATTGTTGTCTACTGAAGAATCATGAATAGATCAACAATTTATTTCTGATATATCAAGTTTTGTTATAGTAGACTTTAATTTTAACACCTATAAGTGCATTACAACAACAACAACAACAACATGCATGCAACATATATACAACAGTTTAAAGGGTGGAATGAACTGTAGCTGTTAAATCCCAATTTGATGACCTATAGCTCACCAAATTAAATATATTTGAAAAATAAAGAAATATAAAAACAATCATCCAGTGTCTCCATGTCTTTCCCTTATACAGGTGTTTCCGTTTTCAGTGTTTTCTTATGTGCGTTTACTTTTTCATTTTTATTACAGTTTTTTTTTTCATTGATTTGATGAATTGTACCCAAATACTGTAAAGGCATTGACTGCAACTTCAAATGTGTTCACTTTTTTAAAGATTTCTGATTATTTCTCAGTATCACTTCACCTTAATTCCACTTATTTAGCATTTATGAGAGGTATATAAACAATAAATAAATTGTTTATAACGTACTACTGCAGTTGTAAGCAGATTTAAGTAACCCATAAATAAATAAGTAGATGCTGGAATATAAACCGATACAGAATGAAGAAGTTTCAATTGCTGACTAATATTGTAAATTAAGAAACACGTCCTTATATCAGGTACAACATGAATAACTGTTACAAACCATTTATCAAATAAACTGCTTATAAATGATAAATAGGAAGTGTTTCCCAGTTTTCTTAACTATTCACAGAGAAAACATGTTTGCAGTTTCAACACAAACATAAACTCAGTCTTGTTTCTGATGACGAGTTGTGTTGGCTCATTTACCGAGTGAGAATATTAGATATCTATTCATAAATAATAATAGAGGTACAAAACATGTGACTATAATCAGATTAAAGTCACTTAATCATTAAAAAGATTCTAGTAGTAGTACTACTAGTTTGTGTTTCTAACGAGGCATCAATGTAGAAACAATATTTCTTTCCATCCTCTCCCACTGATTTATGATTTTATGTAATAAAACATCCTTTGACATTTTATTCTTTACACCTGTTACTGATGTTTTGCTTCCGTTATTTCAGAATATCTTTTAATGTCTTCGACTCATTCCAGAGATGTGTTGTCTCTGTTTGTGGCAGCACACACATTCTTGTGGCCTGCAAACAATTAGGTGTTTGTAGTACTGAACTGTTCCAGCTGGGGGAGATAAAACACATTGAACTCTTCCTTCTTGAGGGACATCACCTAACTTTTAAACTTACATCTGACAAACACAATCGTTTGTTTTAAATCATATTGGCAGTGAAACATCAGCTCTCCTCTTTCGGTTCTTCTTTAGGTCCAGCTGTTGTTTCTCTTTCATGGGTTTCATTGAGGGATTTATTCTAAACTACATTTCACTGCACAGCAGAGCTGAAAAGACAGACTGTTAGTCTCAAGCTAATTTATCTGTAGCCAAATATGAATCTGAGATGTTTCCTGTGTTCCTGCTGACCTACAGTCGGCACTCATTCTTATGTAGTGTGAGATGTGAATAGGAGCAGGGTCTGTGGGCAGAGGACTACATCTCTCTGCTCTGAGTCTTTTGTGTGATTCAGCTCAACAGCTACAGTCCTAATTTCTCCACAACCCCCCTGTTGTGACCCTAAAAAAAACCCCCTCCCCTCCACGGGGGTCAGTGGAAAGGTCACACAGGGATTCAGGCCGGCCTTTTGGACACCTCTGGGGTCAGTGGGGATGGGCATGTGTGGTAGCAGGAAGGCACAGGCCTCGGCCAATGGCAGCCGGTCCCCTTTACCCACAACCTCACCAACATTCATAACCTGATAATGACTTTAACTGCATTGATCCGGCCTGAGAGTTCACATGCTGGCCGGCCATCACTCCACCCACAAACTGTTCCATATTGGCAGGTGCCGAATCTGAATTCCTGATTAATTAAACACCCTGGGGAAAGCCCTGCTGACCATGAATGAGGCTCTCACTTTCTCACGTTATGTAAGAGAGGAGCCCCCGTTCACAGCATGTGGTCGAAGAGGTTGGATTTTTTATTTTGATTAATTGGATAATATCTTGAGGCTATTATTGGAATTAATGTGGGAATTTTCTTAGCAGTAAATATTATAATTGACCTTTATATTAAGATATTTTTGCTCATTTCTTCATGTTGATAACAACATAAGATCCTATAATTAATGTGAGAAGCCTCTTAAAACTGATTTTAAAACTGTGTTACTTGTTATCTGAATAAAGTTACTTAGTTATCAAATTAAAACTAAATATGTTTCAAATTAAGGGAAAAGATGGCACCCAGTGTTTAAAAGTGAAGAAAATCATGATGATGACAAAGATTAATTCCTCTTTTTTATCACTTTTTTACTGAATTTGTTCTGGGGAAATGAACACATAAATAAAACACGTGGCTCAAATTCAGTTTATTGAGGTAGTTTGAATGTTTCCCTCCATAGTTTATAATCACAAATATAATAAAAGGGGGGAGTGACTGAATCAGCACTTAGTGGTTTTTTCCCTTTTCTGACTGACTGGACATCACAGCTGGGCTGCGGTCCTGCTGCTGAATAAAGGTTCACAGAGGGAGGGGCGAGGACCGTGGGAGGGAGGGGGGTTGGATCTCGCTGCACAATAAGTGATGGACATCGGATCAATATCGACATTGACACAGCAGCTGTCCTGCTCCTATCAATGCTTCCTCGTAATTGCAGGGTCCAGTTTTAAAGGACAAGAGACAAACTCATTTCCATTAACATTCTGTGAAGACCATTTGGTGTGCAGTTCGGCTCTGATGCTGAGGGATCTGATCTCATCAATACGGCGCCACTGTATTGATAAGGGAAAGTGAAAGGGTCTTGGTGGGGCAGGTGAAATGGTGTGCGAGTGTTGAACTCCCATTGTTCTAAAATGTACAGAAGCATCCATCATGGGTCAGGCAGGGCTTTGATGTCAGGCCCACATTATACAGAAAAAAAAAAACATGACTGATCTGATCTTAAAGTTATTGATACAAAGCCCCTAGTATCAACACCAATTATAGCACTGACTAAACTAAAGTGGGTGTTTTAAGGAGGATTATTTAACTTAAATGTTACATATTTTGTAGTGAAAAAAGGGTATTTTTCAGCCTGTTCTGTGTCATAGACTGACATATTTAAAATTGCATATTAAATGACTGCGCTGGATTGGCAACTGAAGGCCCCATATTTATGATTCAAATAGTTTGTGCTTATTTGATTGATTAGGAATTGGTTTTGTAAATGTGAACTATTAAAGCATAATATCAACACCAATACTATTACCTGTCTTATCTTATAAAGGGGCATTGTGTGTGAAAATGTACATAAATACAAAATCGATTTGTATCTAAACACGTAACCACAAGCAAGGGGAAAGTGGGGCAGGTTAATCTGGTCTAATCTAGACTAGATTCAGAGGAAAATGTTACACTTTTTACTCCACTATATGTCCAGATAAACACTGTATATTACATTCAATATGAGATATGTTTAAAAAACAAAGAAAAAACAACCAAAGCGTGATACCCAAAAGAAAGATGAAGCAGTCAGATGCTAGTGTTAGATATAATAATAGAGATAGATAGATAGATAGATAGATAGATAGATAGATAGATAGATAGATAGATAGATAGATAGATCATTTACAATGGTACCCTACGGATAAAACAGATCAGTTATACAATAAAACGCATAATATAAAACATGTAAAACAATCATCTTTATACAGAACATAAAAACATACATACATAAAAACATATACATACATATATATAACGTTAGTATCCAGGATGCAACCTTTGCTATACCTCAATGGTTCCAATGCAGAACTTTTATTTAAAATTTTTCATAATATATATTTAATTAAATAAAAGCTTACTAGTGAATCAGGGCTCATGGTGGCTGCTGGAGGTCCACAGGGCAGAGCTGTCCCCTCTCTGTGCCCCACTAACTAACGCTAGGTGGCGTCGGACTTAAAAACTTTATTGAGTCCCACAGAGAGAGCGATTAATTGACAATGTCCATCCCAGAGGAGGGAAACTATACTCCTGCAGCTCCCAACACCAGTCCTCCTCCTCCTCCTCAGTAGCAACGCAGTTCATCCGGAGGAAACAACTATGAGAGAGTAGCTAGCATGCACGGACAATTCATGTAAATGGCGCCTGTGAAAGGGAAATTATATCAGCGCTTGCTGTGGGTTGTCGTCTTTCTTCCAATCTCAGGTAAGGAGCGTTTTTCAGTGATATTTAATATATATATATATTTAATGAGAGAGATAAAACAGTGAGTAAGTGCTCGGTAACATCTCTGTGACTGACCGTAACCTGTAGACGTTGGACCGTTGGACCGTTGACCGTTAATGCTCCTCTGTAATTTAACGGTTTAAAGCTGACTTGTGACGTTTATCACAAAATAAAACCGAATAAATTACAGTTTTTACATTTACATGTATCGATAAATGAATGTTTTATTTAAGTTAAACGACACGATAAATTATCGCCTGACTGAGTGAGAAACTGTCCTGTTTTAACTGTCAGTTAACTTTCAAACTGCCATTTCTTTCAGCTGTTAGAGGTTAACTTAATATATTTATTAACGTTAACGTTACATTTTATTTTTTGTCTTGTTTATTTTAACCTGCAATTTGTCTGGTGTTAATTGTGTCCATGGTTATAATGTTTATCACCAGTTCAATTTAACCAGCTCTAATTAAGTATTTTAAAAGTTAAATTGAAGCTGTAGCTAAAGTTACTTCAATACAAACACTGTTGTACAGTTAAAATATAAATATAATTACTATTGAGGGTATGACAGGGCTGTGCCAAAATATGAGTGGGGTATGTTTAAAGGGCTGCATAATTAATAGAAATATTATGGAAATCGCAGTATGACCCAGTGCATTATACATATTGCAGAAGCTGTAATATGCTTTGATAAAGATGACAGTATAATATAACAATATAACAGTATAATAATGAAATACTGTAGTGCTGCAGAGATGTCCTGGTCTACAAATCTTGTCCTCCAAATTTAGGAAACACAGAGGGTACAGACCCCCCAAAAACTTCACATGATCATGATTTTATTATTTTTGTTTAGTGAAAATGAAATGTGTGATGCAAAAATGATTATTCCCACACTAGCAATATCTATTAAAATAATCACAACATGATGTTTTTATCACATCATGCTGCCCTCATTTATTATGTATGCCATATGGT